AATAAGTTATTACTAAAGAATTATATTGTATAAAAGGGAAATGTATTGAAATGTATTACTTACTTACTTAGTCCTCTTTGCTCCTCATGGAGCATAGGGCCTCCACCATTTCCTTCCATTTCTTCCTATCCTCGGCTGTTAATTTTGACATCTCCCAAGACATCCCTATTGGCTTCAGTTCTTCAAGAAGACTCCGCCTCCAGGTCTGTCTTGGGCGCCCTCTCTTCCGCTTTCCCTGGGGGTTCCACTCAAGCGCTTGGCGTGTAACATTTGTGTGAGCCTTTCGCAGTGTGTGACCCACCCAGCGCCACTTCCTCCTTCTTATTTGCACACCTATAGGCTCCTGCCTAGCTTTCCTCCATAGTTTCAAGTTCGGCACTTTGTCCTGCCATCTCAGTTTCAGTATCTGTCTAAGGCATCTATTCATGAAGGTCTGTATCTTTGCTGTGCTTGCCTTGGAGACTCTCCATGTTTCTGCTCCATACAGCAGAACTGCCTTGACATTAGAGTTAAATATCCTAATTTTTGTGGTAGTGGAGATGGCCGAACTTTTCCATATGGGTCGCAGGACTGTGAAAGCGCAGCGGGCTTTATTAACTCTAGCGCGTATGTCCTCCTCTGTGCCTCCCGTTTTGCTGATCTTGCTGCCAAGGTAGACAAACTCTTGCACATCATTTACCTGTCTTCCGTCTATTGACACTGGAGCCTCCTGCTTATTGTTAATTCTCATCATTTCCGTCTTTTCTTTGTTGATCTTCAGACCTACGCGCTGCGAGATGGCTCCTAATGCATCAACTTTTTCTTGCATGTCTTGTAGCCTGTGCGCGAGTAAGGCAAGATCATCTGCAAACTCCAGATCCTCTAGTTTCCCCGTGAGTGTCCACTGAATACCTTTTCCAGAACTGGCATAGGCTGTGCGTGTCACCCAGTCGAGAACTACCAAGAAGAGTAGGGGCGACAGCAGACATCCTTGTCTCACACCTGTGTTGACCTGGAACTCTTTAGACAGTTTCCCTGCATGGCTAACTTGGCATGAAAATCCATTGTAAAGTTGCTGGATTATTTCCACTAACTTAGCAGGTACACCATAGTGTCTCAACAGATTCCATATTGTTTGCCTATCCACACTATCAAAGGCCTTCTCAAAGTCAACAAAGCAGATGTAAAGCGGGGCTTGCCATTCAATCGTCTGTTCTACAATAATTCTAAGAGTGGCTATCTGATCTGTACAAGATCTTTCCTTCCTGAATCCTGCTTGTTCCTCTCTTAGCTTAAGGTCAACCGCCTCTTTCATTCTGTCCAAAATAACTCTGGTAAGGACTTTACTTGGTATGGACAACAAGGTAATGCCCCTCCATTTTCCACACTGAGATAAGTCACCGTTCTTAGGCAACTTCACAAGGAGGCCCCTTTTCCAATCGGTTGGGATCTGTCCTGTGTTCCAGACTAAGTTAAGTAATTTATGAAGTCGATTTACTACTTCATCCCCACCTTGTTTTAATGCCTCTGCTGGGATATTATCTGGTCCTGCTGCCTTGCCACTCTTCAAACTATTTAAGGCGTTGAGAATTTCCTGTCTGGTGATTTCCTCGGTATTGATGTTAAGGGGTTCCCCAGGCTCCAGGTCTGGTGGATCTTGAGGTGCTGGACCGTTTAGTACTTCCTGGAAGTGCTCTCTCCATCGTGCCAATTGTTCCTCAATTGACGTTAGAAGTTTACCATTTTTGCTCCTCACTGGCCTGTTGGTATTGGTTTTCCTCCCACTCAGAGCTCTGGTTGATTGAAATGTATTAAATCAATAATATTTTAAACATTAATAATATAACTACAAGAAAAAACATAAAAATAAACATAACACGAGACACCATTACTTATACAAAGCTTTCATATTTTATATTATTTTGACCGACAGGATGATAAAAGGGCTTCTATCAAAAATTAATTAAAACTGATTTTCACAAAACACGCTAATGCACTTAACCACATGACATGATGTTGAAATTTTTTTTTATTGATGTTTTTCCAATCCCGAACAGGACAGCTATGAGTATCATTTGTTCGTATTATGTGATTGCATATATATATATATATATATATATATATATATATATATATATATATATATATATATATATATATATATATATATATATATATATATATATGGGGGGCCTAAAAATTTTTTTTTGCGGGGTGGCCCTTTTTTTCTAGTTCCGCCACTGGCGCATACGTTTGTTTAAGTGGGTGCAATAGACTATGAATAAGTTGGGGTGCTATAGTCGTTTACTAAGTTGAATCAGGCGATTCTGCCGGCGCCCCAGCATGGTGCGATTTGGTGCACCGGGCTAGACTGTGAGCACTTTGCTTTTATGTTTGCATTTAATTTTGTGTTTAAGTTTGCATTTATTTGCATTATTTTAAGTTATTGTTTGCGTTTAGGTTTGTGTTTCTATTTGTATTTGCGTTTGTGTTTCCTTTATTGTTTGCGTTTGTGTTTTCTTTGTGTTTGGGTTTGCGTTGTTTGTATTATGTTTGCGTTTTTTTGTGCCTCTTGTTTTGGGTAATATATCCCCTAAACCCGGACAATGCTGATTGTCATGGTCATGGTCCTTTACAGATAGGTTTTTCACAGAGGCCAATGCAGGGCCTGGCCAGGACGGCTAGTATCTATAATAATAGTTTCGCTGTCTGTGTATCTATCTATCTGTCTATCTATCTATGTATCTGCCAAGAACGCTATAGAGAAAACACAAGCAAATTTAAAACATGCATAGTGAAACGGAAGCGAAATATGACGTCACATTTAGCGTATAGTAGAAAATAGTATCAAGCCGGAGAGTGCACACAGTAATATGACGTCATTGATTCTCGAGTAAACATTGAATAAAAAGGCAATTTTGTCTAATCTAAGTGGTTTGCGTGAAGAGTTTCATTCATACAATTCTTCGGGTAGGGGCGAAGCCCCACCCTCGCGAAAGAACGTCTAAGCCCCCCTCCCCCCCAACTCAAAAGAAATTTTTCTCGTATCTATATAGTTTCACTATTTCACTATTCTGTCACTCTGTATCCATCTGACAAGAAAGCTCTAGAGAAAACATAAGGATAATGAAAACTGTCTCAGGCAGATTGAATGACATTGAATGAAATTAAGAAGGATTTATCTATTGTGGTCAAACTAAAGAAACTTATAAAGTTTAAAATTCCCTAAACTACACAAAAAAGAATGATGTCATTAATTGTAAAATAAATAAACCAGGAGTGATCTCCCCTAAACTTTATCTAATATCTATATATATAATTCTCTTTTGGGAGACGCTAGAAAACATGGTCTTAGTGAGCTGAGTCGGTTTAGTGACGGCTATTAGGGGCAGATAATTTAGTTTGAAACGATTTTAAACGTTGGGGGGGGGGAAGGGGGGGGTTATGGTCCTTAACGAGCTACTTACAGTGTTTTAAAGAAATATTTTTAGTGTCAGCGTTGGTACTGTCGAATTCACAAATTATGAATTACTGAAAAGTAGAAAAAACAACAACTAAATAGCGGCATATGTTATGCCGTGGGCCGGCTCGTTCTTATATAAAACAACAGGGGATCTCAACTCGAGAAATAGACATGATTTTTAATTACTTAAACTTTTTAAAATAGAAAAGAATCTCATTGAAAAAGAATTGCACACCAAGTAAACGCCAAACAAAATGTGTGTAATAGTGTGGAATATTATTAGTACTTTATAAATTCACATGCGTTTTTTGAGAAATCGGATATAGCGAAAATTACTACTTCCAATCAATGGACATTACCCAAAATTTGACAGAAGGCAAAGAGTTAGATCTTTTACTTACATGTGGAATTTCATTTATCTATCTGAAATAGTACTCAAGTATAGGTTTTTGAAAAATTGTAAGTAGAAAAAGTTCCACGTCCGGTTATCGGAATTTGCTCAAAAGTTGATACAGATTTAAGTATTTTAATATAATACTTAAATATGAAATTTCATCAATCTAGCTGTAACTTTACTCAAGTTATCGTGTTCACAGACACACACAAACACACACACACACACAGACATACGGACAAGATTGCAAAACCAATTTTTTCCAACTCAGGGAGGTGTAAAACGTCGCAAATCTCGATTTTTTTTTTTGCACAATTACAATACTTTATCTATACTTCATATACGAGAAAGTAAAAATGCATATTTGTTTATAATAGGAGCTCAACAAGACAAAGACTGCGCAAACATTCTTTACCAACAACTATACTTCATAAACGTCACATTCTTGCTTAACGCATCATAAACTCACCATCTTTTATTTATGCAAAATCTTTCATACCACACACCACACATACTCTCGTATCCTTCCATTACTTGAATATTACCCCCTTCTCCCTCAATCTAATATCATTAGCTATAAATGTGCTTATTATAGTCTTCTTTAATAATGCACATAGCAGATTTTTTTCTGTGCTCTTATATAGAGCAAAAAAGACGGTGCAGCCTGTTCGCTTTAATAATGGTGTAATGATATATATATATGATCATTCTTTCTGAAAAGATCATGTATTAATGGTGTAATGATATATATATATGATCATTCTTTCTGAAAAGATCATGTATTAAAAGATGAAGATAATCAAAGATTATTATTCAGGCCTTTGGATTTCTTTAAAAGATAAAGCCAGCCAGTCAGTCTGCCAGCTGCAGACATACTTTAATTTTTATATAGATAGATATGCAAAAGTTTAGGGGAGTTTACTTCCGTCTTATTTTAAAGAAAACAATTTATTTTCTCCTTTTTGAAACATTTATTTTGTAATCTCAAGACGAAATAATTGGTGACCAACTGCATGATCAGAAAAAGTTTTAAAACTGAGATTTTTAACTTACCAGAAATAGTAATTTTCTAATTAAAAAAGGGACCAATAAATCATAAATCAAATTATGTAACTCCAATCAATATTTGATGTTAATTGCTGTTTCTGTATGTTTTGTGTGCAGGATGTGAGCAGTGCTCATGTCAACATTGATGTGCTACATGAGGTAGAGGGCCTTTGTCTTGTCATGATGTGTAGCTGCAGAGTGGTGACCAGAAAATTGGCTCTACATCTTCTCCGGGAAGTTAGAAATATATTTAACATTTATTCAGATGAGCAGGTACATTTGTTTATAAATCAGGAATAACTTTTACTTGAAAGCTTAGATATGATTAAAACAATCTGCTTTAATAAGTTGTAACTAATGTGCTTTTTATCATTTGAATTAGTTTAAGAAAATCTAATAAAATTGTGTACCTGTCAGTTGAGCATCAGCAGTTTATTAGAAGTGATTGACAAGGCTTGCCCTGCTGTACTGGAAAAACTTATGCCATTACTGCCCACATCTGAAAAAGTATGTTAAAAGTCCTTGTACCTGCCATTTTGTTCACTTATTAACTGACCTCATATGTTTTTACTTTATTACCATTTAAAATGAAATAATGTTAATAAGAACTCCAATCACAATACTAAAGGTTTTAATAAATGATTTTTATTACATCTTATTGGACCCTGTTCTAACTGATTTTATTATTTCTTACTTGCCCTTTTATTAACTCCGTACTGATTCCTTTATTTCTCCACTAGCCCATATTATTGACCCTGCCTACAATTGATCTGGCATGGGTTATGGATAGAGCAGTTACTTTATGGCTACCAGCTGGAGGGGGCAGCATGCAAGATGGAAATCAAATCAACTACAGTTTTCATCGTGTTGATATGTGGATCCGTTGTGTGGCTGAGTTTGCTTCTAGAGAACATGCCCAACATTCCTGCCCCCATGCTGTAGGGCATGCATGGCCCATTGTATTCACCAGACTCAATGCCTTGTTTCCACTGGTGGATCCGAGGTACATCAACACTTTTTCATACTTCCAAAAAATATCTAGTATTTACATTGAATTTTCATGAACAAGTTTTTTTATCCAAAGATGAACTCAATTATTTTTTTTTCTACTAAACTATAAAAAAAAAAGAAAGCTACCAATTTGTATTTCTAGTGCCCAACCAGAGCAAACCAGAGCATCATCCATTCTAAGATCAAGCAAGAAAGGAACATCTGAAAAAGATGTCCATATGCAGCTTTGGCAAAATTATGTTATTCTAGCTTGCACAATAGCAATGCACAGTGCAGGCCTACCCCAGAGGTGTTCTTCTCCAGAATTAGGGTATGTAAAAACTTGGTACACAAATGTACTGCTCGTTGCTTTTGTCTAAAATGGTGGAGGTAGCAAAAAAAGTAAACAAGCTCTTTTTACAAGCTTTTACTTTATTCACAACATCTGTTTGCGGTTTGTGGCAAATCTTATAGCTCAATTATAACCAACTTCTGCTGCAGCGATTTTGTTCAAATTTTCCAGATACCCGCTTTTCAAGGGCAATGCATGTATATCTATTTTTTAATTTAATTAGAAGTTAAATCAGTCATTAAAAAGTAATTAAATAGTTTCAAAACTAAGGGGATATAACAAGATTAAATGCTAGTGATCACTTCATAGATTACTATATTCAATAACAGAAGGGGAGATAACTAGCTAGATGCTATCACCTAACCAGTCTGGTGAGCTGTTGTTCATGCCCAATGTTTACAATTGTAGAGCCAGGTTAAATAAGTGATGGCTATTAGGGGCAGATAGTATGAAGATCACAGGGGCTTAACCACAGTTGTCACACTTTTCTACTTTCGAGAAAAACGAACTTTGATGTTTGCAGACTCTGGTAGCCTTACAGGTGTTACATTTTTAAATTAAATTTTTTAAAATGAAAATTGGTTCAATCCTCAATAAGAAGGTGTTTTCATTTAGTTACTAGCTTTAACCACGAGATCAGAATAAATTTTAAAAAATGCTTATACATTTTGGACATGTGTTCTTCTTCCCTTGAAATTCTACTTTATTCATGCTAAAGCATTGAAAATCACACAATATGTATTGGAAAATGATTTATTGTTCTAATACTGATAACTAAAGTATTCAATAATCAGATGGTCAGTGTAAAAATTTCACACTGGTTCTGACTCACTTCCTGGCTGTGGTCTGACGCCAGGTTGCCAAGGTCCTTGTTTGGCCTTCAATGAATCTTTTTGTTCACATACCTATTGTTTTAGTTTGAATGTTTTTAAATTTTAGACTGGCCAGACTAGCTGTGCAGGCTTGTGTGGTCAGACGATAGTAAATCTGACATCGTGAGCATGGTTTCTTTCTCTTGAAGCATGTTTGGACACTCTTTCTGTCAGGGAGTACTAGACATACAGCTCTCTCTGTACATGATAAAGTGGGGTTTATCCTTTACAATTTGTATTTCTGTGAATTTCAGAAGCATATTGCTTTCATATTGATGTAGGTATGTCAAACGGCCTTAAAAAACACAGTTTTTGCCAGTTTTCTTCAGTATATTTTTATTATTAAAGCTATAACTCCGTTCAATTATTAAACTTCCACATATTTTTTCAGCTTTGTTTGATGAACTAAACCCCACTTCACTTAGTATCGGAGTCTAATTGTTTTCTGATTGCTTAATTTAAATATTTTTGTCTTTTCTGACAGAGTGTACTTTGAAAATTAATTATAACATATTTTTCTAATCTTTTTAAAACAGCTGAATATTTTTTTCTGTTAAATGTAAAAGGTCACGTGTTTGTACACTTCGTCGCCAGTGTCAACAATATATGGGTATAGTTTAAAGTAGAAAACCCCGCAAATTTCATGGATGGGTTGGGTTTTAGCGATCATTTTAAACTAAATAGTACATGATGTGTAGCTTGAAATACTGTACATTACCAAAACTATCGATTTTTTTGTGTGTTCTTTAATTTCAATCTTAATTAGATGTTAATGCCTCCAACTCTTACCTTGAATAGGGGTGGGGGCTAAGTAAAATCTTTACTACAGTTGTAACAATGTCCATATATATTAATGATCAGTGCACGAGTGCAGATGTATTTACACTTTGCAGTCAGCTTGGAAATAAACCCTTATTAGGTTCCTTTAAAAGAATATAGCCCTTATCTACGAAAAAAAACCTTGTTACGTCCTCTAAATTATGTTGACCGTTTATGGTGGCTATTGATTACATATTTACAAGTTGTGAAGAATAACTGTTAAGACACTAAGGGTGAGAATGCAAGACTAGCATGGTTTCCTATTTAGCCTACATAGTTGTATTTAAGAAGCAAGTATATTTTTGTGCAGCTGCAACATATCGCAATAATTGTTGAACCAGCTATGTATAAATACATATTTATAACATAAAGATACATCGACTGAGGCATTCTAAATAATTTAAATGTTCTTACTTTTAAATGTACTACTGGTTCTTGAGACTAATAATAATTTCAACAAAAATATTTTCTTTATGTGACCCTAGCACTGTTCAAGCCACCATATATTGAATCACATATAAATTAATCACAGACACAAACCCTGTTTACCTGTTAAGAGCTATGATTATCCTTTATTTCTATGTACCCAGATCTACTGTAGGTGTCATAATTTTTTTTTTTTTTTAAAAGACAGATTTTCGACAGATTGTGAACCCCTGCACTCTTCTGATCAAACGTGTGTTTTAAACGTACTTGTTATAGGCATACATGTAACTTAAATTCAAAGAAGCGTTGTCCCTTTACATTTTGATATACTTATCAAGTATGTTCTTTCATCAGACATTTTTTGGTGATGTTTTTAAAAATGTACAAAATTTTTGTTTTTACCTCCCTTTTTAAATTTTTTAAAAAGAGAAAAGACAATATGAATGCAGTTATTTTAAATGATGTACTTATTTTTGAGGTTTGAAATTTTTTTTGTTTGTTCTCCCTGTATGTTTGTTTATGTTGAGTTGAAAGGATTTTGTTTGTGACATATACCTTTACAGATGTTTGTTTATGTTGAGTTGAAAAGATTTTGTTTGTGACATATACCTTTACAGATGTTTGTTTATGTTGAGTTGAAAAGATTTTGTTTGTGACATATACCTTTACAGATGTTTGTTTATGTTGAGTTGAAAGGATTTTGTTTGTGACATATACCTTTACAGATGTTTGTTTATGTTGAGTTGAAAGGATTTTGTTTGTGACATATACCTTTACAGATGTTTGTTTATGTTGAGTTGAAAAGATTTTGTTTGTGACATATACCTTTACAGATGTTTGTTTATGTTGAGTTGAAAAGATTTTGTTTGTGACATATACCTTTACAGATGTTTGTTTATGTTGAGTTGAAAAGATTTTGTTTGTGACATATACCTTTACAGATGTTTGTTTATGTTGAGTTGAAAAGATTTTGTTTGTGACATATACCTTTACAGATGTTTGTTTATGTTGAGTTGAAAAGATTTTGTTTGTGACATATACCTTTACAGATGTTTGTTTATGTTGAGTTGAAAAGATTTTGTTTGTGACATATACCTTTACAGATGTTTGTTTATGTTGAGTTGAAAAGATTTTGTTTGTGACATATACCTTTACAGATGTTTGTTTATGTTGAGTTGAAAAGATTTTGTTTGTGACATATACCTTTACAGATGTTTGTTTATGTTGAGTTGAAAAGATTTTGTTTGTGACATATACCTTTACAGATGTTTGTTTATGTTGAGTTGAAAAGATTTTGTTTGTGACATATACCTTTACAGATGTTTGTTTATGTTGAGTTGAAAAGATTGTGTTTGTGACATATACCTTTACAGATGTTTGTTTATGTTGAGTTGAAAAGATTGTGTTTGTGACATATACCTTTACAGATGTTTGTTTATGTTGAGTTGAAAAGATTGTGTTTGTGACATATACCTTTACAGATGTTTGTTTATGTTGAGTTGAAAAGATTTTGTTTGTGACATATACCTTTACAGATGTTTGTTTATGTTGAGTTGAAAAGATTTTGTTTGTGACATATACCTTTACAGATGTTTGTTTATGTTGAGTTGAAAAGATTGTGTTTGTGACATATACCTTTACAGATGTTTGTTTATGTTGAGTTGAAAAGATTGTGTTTGTGACATATACCTTTACAGATGTTTGTTTATGTTGAGTTGAAAAGATTTTGTTTGTGACATATACCTTTACAGATGTTTGTTTATGTTGAGTTGAAAAGATTGTGTTTGTGACATATACCTTTACAGATGTTTGTTTATGTTGAGTTGAAAAGATTGTGTTTGTGACATATACCTTTACAGATGTTTGTTTATGTTGAGTTGAAAAGATTGTGTTTGTGACATATACCTTTACAGATGTCTCCAACATGGCCTTTTTTAGGGTGTTGAAAAAAAAAAAAAGTTAAAAACCAATTTTTTAAAATGTCGTCACTTTTTTACTACTTGAGATATAAGAACAGATTTTGTGCCCACTATCTTAGAATCAAGATTTCTTGACATAGCAACTTTCAAAAAAGCTGTGGGACTGTTTTAAAAAATCAGTTTGACACCCCTAATTTATGATGTTGTTTTGTGTCTTTGGTGTAGTAAGTGAGGATTGCAGAATTTGCTTCCAGTCTGCAAGTCATTCTGCTGAAAGCTTTTGATCAACATTGTCCATGTCTCATTCACATTCTATATAGGTATGCCCTCAAACTGGAAAATAACTTTGATGATGTCAAATCGCTTTGTCTTGTGCTTGCTGATCATGTGTTGTTTTTCCCTTCATTCTCATTGGCTGGGCAAAAATAATTTGGACATGTTTGGTTTTTCGTGGGTAAACATTGGACATCCATTGTTATTCCATTGTGGCATGTTTTTAAAAACCTAAATATTGCTGTATTGAGCTGAATTTTAGCTTTCAAGTTTTTTTTACATGATAGTTATGCAAGAGTACTACACGAAAAGGATGTTAACTCAAAAACTTCAAAATGTGGACATTTGTGGTTTAGCCTGTGTGGTCTTCATATAGTTTTTATACAATTTCAAACTAAGGGGAGGTAGCAAGATTAAGAACTATCATTCGCTTTATCAGCTTGCTGTTGTCGGTAAATTGTGGTCATGGATGGCTGTTTTCACAGGGCAGATAATCAACTTTCCGAGATAGCAAGCTACTGATGGTGTTTTCAAACAAATATTTTTAGTCGAGTCAACTTCATAAATTAGGAATCACTAGATAGAATGTAGAAAATAAAACTAATTTTAAAAGCATTTGTAGCAACAATGTTACATTGGCTTAGTTGTTTTTTTTTAGTCTCTTCTTGGCCAGGTGTAACAATAGCAGAATCTGTATTATTTACATGTAATTTTCAAAAGAAAAAATATAAAATGAACACTGATGAGTCATTACACTGTGTTTACATCATACAACCTTCATCGACCCACTCTCTAGGCTACACACTTCCGGCCACTAGCATAACACTTTCAAGGGGAGACCACTCTCACCCTCTCCCAGTGCCTACACATCTATATATATAATTCTCCTCTTCGAGCCGTTAGAAAACAAGCTGCAAACGCTCTCCCTACCTCCCCACCCCTACATGGTTTTAGTGAGCTGTGTTCACTCTAAATGTTTACAAGCAGAGCCAACGATTTTAAACGTAGGGGGGGGGGGGGGGAGGGGGGGGAAGGAAGGGGGGGGGGGGGGTTATGGTCCTTAACGAGCTACTTATAGTGTTTTAAAGAAATATTTTCAGTGTCAGCGTTGGTACTGTCGAATTCACAAATAATGAATTATTGAAAATTAGAAACAACTAAATAGCGGCGTATGTTATGCCGCGGGCCGGCTCGTTTCATTTTAAACAACCACTTCACAAACAAGCTTTTAAATGCACTAAAAATAATAAAATACAACTAATTTGCTTTCTTTATTAAAAGCTTTGGTCACTCATGTGATCTTTTACATATTTTAGTGACAAAAGTGCATTAAAAAGCTTGTTTCTCTAAAGGTTTTTTTATGTTTGTTTTATTATTTTTTTATACATGGTTATTTTTTTTAGTTTTCATTTAGGTAATGTCTGCTGTCTGTTTATTCTTTCTGTTTATATTTTCCATAGAATTGAATGGTTGAAACCTTCATGTTGCATGAATTTGTATTTTTTATTAGAGTGGCGTCATCTCCTGAATCCAACTCCGATAAGTCTCCAACTGTCCAAGCTTGTACTGCAGCAAATTTATTCCAGCGCTTGGTGCCTTTGATGAGATGTGACAGTTCTGACATGAGAGACACCATAGTCAATGGTTTAGGCTACTGCAACCCTGTGGTCTTTAAGTAGGTCCTGATTTAAATAGTTGCTGGCTGGCTGGGTGATGACTGCTTCAGATATGCAGGGATGTGACTTTTCCGAATTTTAGCGGAAATCCGATTTTTCCGTTTCAGTTGCGATTTTCCACCTGATTTAATTTTCGCCGAATTTTTACGCAGAGTTTCAATTTTTGTCGATTTTTTACGAAGTTTCAAAATTAGGAAAAAAAACGGAAATGTCTTCTACGGAAAGGGCCGACATGCTCATTCCACTTATTCGTATTTAAATCGACAACTACTGTACTTAGGTCAAACGGACACGCGAATATGCGCATTTCTTTTCGATTGGTCGATTGCGCTAGGTCTGATGGTGCTCGATCAAGATTAAATGTAGATTAAGATTCGGAATTTCGGCGGACTTTCGAATTTCTCAAAGCACACTTTTTGTCCAAATTTTCCGCTAATATTTTCAGTTAACTATTTATCAAAAACACGGAAAAGGTAATCTAAAATAATGCAGTTATTCAATTAAAACTTACATCTCTTAAGCCTGGTAATCTAGCTATCGATATAGCCTAATTTACCTACTGGTATTTTAACCTGCCTAAATCTAGAGTTTCTTTCTGATTCTATTTTATTTCGCAATCTCAGATTAATATTGAAATCCTTGCAAAAGGTGACTGAGGACTAGACTAACCCGCCCCACCTCGTAGCAACGGTGGCTCTTGTGCCCTCAACTTGACCCCAAGTACGTTTTCGGTACTGCTTGTGGAAAAAAAAATGACGTCACAGTCAATTTCAAATAGCTGTTCCTGCAATACGTATGCTGCGTAGGCCTACAGATTAAAAAAAAAAAACTAAACTCAACGTGACTATGACCGTGTCTTGTTTGTGGAAGAAAGAAATACGTTCAGACTGGGGGGGGGGGGAGTCTGGCTTTTTTAGGAGAGAGGGAAGGTAAATATCGTCAAAAAAAACATGGATGACCCCTAATAATTTACAGCTATTCCAAAAAAAAACATAAATATTGATGTGGCTTGGTCATCATAATGATTAACTTTTAGCTAACCTGGTCCATTTCATTTTTCCATCACATGAACCTAAAATTTTCAAATTGTAAATAATCTTAATCTAGGGTCTTTACAGTTGAAGACAAATATTTTTACCAATCCAATCTTTAAAAGAATATATATTAGGCATTAGTCCCCCTATTTAAAAATTGAAAACAGGAGTACATCTAGAATCTACACTAGATTAGTACAGTTTAAATTAGCTTAATGGTAAAATAAAACTTAATTGCTACTTTTGTTACATTGTAATTTTTAAAATTTGTTTATACGATAAACACTTTATACGGTAAAGACTTTCAATGTTATTTTAGAGTAACAAACTTCTTGTATTTAAAATATTAACTTCATTAAACAATTAATTAGTACAGTAACAGTAAGAAGCTGCTTAACCGCGATAAGAAGTAGATAAAACATTGAGTTATTATCCGAAGAAAATTTCCTAATTTTTTTTCCTGGTCTGGTCACATCCCTGGATATGGCCTGGGTGTATCTATTCATGTATTGCTTAATTCAAGTATTACATCATCTTTTCCCATTCATGCCCAAGACACATGGGGTAGTTGAAGGAAAGCTCAACTGTTTCAGTGACATTAGCATATGAAGGGATAGTGTAGTCAGCATTATGTCCATCCCTATGGTTCCTCTAAGCAGTGTCAGGTACCCATCAGAGCTAAGTATTTTCTAGCCATTTACTTATTCATTTTTCAGGGTTATTAATGATTGTAACATGCAATTTTTTAAAATAAAGTTTAAAATTTTGCTCACTATTTCAGAGAGTTGGGTGAAGAGTTACTCCCATTTTTAAAAGAAGCCATTGACAAAAAACAAGACAGTTTAAGAAGAAGGAGGAAGAGGGACATTCTACGTGTGCAACTAGCTCATATTTTTGAGTTGATGGCTGAAAATAAAGCTTTTTCTCAGAAGTATAATGTTTTATTCACTTGACTGTTTTAAAAGAATTATTTTGTTCTGTGTTTAAATAATTAATAATAATTTTTTCTTGTTAGTGAATCAGGGATCATCGAGCTAGAGACTGGTTCATTAACTTCCATGTTTGTGGACTACATAGACGGAGCCCGTCAATATTTGGAGGGGGAAAATGATCGTGATTTGCCCATATTACAAGAAATTAGACTTCATTTTAGTGCTTTTATTCAGCATCTTATATGCAACACACCAAGTAAGCTTGGACTCACTAGAAACCACTTTAGGATGGTTAAAGTTGTGAACGAAATTTTTTTATTTCAAATGATTTAAAAATTTCTTAGTTAAAAAAATTCTTCATCTTACTATAAAATGTGATTACTGTACTAAGAGAGCAATTGATGTAATTGTAAGCAGATAGGATTTAAATAAGCACATAATAATTTTTTTGTAAACAAGTTGAATTCCTAACCTTGGTGAAATTTTGCTTTGCAGTGGAATACAGAAAAAATCTACTTTCTAGAGACTTGCGTTATAGTCTTTTCCATTTATTTGCTAACTGGAGTGGTCACTTCAATCTAACCTTTGGTCCAGGAGATAAAAGGTATTTGAATATAGCCTTGGGGTAGGGGAAGGGGCATCATATTGCTTGATCACTCAAAAGCCCTCCAATTTTGAAGTTTTTGATATTTTAAAATTTTACATTTTAAAAAATTTCACTTTGTTCAGCGGACGTAAAAAATACAAATATTGAAAATCCTTTAATGGTATAAATATAAAGCTATAACTGTAAACTTGAATTTCATTTGTAAATCTTGAAAATCCAACTTGACCAGATTTTCATTAGTTCTTTGGTTTCTCTGCTTTATAACTTGACTATTGTGTAGTTTTTTTCTCCTTCTGTTTTGCACTATTATGTTGAGTCATCAATATTACACCTCTACTCTTTGCTTAGATGATCTCATTATTTAATTACATAGGCTTTTCAATGTTCCCCTGCCATGACCACATTGGTTTTAAATATCAAGATCAAAGATACAAAATCTATGCTTTTTACTTTCTCATATACGAAGTGCAAAAGAAAGAAAAAAATTGAGATTTTTACTAATCTCGACATTTTACACCTCCCTGAGTCGGAAATATAGTTTTGCAATTTAGTCTGTATGTCTGTATGTGTATGTATGTGTGTCTGTGAACACGATAACTTGATTACTGTATCAACTTTTCAGCGATTTCCGGTAACCGGAAGTGGAATTTATTCTACTTTCAATTTTTGAAAAGCCTATAACTTGAGTAGGCCTACTGTTTAAGATAGATAAATGAAATTTCACATGTAATTAAAAGATCTAATTTTCTGCCTTCTACTTCAATACAAATTTTAGTAATTTCCGTTGACCGGAAGTAGTAATTTACGCTATTTCCGATTTCTGAAATAACGCATGTGAATTTATAAAGTACTAATTATGCGCCTCACCATTATAAACATTGTTTGGCGTTCACTTGATGCATTATTCTTTTTTCTATGAGATTCTATTCTATTTTTATAAGTGTAAGTAATTAAAAATCGAATAAAAATCAAGTCTATATCCCGAGTTACCATCCCCTGTAGTGTTATATTCGAGAAAGTTTAGGGGAGATCACTCCCAGTTTATTAAAAAAAAGAGTCTAAGTGTGTAAAACATTGATAATTTCAACAATTCCTTTTAATAAGTTTGTGCTCGAGTATTTTCAACAACTCTGGAACTATGTTAAAAGAAAGTAGACAGTGTTTATGTTTTTACTAAGTAAATTTTTTTTCAAATAAAACTGTCATCTAGGTCTGCATTTAGATTGACATTTTGAGGCTTTCCTTAATCAATGCTCATGTCACTTGAAGGCAGCATTGGCAGAAGTTGTTAAAAAATAAGGCGGGGTAGTAATTTTTATAATTTTTACTTAAAAACATCAAATTCAACCATCCATATGACAATTACACATTTATTACACAAATATCTGGAGTTAATTCATAGAAAGATGATAATTACGCTGGCTGCCATATGCAGAAGAATGTTTATCGCTAAAATATTTTTAGCCCAAACTAAACCTAGGTGTTACCTTAGCCCAAATTTAAACTTAGGTGTTACCTTAGCCCAAATTTAAACTTAGGTGTTACCTTAGCCCAAATTTAAACCTAGGTGTTACCTTAGCCCAAATATAAACTTAGGTGTTACCTTAGCCCAAATTTAAACTTAGGTGTTACCTTAGCCCAAATTTAAACTTAGGTGTTACCTTAGCCCAAATTTTAAGTTAGGTGTTACCTTAGTTCAAAATGAAACCAAAGTGTCAACTTAGCCCATAAAAGGATGACACTTACAGAAAAGTTACCGACTAAAATAGCAGTAGTATTTTTAGAAAAATAAAAGAACTCTTGATTGGAATAGACATGTAGACTTATTTTCTCCCCATGTAACAGTAACATATCAATTGAACTGTCATTATAAAAAATTATGCTGTAAAACATTTTAAATTTTAATGCACACTAACTATATTGGGTGATTTTTAAAAAAAATGTCTTTTGCATGTAGTTCATGAGATGTCCATATTTGAATTTAAGAACTAGCAAAGAGGAAGCATGGAGTGAGCAGGAGTTTTCAGCAGTTCAGGCCATGTCAGCTGTACTGTGTTGTGGAAAAGTATTTGACCCCAATGGTCTGAATGACAATGGATACATCTACCATTGGCTGGATACATTGCTTAGCTCTCAAGATGAAAAGGTAAATGTTCTCTCATTCATTCATAGCACTATCAGATACAAAAATACAATTTTTTTCGATTATACAGTTCAACAAGTATGACCACTTTTCTTACATCCATTTATTTACTTTTAAAAAATTTGCCTCTGTTTTTTCCTTTGATACATAAGCAAATACATAATAAATTCATATTAAAAAACATTAGGGGCCTATATTCGCTAAAATTAGTTTTTTAATTAAAAAAAATTAACTTCATTTTAATTAAAACCAGATATTTGCATCTGATCTTATACTTTTTTAGTATTAACCCTTTACAGTCAGATGCATCTAAAAGTTATTTATGTTTTGTTTTTTTTAAATCAAACTGTGTTGTTGCTACGTTGTAATTTAATTGTGAATATCATAAAAAACTGAAGTATAAAAAAAATCTATATATGGAGACCATAGAAAACACAGCGCAGCTTAGCCGTTCCTACCCTGCGTTCTAGGCATATCGCAACCACCCCCATCCCCACCTGTCAGGTGAGCTGTGGTTCACCATGAATGTTTACAATAGAAGTGACGGCTATTAGGGGCAGATCTATCAGTTTTTAAACAATTTGAAACTAAGGGGAGGGAATTATAAGTTACCAGCGTATCATATGCTGCTATTTAGTTGTTTTATTTTCTACTTTTCAGTAATTCATAATTTGTGAATTCAACAGTACCATTGCTGCCACTGAAAATATTTGCTTTAAGACACTATCAGTAGGTCGTTAATGACGATAACCCCCCCCCCCCCACCCCCCTTTCCCCCAACCCCTACACTACAACCCCCCCCCCTCCCCCCCCCCCCACGTTTCACACTAACATTTAGCGTGAACCACAGCTCACCAGACCATGTGGGGGTGGTAGGGATATGCATAGAGAGGAAGAGAGTGGGCTCCAAGAAGAGAATTATATATATAGATAGATAGAAGAAGATAGATGCTTGATCTTTTCATTGTTGTCTGTAAACTGTCGTCACAGACTGCGGCTTTCACAGGGGGGTGGGGGGGGGGGGTAGGGAGTGGGAGGAAAATCGTCCTTAACGATAGTGTTTTAAAGCAAAATATTTTCAGTCGCAGCATTGGTAGTGCCAAATTCACAAATTATGAATTACTGACAAAATAGGAATTAAACTAAATAGCGGCGTATGCTATACGCGGGTCAGCTCGTAATTGATAAAACATTTATAACAATTTTTTATTTCAGCCCTTAACCCTTTATTTACGGAATTATGTTCTGAATGAGATTTTTACTTAAACAATGTGTTACTATATTGCTTTTGGCACATTCAAAGCATATATCGAAGGAAATTTCGTTTCATAAATTTTTAATGGCCCAAACAGATATTGGTACTTATAAGTACCGTCAGTAAAACTAGGACATTTTTTTTTCAAAAATTTTTTTTTTACAAAACAGGAACAAACGATACAATTTATTAACTAATAACATGGCAATCATTATAACAATCACTTTTTGTAATTTTCACACATAAATACAGCACGAAAGTATTTTTTGAGTACGATTTTTACTGGATTTTCTATCGGAACACATCTTAGACCTCAAACACAGCAAAAGTAGTCGACATGTCATGCTCCCTCAATTTTGTCTGTGGTCTTTCTGGTGTAGCAACGGTTGCCGGAATGAATATGCTTTAGCTGGAAACTTCCAATAACTAGTACAATGAGCCGCATAAACAAACAAAAGCCTAGTCATTCAGCACACAACTACTAGAAATACTAATATAATTGTAGCCTACTATAATGTTATGACAAGTCTACACTACAGTGCAAAGTTCATAAATAGAAGTGAGCTCAATGTGTTTTGGAAGAAGTAGTGGATTACTCTTTTCTGTTTACTGATTAAAATTTACCTTAAAGATCTATACTATATGCAGAAGTTTGGAGTATGGACTATTACTAGTCTACAGGTATACATTATGTAAATGCTAGTTGTTGTAGGCGAGACAATTTATTGCAGTAAATATAACTAACAAATTAAATCTTACTACCTGAACTAGGCTTTGGTATACAAATGAAGAATACTAAACCTTATAAACGAGCCTGCTACTGATACCTTTATTCTTGTTATGTTTTTACTACTAGAAATTAACATGTAATTACAATATTTCTTAGGTAAACCATATGCAAACCTTCTTATAAATGAGTAAATATCATTTTTTGAGTACATTTCGATAAGTAATTATCAAGACAATATTTATGTAACTCCACCTAACAAATCTGCAATTTTCTAAAAATCCTAAAAAAAATGATTGTGTGCCCTGACGGTACTTATAAGTCCACTTCTAAACATTGATCTAATACAAAGACAATTTGATTAAAATTGTATAACTAGAAGTTAAACGCGTTTCCCTGACTATTGAAGGTGCCAATAAAAAATATTTGGGGTTGAAAACTTGAAAAATAAGGTAAAACAAAGGGAAATCAGGAACGTGTGTGAGAAATGTACAGAAAAATTGTGAACTACCGATATAGCAAGACATTGAAAAAGCGCCACACCATTATTTTTTTAAAAAACATTGATACCTCCGACTACCGGCGACTCGGGGGAGATAATACTATAAAATACATCAATAATTTTTAAAATTCGTATTTAATTAAAAATAATACAGGCACTTAATTAAAGTGGTACTTATAAGTACCGTCAGTAGATAAAGGGTTAAGAAGAAAAAAATTAATTTTTTTTTACAAAAATGCACTATCATTTAAATAACTATAATTGATAGTATAAGATCTCATAATTAGATTTTAATTTTTAAATGTTTTACCATATCCTGATGTGGTACTTTATTTCTGGTTTATAAAATGCCATTTGCCAGTATGTTTCAGTTAGGTGGACAAAATTTCATGCATAAATGTAAGATATATTGTAAACTTTTGAGTGATTTCTGGTAAATAGAAGTGTTATTTTGTTCTACTTACATGTGAACATGAGATCTTGAGTACCATTTCAGTTCGGCCAATGAAATAATATATATAAGTATTAGCTCCTGTTAGTAGATTTTAATAAACTTTGAGCAATGTCTGGTTAATCGAAGGTGTAGGCCTATTTTGCTCTATGTCCTATTTCTCAATAACCTTTAGAATTTGATTATTTTTTATCATATTCTTGCTACTCTTATTCTGTGAACTTTTTGCACCTCTGTGATTTAAAAAAAAAAAATCTTTGTTTATTTTTCACAAACAATTGCTATGCTTATATAAGAAAATACTGCATCTGGATTAATCTAACTGCTCTAAGGAGTTTTCCAACGGGAATAAAGGATTTATTTTGTTACCCTCCAGGGTGGATCTATGACCTCACAAAATATTAGTGGGATTATTTGGCTATTCTTTTATATATAGCTCATAAAAGGAGACTTTCACTCGCGGTCATTTTTTCGCCCTCATTAAGGTATTAAAGCCTGACCAACAGTTTTTTCATATGGCATAGTCATGTATAGAGATGCTTGCAAAAAAATTAGCCAGATGTACAGAGGTTAAGTACTTTAAAATCTTAGTTGAAAAACCCCGTTTTTCACATAAATTAGAAAGATTACATAAGGAAATACATTTTGGTCAGTTTTGACCTCTTTGCAGATTTTTCCTGGATATGGTTAGATTTTCCTAACATCCCTAGGTGTTTTTCTATCACCTCACAAAATATCAAGGGGGGAGGGTCGTTGAGCAAAAGTTTGTTTCAATATATAGCTCATATAAGGACAATTTCACTTGCTGTCATTTTTGAGCCCTCATCGAGGGCTTTGCGTCAAACCGACATTTTTGCCATATGGCCTAGCCATTTACCTAGGTGCATGCAAAAAATTAGCCAGATGTACAGATGGTAAGAACCCTAAAATCTTTGTTGAAATTACCCTCTGTTTTTCACATAAATTACAAAGATAATGTAAGGAAATATATTTGGTCAGTTTTGACGGTTTTCCCAGATGTGGCGAGTTTTTCTGACACCCCAAGGCGTTTTTCTACGACCTCACAAAATATGAAGGGGATCGTTTAGTAAAAGTTTTTAATGCTTTATAATTTTAATAGAACTAAATCTTATAGCTAAAATAGTTGCTTGCTTAATGAACGCATCAACTTTATCAAATAAACACTCTGAATTGTAATAAAAACAGTACAAAAATAATAGTCTAATTAATTTTTAAAAAAATTATTTAAAAATATCTAGTTATGTCAAAATTTTATTTCACATTTGCTTGTCATTGTTTCTTGAAATGGATGAAAGTTATCAAGTTAAATAAAAGCTGTAGAGATAGATTATTTCTTTTTTAAAATTCTAATCACTTTTTGTACAAAGTATGAAAAATGTCTGGAATTAAGAAAAGTTGATTCCAGACTTAAAAAACGGTAATGATCTCTCCTTAACTTTCTTGTATATTCAATTTTTTAACTAGATTAGAATTATGTCAAAAAAAGATTTGCATACTAAATGAACACAAACGCTGTGTATATAGGCAAAAATTATTGATTTATATGGGAAATATTGATTAATTTTTAAAATGTTAATTAAACATCTAATTAAATCAATTTTCGGTCACAATGCATTTTCATCCATGCGTGACCTACTTGAAAAGTGTGACAGAAATTGGTCTGGTATAAGTGGTAGAAATTTTAGCTTGCAAGATTTTCGCCTAGACAGACAAAAAGACAGAAATCAAGAGGAATTCTTTTGGTTTTTTGAGAAATCGGGAACAGCGAAAAGTACTACTTCCAGTCAGTGGGAATCATTCAAAATTTTAAAGAAATACACAAGTATAAGATCTTATATTTCTAAATGAAATTTCGTTTACCTAAATGCTACAGCTCTTAAGTTATCGTGTTCACACAAAAATAAAGTACCTCTTCCAGTTTCAGAAATCATTCTGAATTTGATAGAAATGTGCTCATACAATGTAATAGTTTTGTGAAATTTTGTCCACCTTACTCAACTTTTTGATCCTCCTGTACCACTTTTTCTGTCTGAGTCTCCGTGCCATGGCAGTCTGATAAATTGGTCTGAGACACCTAACCCCTGATCAGCATAACAATGCCATATTAAAAAAGCCCCTAACTAGTGCTGATAGTTTCGTAAGTTCCTGTCATGGCTGCGGCCACAAATTTTTTGGTTCTATTTATCATTTTTAATATACGATGACAAAATTGTTTGAAAATATCAACAATCTGAATTCTACCTTTATATGTATATGTGTATACATATATTTATATTTATTTGCATATATATGTATATACTAGCCGTCCCGGTCAGACCCTGCACTGGCCTCTGTGAAAAACCTATCTGTAAAGGACAATGACTTGTGTGTTTAGTAATCAGCATATACCCGGCATTGCCCGGGTTTAGGAAATATATTACTTTTCTAATTAAACCTAACCACACCAACCAAAACCAAAACACACAAAAAAAATGCCAATATAACACAAACTCAATACAAACGCAAACACAAACCCATACAGAATTCAACTTTATATATTAGATATGAATAATATGTATTATATAGGCCTATATATATAATATATATATATATACACATACATTTTCAATTAGTTGTGCAAACCTTGTCTGATTTCGTAGTCAGCAAGTTAAACTAAGAAAAACAAAGTATCCCCTAGATCTATCTGACAAAATGTTTGAATTATGTTTTTGATATTTACTGAAAATAAAAAAAAACGGGAGTGATCTCCCCCAAACTTTCTCGAATATTCTAATATAACACTTTGTGGGATGGCAACTCGGAATATAGACATGATTTTTGTTTACTTAAACTTTTAAAAATAGAATAGAATCTCGTAGAAAAAAGAATTGTGCACCAAGCGAATGCCAAATAAAGATGTGCATAATAGTGCGCAATATTATTAGTACTTTATAAATTTACATGCGTTTTTTGATAAATCGGAAATAGCGTAAATTAGTAATTCCGGTCAACGGAAATTACTCAAAATTTGACAGAAGGTAGAGAATTAGATCTTTTACTTACATGTGAAATTTCATTTATCTATCTGAAATAGTACTCAAGTTATAAAAAAAAAGTCCTTTACAAATTTCTGGTCAATATGGTTAGATTTATATGTAACTGTGTGCTTGTAGGGCGAGAGTATTACGTACTGGTGTGGTTGCCATTCCACACTTAATTTCAACAGGGTCAAGTGCTCTTTACTTTTCTTTCTATATGGCACAAACAATGTAAGACGCACTAAATTTCAACATCTAGTGCTCTCTACTTCTGTATCTAAATGGTACAAATAATTCTGTTGAATATTATCCACCCCTCTTGATGCACAATAATTTATGGAGCCTTTAGTTTTCTCAAATGGTTAGCTGAAAAATATTGACTGTAAAGGGTTAAGAGGCAAAAAAGGTTATTACAAAGCTCAAAATGTTTTAGTTACTCATTTTATTTATACTACAAAATACACAAAAAAATAACAATTAAAAATATTTATTGAGCTTTGGTTTGATTACAAACTTGGTCATTAAATGAAATAAGATTATTTATAAGATTTAAAAAAAAACATTTTAATTCTAAAACCTGGTACATTCTATTCAATGGAATTGATGGGGACAAAGGTGCAATGCATTCAATAATTTAAAATACATTATGGCAAATGCTTTTTTTTTTACCTGTTTATTGTTTCTATCTAAGATGTGATTTATTTTGTTACCTACTTTTCTTGAATGCAACTAGATGAAATCAAAGGTAAGCAACGGCATGCAAGCTGAGTTTTCATTTTTTTGCAATGCTGAGAAGAAGTTGTTTCCTTTGATCAAACTGACTCAAAAGATAGATGTTTGCTGCCTGGCTCAATTTTTTTTGTTGAAATATTTAAAAATTGACTTATTTCACTCTATTGTCAATCAAAGCCATTGTTTGCTCCTTTTTTATAAGTTTACAACTGATGTGTATAAAATCAGCAGAATGTGCTGTAAAAAAGATTCAGCAATATTTATTACTACTTTTAATAAAGCTGATTTAAAACATTTATATTGTATCTATATATAATCTTTTTTGTTTACCCTCTTTTTTTCTGACATGAGTATTATTTGTAACAGACTTGCCCTGTTAATTTTAGATGTTTAGACATTTTTTTCCCTTTCTATTTTGCACACATTTGGATTCCTATCATCTTTTAATGCCTAGTGACACATAGGCTATATATTGAACTAGTTATAAAAAATTATTTTTCAAGAATATTATCTTAAATGTCTATTAAGCATTTATTTTAAAATAATGTAATGAGCCTGATCTAATACATAAAAAAACTCATGATCAAAGTACAAGAAAAGAGGGTACTCCAACTATTTTTCCTGAATAGTTCTTGGTTTTTAAATTGCCCACATTTCTCTGAAATGCACTCATACAAAATCTTGATTTTCAGCACTTGATGCTACGCAATTATATACCCAAGATTTCCAACAATCTTGTCAAATATATTTAAAAGCTTATCTTTTATCACAAATACATTTTCTGCATTATCAGGGAAATTGGATTAGAAATGTCAATTTTTAATTTTTGTTTCCCTTTACTGAGCATGCTGATTTCCTTTGAAAAATATGCATTTTTATTTTCAAGCAGGTTTCTTTATTCCGATGACAAGTTTATCTGGGCAGATACCTGTGTTTAACATAATGCATGCATTTTCAAATTCTAATGTGCTAATCAGAGCAGTGAGCAAAAATATAATCTGAATGAATAACGCAAAAGTATCTGACTACTGGGAGACAGTGTTAGTTTTCTCTTTGCTGATGTTCATTCTTACAAATTGTTTACAAAAGTTTACTTTAGAAAAATGACTCAGTTTGACTGATGTTCATGTTTACAAGTCACAAGTTTACTTGAGAAAAAAATGACTCAGCTTGACTAATTAAGCTAAAGGAACTAAACCAAAAATTTTTTAAAGAATATTTGCAATCCTCACCAAAAAGTGTGTAATTGTTCAGATAGAAAAAACAAGTTTTTAGTCTTGAGACATCAGTAGGAACCATGGACCCTTGGGTTAGGGTTAGGGTTAGGTCAGTAGGAACCATGGACCCTTGGAAAAATTCAGGTGGTCCACTAGGAAAATATTCTGGTCAAAAACCTGGATCGTTGCTGTAATGGGTCTATTAGTGCTTTAATTTTTTTTAATGTGTCATTTAAGAAACCCTGCCCCTTTGTTGTTTTGTTATTATTGTATATTTCAGTTTGTAAAATTTAAGTTGGAAAGGGGCCATTTCTATTATTTCTTGGGCTGTTTTTAATTATTTCTCAGGCTGCTTGGCCTTAGCAAGTCCACCCCTGGTAGGAATCTATCCCATGCTCTGTCCATTTTTAGAACATTTTTTTATCAAGTTACTGCTCATTGGTTTTTGCACAATTTTAAAATATTTTGTTATCCTTTATGTAAGAAATAGTTCTGAATATTACTTAATCAACTTAAATTGGAACAGAGCTGCCTTGTATATTCATCTTAAAAATCTATATAATAATAATAATAATTGTTTAGGGAAGAAAGTGAGTAGGAGTTTTCAACTTATGAATCGGTATGATAACATTCTTTTAGAGAGCTTATCATGTCAGGCAGAATGTAGAGTGCCACTCTTCCTTGATGTCCCGGATTTCCTGATTCAAAATTATATATGTTTCACTTCAGTGTTTTATCAGAATTATCAGTTTAAACAAAAAATAAAATCAAGACCGTTTTATACTTGAAAATTGTGGCATTCAAGAAATAGTTTTTATTATCAAGACTCCAGAGAATTTTTTCTTCATATAGCCCTTTCCGCCAGTGTTGCATGCGTAGATCGTACAATTTTTACTGCTGAGTAAACCTAGAATTTTTCAACATTGTTGTGACGTTATTTGTTTTCTGTCATCTGACAATGAACACTGAAAACTAAATAAACAGAATCAGATTGTTATAAAGTTTAAAGTTTGAATTCAGTAGTCTTTATCGGATAGGTGGTAATGTTTAGCAGGAAAGTTCTTTTGGTACAAAACTAACATTTAATATTATAAATGTGTCTCTGACCATTACTGGCCTTTGTCTGACATCACACTGAAGTCTCAGTCACTGTGACCTAATATCTTTTTTTCAGGCCTATGTTTGAACTTACTGTGATTAATTTGTTAGTACAGATCATTTTGTCATTTTGGTTTAGTGCAGATCATTTTAGCCACAGTTTTTACACTAGTTGTTTATAAGAATAGAGGAATTTTGGTATATCATCAAAGAGGAAAGATGTGGGAAGGGGGCTACTGGGCTGTTTTGTGCATATTGATCAAAGTGGAGGTTACTGCTTTATGTTTACACAGGTATTTGGTTTTATAAGACAAGCCTCCGAACCCACAGTTTTGAGTCTGATTTTAGAAGAGCCTTTAAAATGTGTAAAATGAATAATTGATTATGAGGAGTTATTCCTCCTGAACAATTATGAGGAAGTTAACTTGTATAGTAAAAGTAGCTTCTATTACACTTTTAAAATTATGTACTTGATAAAAATTTCAAAACTAAAAATTCTGAATAATGTAAGTTTTCTACATTAAAAAAATCTATGATTATTTACCAAAATCTTTTAATATATACTTTGAACTGTGTTAACCCTTAAAGCAAAAATAAAAGAATTTAATTTTAAAAGTTTGTATTAATGTTAGACAGTACAAAATATATTAACTTATTTAAGAAACATTTGAAGTCATCTGTCATTTTGTCTCTGATTTTTTTACCATCCTATTTAAGACAAATGTGATAAATTTCAAGATTTTTACATTTGCATTACTTTTTTTTTTAGATTTATGAACTGGCCAAAGAGACTGTGTTTTTACTGTTGGACTTCAATTCAGAGGCACAAGGACTTCTGGACTGGGTTATAGACAGATGCTACACTGGACACAATGAGGTCGCTGATGGCTGCTTTAATGCCCTTGCTGCTGTATTTCAAACCAGGTAGAAAAGCTATCATATCTGTTTGTTGTCAAGTCTTAGCATAAGGTAAACTAAAGCGTACTACCAACTTTAGTCTAATTTTTGTATAACATGTTGATCTATTACAATTTACATGGTAGATATTATTTACTCAGACAACTTCTTAAATCAGGTTGGATCAGATAAGATAAATTTAAATTATATGCAACAGTGAGCCAAGAATAACCCATACCATTTTCTCTTATTTTTATAATTGAAGGGAATATCCTTGTGACCACGTAGCAATGTTAAACTTAGCAGTTTTAAATGTTGGCAGTCCAAGAATGTCTACCCATGAAACGGCTATTCAATTGTTACACTTACTGGACCTGCGGTAAACCATTTAAAAATAATACAAAATAATATTATTTTAATTCAATTGGACCGTTATTGTCTAGTCATACTGTTTTGACTCACTTTGAAAGAAGCCACTCAATATTTTGTGCTGCTAACCTAGCAGAAAATTCTGTCTGTTGTCAGATTTTTTCAAGAGCCTCCAGTTTTTAAAGAAACAACAGAAGATCTCAGCCCCCCTGTGGTGGCCTTAAATGACACTTTGCTGGCTGTGTCTTACTGCAACTCACAAATCTTTATATCGGATCAACTGGCCAGAATTCACACTGATCTTACCATGCCCATGTTTTCTGGTGAGTTTTCAGTGGCAAATGTTGTTTATCTATATATATAAAGAGCAGTGTATGTGTGTTTGTGTCTATTTGTTTGTCTGTCTTTTATGCATTACTACACATTTCATCCGATCGCCATAAAACTTTGAGGAGTTGATTAGAACACTCCAGGATAGGGTTCTGTAAAAAATCTTATTTTAACTTCGGAAGGGCGGCGCCGCAGGAGGGTGCGATTTCTCTCCATATACGGTATATAAAAATAAAAGTCAGATGCGGTTTGATACTGTTGTGTGCCATGAAACTTTGGGGAGTTAATGAGAATACCCTCATGAAGGTTTCTGTGAACAAAATAATAAAAATTTGATATGGGCACGCAATTTTCGTCAATACACAATTTGGCGCCCAGAGTTCCAGAGTGGCTATGTTAGCACGTGGCATCCGTTAATCGTGCGCCCTGCATAGCGGGTAAGGGTTACTACTATATTCAGCGTTAAAACTTCAACAGGCGCAACTGCCGCGCCCCATAGAATGCACGACCCGGAGTGCCGGGCTACCTTGCGAGCACTATGGCGCCTATGTTCATTAAAAAAATAGGCTATACACTATAGACACGATGGGCAACATAAATTGTTGACTATATTGAACCAGGCCCGTCCCCTGGCACCCCTGGGCTTCCCTGTGAGCACAATGGTGCCTACATTCGTTTTAAACAGTGCGGTAGACAATGGATACGATGGGCTGTTACTGTCTCTCACTAAATTGAATCAGGCGTGTCTGCAGGCGCCCTGGTAGGGTGCGATTTGACTGGGAACAATAATTTCAGTTTTGGACCGCAAAGGCTCACGTGCGCTGCTGAGAGCCCTGTAATACATGTTTTTTAATAATCAGAAAAATTAACCAAGGTTAGATTATTAACACTGGGTTGTTTCCTTTTTTCCGTAAAAAAAAATCCAAACGATTCCAGAGGTTTCACTTCTCAAAATTATTAAAATATTTCCGTAAAAATTTAAGTTTAGGAGGGCAACTCAAATAAAAAATAAAAGTCACCTATAATATTTTCAGGCATTATGGGGAATCATACTGGCTTTTGATTTATGTAAAAAAAAGAAGATGGAATTTTTTTGAGATAGATGGTTTGCTACCGAGACCATTGATATAATGTATGAAAAAAAAAAAAAAAAAAAAAAAAAAATATATATATATATATACATAATGTATGAATATATACGTAAATGCATACATTTATTGTTCTGGTCATAATTCTTATTGGTCTTTTCATATTTTTTTCCAACCATTTTTAGAAATAACTCAGAGGTTTCAGACGGCCCGACCTTCTGTTCGACAAACTCTGTTGAAATATTTACTTCCTTGGCTGCACAATATGGAGCTAGTGGACCCATCTCTCCCACAGACATCACCTTTGACCTCCTTCCTTACCCGTTTGACAGATGCTCAGTCTGATGCCTTTATGCCACCATTGAAAGGGGAAGGTTGGGGATCTACACAAGCTACAGAGATGGTGTTGAACAATTTGTTCTACATCACAGTTACAGTCAGTTGGTTCAATCATTTTGTTCTAGTTGACCTTTTTAAAACTACAGAAAAAGTGACAAAATGTTGTGGAAGTAATGTTAAGGGGAGTGGGTGTAATGTTAAGGGGAGTGGGTGTAATGTTAAGGGGAGTGGGTGTAAAATGATGTGGAAGTAATGTTAATGGGAGTGGGTGTAAAATGTTGTGGAAGTAATGTTAAGGGGAGCGGGTGTAAAATGATGTCGAAGTAATGTTAATGGGAGTGGGTGTAAAATGTTGTGGAAGTAATGTTAAGGGGAGCGGGTGTAAAATGATGTGGAAGTAATGTTAATGGGAGTGGGTGTAAAATGTTGTGGAAGTAATGTTAAGGGGAGTGGGTGTAAAATGTTGTGGAAGTAATGTTAAGGGGAGTGGGTGTAAAATGTGGGAGTAATGTTAAGGGGAGTGGGGGTAAAATGTGGGAGTAATGTTAAGGGGAGTGGGGGTAAAATGTTGTGGAAGTAATGTTAAGGGGAGTGGGGGTAAAATGTTGTGGGAGTAATGTTATGGGGAGTGGGAGTAAAATGTGGGAGTAATGTTAAGGGGAGTGGGGGTAAAATGTTGTCGAAGTAATGTTAAGGGGAGTGGAGTAAAATGTGGGAGTAATGTTAAGGGGAGTGGGTGTAAATGTTGTGGGAGTAATGTTAAGGGGAGTGGGTTTAAAATGTGGGAGTAATGTTAACGGGAGTGGGGGTAAAATGTTGTGGAAGTAATGTTAAGGGGAGTGGGTGTAAATGTTGTGGGAGTAATGTTAAGGGTATTGGGGTAAAATATTGTGGGAGTAATGTTAAAGGGATTGGGGGTAAATATGGGAGTAATGTTAAGGGGAGTGGGGGTAAAATGTTGTGGGAGTAATGTAATGGGGAGTGGGGGTAAAATGTTGTGGGAGTAATGTTAAGGAGAGTGGGGGTAAAATGTTGTCGAAGTAATGTTAAGGGGAGTGGAGTAAAATGTGGGAGTAATGTTATGGGGAGTGGGTGTAAATGTTGTGGGAGTAATGTTAAGGGTATTGGGGAAAATTTAGTGGGAGTAATGTTAAGGGGAGTGGGGGTAAAATGTTGTGGAAATAATGTTAAGGGGAGTGGGTGTAAAATGTTGTCGAAGTAATGTTAAGGGAAGTGGGTGTAAATGTTGTGAGAGTAATGTTAACGGTATTGAGGTAAAATATTGTTGGAGTAATGTTAAGGGGATTGGGGGTAAATATGGGAGTAATGTTAAGGGGAGTGGGTGTAAAATGTGGGAGTAATGTTATGGGGAGTGGGGGTAAAATGTTGTGGAAGTAATGTTAAGGGGAGTGGGTTTAAAATGTGGGAGTAATATTAAGGGGAGTGGTGGTAAAATGTGGGAGTTATGTTAAGGGGAGTGGGGGTAAAATGTTGTGGAAGTAATGTTAAGGGGAGTGGGGGTAAAATGTGGGAGTAATGTTATGGGGAGTGGGGGTAAAATGTTGTGGTAGTAATGTTAAGGAGAGTGGGGGTAAAATGTTGTCGAAGTAATATTAAGGGGAGTGGAGTAAAATGTGGGAGTAATGTTAAGGGGAGTGGGTGTAAATGTTGTGGGAGTAATGTTAAGGGGAGTGGGTTTAAAATGTGGGAGTAATGTTAAGGAGAGTGGGGGTAAAATGTTGTGGAAGTAATGTTAAGGGGAGTGGGGGTAAAATGTTGTGGGAGTAATGTTATGGGGAGTGGGGTAAAATGTGGGAGTAATGTTAAGGGGAGTGGGGGTAAAATGTTGTCGAAGTAATGTTAAGGGGAGTGGGTTTAAAATGTGGGAGTAATGTTAAGGGGAGTGGAGTAAAATGTGGGAGCAATGTTAAGGGGAGTGGGTGTAAATGGTGTGGGAGTAATGTTAAGGAGAGTGGGTGTAAAATGTTGTGGGAGTAAGGTTAAGAGGAGTGGGGGTAAAATGTTGTGGGAGCCATGTTAAGGGGATTGGGGGTAAATGTGGGAGTAATGTTAAGGAGAGTGGGTGTAAAATGTTGTCGAAGTAATGTTAAGGGGAGTGGGGGTAAAATGTGGGAGTAATGTTAAGGGATTGGGGTAAAATATTGTGGGAGTAATGTTAAGGGGATTGGGGGTAAAATGTTGTGGGAGCCATGTTAAGGGGATTGGGGGTAAAATGTTGTGGGAGCCATGTTAAGGGGATTGGGGTTAAATGTGGGAGTAATGTTGAGAGTGGGTGTAAAATGTTGTGGAAGTAATGTTAAGGGGAGTGGGGGTAAAATGTTGTGGGAGCCATGTTAAGGGGATTGGGGGTAAATGTGGGAGTAATGTTAAGGAGAGTGGGTGTAAAATGTTGTTGAAGTAATGTTAAGGGGAGTGGGGGTAAAATGTGGGAGTAATGTTAAGGGATTGGGGTAAAATATTGTGGGAGTAATGTTAAGGGGATTGGGGGTAAAATGTTGTGGGAGTAATGTTTAGGGGAGCAGGTTTAAAATGTGGGAGTAATTTTAAGGGGAGTGGGGGTAAAATAATGTGGGAGTAATGTTATGGGGAGTGGGGGTAAAATGTTGTGGGAGTAATGTTAAGGAGAGTGGGGGTAAAATGTTGTCGAAGTAATGTTAAGGGGAGTGGAGTAAAATGTGGGAGTAATGTTATGGGGAGTGGGTGTAAATGTTGTGGGAGTAATGTTAAGGGTATTGGGGAAAATTTAGTGGGAGTAATGTTAAGGGGAGTGGGGGTAAAATGTTGTGGAAATAATGTTAAGGGGAGTGGGTGTAAAATGTTGTCGAAGTAATGTTAAGGGAAGTGGGTGTTAATGTTGTGAGAGTAATGTTAACGGTATTGGGGTAAAATATTGTTGGAGTAATGTTAAGGGGATTGGGGGTAAATGTGGGAGTAATGTTAAGGGGAGTGGGTGTAAAATGTTGTGGAAGTAATGTTAAGGGGAGTGGGGGTAAAATGTGGGAGTAATGTTATGGGGAGTGGGGGTAAAATGTTGTGGAAGTAATGTTAAGGGGAGTGGGGGTAAAATGTTGTGGGAGCCATGTTAAGGGGATTGGGGGTAAATGTGGGAGTAATGTTGAGAGTGGGTGTAAAATGTTGTGGAAGTAATGTTAAGGGGAGTGGGGGTAAAATGTTGTGGGAGCCATGTTAAGGGGATTGGGGGTAAATGTGGGAGTAATGTTAAGGAGAGTGGGTGTAAAATGTTGTCGAAGTAATGTTAAGGGGAGTGGGGGTAAAATGTGGGAGTAATGTTAAGGGATTGGGGTTAAATATTGTGGGAGTAATGTTATGGGGAGTGGGGGTAAAATGTTGTGGAAGTAATGTTAAGGGGAGTGGGGGTAAAATGTTGTGGGAGTAATGTTATGGGGAGTGGGGGTAAAATGTGGGAGTAATGTTAAGGGGAGTGGGGGTAAAATGTTGTCGAAGTAATGTTAAGGGGAGTGGGGGTAAATGTGGGAGTAATGTTAAGGGGAGTGGGTGTAAAATGTTGTGGAAGTAATGTTAAGGGGAGTGGGTTTAAAATGTGGGAGTAATATTAAGGGGAGTGGTGGTAAAATGTGGGAGTAATGTTAAGGGGAGTGGGGGTAAAATGTTGTGGAAGTAATGTTAAGGGGAGTGGGGGTAAAATGTGGGAGTAATGTTATGGGGAGTGGGGGTAAAATGTTGTGGTAGTAATGTTAAGGAGAGTGGGGGTAAAATGTTGTCGAAGTAATGTTAAGGGGAGTGGAGTAAAATGTGGGAGTAATGTTAAGGGGAGTGGGTTTAAAATGTGGGAGTAATGTTAAGGAGAGTGGGGGTAAAATGTTGTGGAAGTAATGTTAAGGGGAGTGGGGGTAAAATGTTGAGGGAGTAATGTTATGGGGAGTGGGGGTAAAATGTGGGAGTAATGTTAAGGGGAGTGGGGGTAAAATGTTGTCGAAGTAATGTTAAGGGGAGTGGGTTTAAAATGTGGGAGTAATGTTAAGGGGAGTGGAGTAAAATGTGGGAGCAATGTTAAGGGGAGTGGGTGTAAATGGTGTGGGAGTAATGTTAAGGAGAGTGGGTGTAAAATGTTGTGGGAGTAAGGTTAAGAGGAGTGGGGGTAAAATGTTGTGGGAGCCATGTTAAGGGGATTGGGGGTAAATGTGGGAGTAATGTTAAGGAGAGTGGGTGTAAAATGTTGTCGAAGTAATGTTAAGGGGAGTGGGGGTAAAATGTGGGAGTAATGTTAAGGGATTGGGGTAAAATATTGTGGGAGTAATGTTAAGGGGATTGGGGGTAAAATGTTGTGGGAGCCATGTTAAGGGGATTGGGGGTAAATGTGGGAGTAATGTTGAGAGTGGGTGTAAAATGTTGTGGAAGTAATGTTAAGGGGAGTGGGGGTAAAATGTTGTGGGAGCCATGTTAAGGGGATTGGGGGTAAATGTGGGAGTAATGTTAAGGAGAGTGGGTGTAAAATGTTGTTGAAGTAATGTTAAGGGGAGTGGGGGTAAAATGTGGGAGTAATGTTAAGGGATTGGGGTAAAATATTGTGGGAGTAATGTTAAGGGGATTGGGGGTAAAATGTTGTGGGAGTAATGTTTAGGGGAGCAGGTTTAAAATGTGGGAGTAATTTTAAGGGGAGTGGGGGTAAAATAATGTGGGAGTAATGTTAAGGGGAGTGGGGGTAAAATGTGGGAGTAATGTTTAAGGGAGCAGGTTTAAAATGTGGGAGTAATTTTAAGGGGAGTGGGGGTAAAATGTTGTGGGAGTAATGTTAAGGGGAGTGGGGGTAAAATGTTGTGGGAGTAATGTTAAGGGGAGTGGGGGTAAAATGTTGTGGGAGTAAGGTTAAGGGGAGTGGGGGTAAAATGTGGGAGTATAGTTGTGGGGAGTGGGGGTAAAAAGTTGTGGGAGTAATGTTAAGGGGATTGGGGGTAAATGTAGGAGTAATGTTAAGGGAGTAGTGGTGAATGAGGGAGTAATGTTAAGGAGAGTGGGGGTAAAATGTTGTCGAAGTAATGTTAAGGGGAGTGGAGTAAAATGTGGGAGTAATGTTAAGGGGAGTGGGTGTAAATGTTGTGGGAGTAATGTTAAGGGGAGTCGGTTTAAAATGTGGGAGTAATGTTAAGGGGAGTGGGGGTAAAATGTGGGAGTAATGTTAAAGAGAGTGGGTGTAAAATGTTGTTGAAGTAATGTTAAGGGGAGTGGGTGTAAATGTTGTGGGAGTAATGTTAAGGGGATTGGGGTAAAATATTGTGGGAGTAATGTTAAGGGGATTGGGGGTAAATGTGGGAGTAATGTTAAGGGGAGTGGGGGTAAAATGTTGTGGAAGTAATGTTAATGGGAGTGGGTTTAAAATGTGGGAGTAATGTTAAGGGGAGTGGGGGTAAAATGTGGGAGTAATGTTAAGGGGAGTGGGGGTAAAATGTTGTGGAAGTAATGTTAAGGGGAGTGGGGGTAAAATGTGGGAGTAATGTTATGGGGAGTGGGGGTAAAATGTGGGAGTAATGTTATGGGGAGTGGGGGTAAAATGTTGTCGAAGTAATGTTAAGGGGAGTGGGTTTAAAATGTGGGAGTAATGTTAAGGGGAGTGGAGTAAAATGTGGGAGTAATGTTGAGAGTGGGTTTAAAATGTTGTGGGAGCCATGTTAAGGGGATTGGGGGTAAATGTGGGAGTAATGTTAAGGAGAGTGGGTGTAAAATGTTGTGGGAGTAATGTTAAGGAGAGTGGGGGTAAAATGTTGTGGGAGCCATGTTAAGGGGATTGGGGGTAAATGTGGGAGTAATGTTAAGGAGAGTGGGGGTAAAATGTGGGAGTAATGTTAAGGGATTGGGGTAAAATATTGTGGGAGTAATGTTAAGGGGATTGGGGGTAAAATGTTGTGGAAGTAATGTTAAGGGGAGTGGGGGTAAAATGTTGTGGGAGCCATGTTAAGGGGATTGGGGGTAAATGTGGGAGTAATGTTGAGAGTGGGTGTAAAATGTTGTGGAAGTAATGTTAAGGGGAGTGGGGGTAAAATGTTGTGGGAGCCATGTTAAGGGGATTGGGGGTAAATGTGGGAGTAATGTTAAGGAGAGTGGGTGTAAAATGTTGTCGAAGTAATGTTAAGGGGAGTGGGGGTAAAATGTGGGAGTAATGTTAAGGGATTGGGGTTAAATATTGTGGGAGTAATGTTATGGGGAGTGGGGGTAAAATGTTGTGGGAGTAATGTTAAGGGGAGTGGGGGTAAAATGTTGTGGAAGTAATGTTAAGGGGAGTGGGGGTAAAATGTGGGAGTAATGTTATGGGGAGTGGGGGTAAAATGTTGTGGTAGTAATGTTAAGGAGAGTGGGGGTAAAATGTTGTCGAAGTAATGTTAAGGGGAGTGGAGTAAAATGTGGGAGTAATGTTAAGGGGAGTGGGTGTAAATGTTGTGGGAGTAATGTTAAGGGGAGTGGGGGTAAAATGTTGTGGAAGTAATGTTAAGGGGAGTGGGGGTAAAAAGTTGTGGGAGTAATGTTAAGGGGATTGGGGGTAAATGTAGGAGTAATGTTAAGGGAGTAGTGGTGAATGAGGGAGTAATGTTAAGGAGAGTGGGGGTAAAATGTTGTCGAAGTAATGTTAAGGGGAGTGGAGTAAAATGTGGGAGTAATGTTAAGGGGAGTGGGTGTAAATGTTGTGGGAGTAATGTTAAGGGGAGTGGGTTTAAAATGTGAGAGTAATGTTAAGGGGAGTGGGGGTAAAATGTGGGAGTAATGTTAAGGAGAGTGGGTGTAAAATGTTGTTGAAGTAATGTTAAGGGGAGTGGGTGTAAATGTTGTGGGAGTAATGTTAAGGGGATTGGGGTAAAATATTGTGGGAGTAATGTTAAGGGGATTGGGGGTAAATGTGGGAGTAATGTTAAGGGGAGTGGGGGTAAAATGTTGTGGAAGTAATGTTAATGGGAGTGGGTTTAAAATGTGGGAGTAATGTTAAGGAGAGTGGGGGTAAAATGTGGGAGTAATGTTAAGGGGAGTGGGGGTAAAATGTTGTGGAAGTAATGTTAAGGGGAGTGGGGGTAAAATGTGGGAGTAATGTTATGGGGAGTGGGGGTAAAATGTGGGAGTAATGTTATGGGGAGTGGGGGTAAAATGTTGTCGAAGTAATGTTAAGGGGAGTGGGTTTAAAATGTGGAGTAATGTTAAGGGGAGTGGAGTAAAATGTGGGAGTAATGTTAAGGGGAGTGGGTTTAAAATGTTGTGGGAGCCATGTTAAGGGGATTGGGGGTAAATGTGGGAGTAATGTTAAGGAGAGTGGGTGTAAAATGTTGTGGGAGTAAGGTTAAGGGGAGTGGGGGTAAAATGTTGTGGGAGCCATGTTAAGGGGATTGGGGGTAAATGTGGGAGTAATGTTAAGGAGAGTGGGTGTAAAATGTTGTCGAAGTAATGTTAAGGGGAGTGGGGGTAAAATGTGGGAGTAATGTTAAGGGATTGGGGTAAAATATTGTGGGAGTAATGTTAAGGGGATTGGGGGTAAAATGTTGTGGAAGTAATGTTAAGGGGAGTGGGGGTAAAATGTTGTGGGAGCCATGTTAAGGGGATTGGGGGTAAATGTGGGAGTAATGTTGAGAGTGGGTGTAAAATGTTGTGGAAGTAATGTTAAGGGGAGTGGGGGTAAAATGTTGTGGGAGCCATGTTAAGGGGATTGGGGGTAAATGTGGGAGTAATGTTAAGGAGAGTGGGTGTAAAATGTTGTCGAAGTAATGTTAAGGGGAGTGGGGGTAAAATGTTGTGGGAGTAATGTTATGGGGAGTGGGGGTAAAATGTGGGAGTAATGTTAAGTGGAGTGGGGGTAAAATGTTGTCGAAGTAATGTTAAGGGGAGTGGGGGTAAATGTGGGAGTAATGTTAAGGGGAGTGGGTGTAAAATGTTGTGGAAGTAATGTTAAGGGGAGTGGGTTTAAAATGTGGGAGTAATATTAAGGGGATTGGGGGTAAATGTGGGAGTAATGTTAAGGAGAGTGGGTGTAAAATGTTGTCGAAGTAATGTTAAGGGGAGTGGGGGTAAAATGTGGGAGTAATGTTAAGGGATTGGGGTTAAATATTGCGGGAGTAATGTTAAGGGGAGTGGGGGTAAAATGTTGTGGGAGTAATGTTAAGGAGAGTGGGTGTAAAATGTTGTCGAAGTAATGTTAAGGGGAGTGGGGGTAAAATGTGGGAGTAATGTTAAGGGATTGGGGTTAAATATTGTGGGAGTAATGTTAAGGGGATTGGGGGTAAATTGTTGTGGGAGTAATGTTTAGGGGAGTGGGTTTAAAATGTGGGAGTAATGTTAAGGGGAGTGGGGGTAAAATGTGGGAGTAATGTTAAGGGGAGTGGGTGTAAAATGTGGGAGTAATGTTAAGGGGAGTGTGGGCAAAATGTGGGAGTAATGTTTAAGGGAGCAGGTTTAAAATGTGGGAGTAATTTTAAGGGGAGTGGGGGTAAAATGTTGTGGGAGTAATGTTAAGGGGAGTGGGGGTAAAATGTGGGAGTAATGTTAGGGGAGTGGGGGTAAAAAGTTGTGGGAGTAATGTTAAGGGGATTGGGGGTAAATGTGGGAGTAATGTTAAGGGGAGTAGTGGTAAATGTGGGAGTAATGTTAAGGGGATTGGGGGTAAAATGTGGGAGTAATGTTAAGGGGAGTGTGGGCAAAATGTGGGAGTAATGTTAAGGGGAGTGGGGGTAAAATGTGGGAGTAATGTTAAGGGGAGTGGGGGTAAAATGTGGGAGTAATGTTAAGGGGAGTGGGGGTAAAATGTGGGAGTAATGTTAAGGGGAGTGGGGGTAAAATGTGGGAGTAATGTTAAGGGGAGTGGGGGTAAATGTTGTGGGTATAATGTTAAGGGGAGTGGGGGTAAAATGTGGGAGTAATGTTAAGGGGAGTGGGGGTAAAATGTGGGAGTAATGTTAAGGGGAGTGGGTGTAAATGTTGTGGGAGTTATGTTAAGGGGATTGGGGGTAAAATGAAGTAACATGTGGGAGTCATGTTAAGGGGGAGGGGTAGGTAGTTGACTGCAGAGAATTGTCTTGCTACACTTGATTCTTTTTATTCATGTTTAGATATTTTTGGTGAGTGACATATTTTAAAATGTGTGGTTCTTATTGAATGATTTGAGCCTCTGTTTTTCACAGATACTCCCCTTATGTAGGGATTGGGTAGAGATTTTAGTATTGGTGGTTAAATTTGAATTTAAAAACTATTTGTCTGATTCTCTTTTTCTAGTTTGGTGATGAGCATCCATTAGAAATTGAAGCCCTGTGGGCAGCTCTTGTAGCTTGCTGGTCATTCAACCTGAAAGTTATCATTCGTTACCTTATCATCATCACCAATATTGCTGCTACAGACCTGCTACCATACGTAAGTAGTCATCTTTAAAGTTATCATTCGTTACCTTATCATCATCACCAATATTGCTGCTACAGACCTGCTACCATACGTAAGTAGTCATCTTTAAAGTTATCATTCGTTACCTTATCATCATCACCAATATTGCTGCTACAGACCTGCTACCATACGTAAGTAGTCATCTTTGTTACGGGTCAGTTGTAGCTTAGATAGAAATAGGCTAGAATAATCTAGAACTTGAGGGAGAGTGTGTGTGTGAGTTGAGTTTACACTAGTGTGTAGTAACCCCGGTGTGTTTATGTATTGTTATCCCAGGTAAAATGCAGTATAAAAGCTGGAGTGAAAGATTGTAAGGGGTTAGTTGGTAGCGGTTAGGGCGAGGGCTACTCTGTAATGTGGAGAGTTGAGACCAAATAAAAGTATTGAAGATTGTCACGAAGTGTTTTCTGAGTTAAATTAAACCCAACGTAACAATTTTCTCTAATATAGCTGCCATATATTTTTAAGTAGTCATCTTCACTTATATAGCTGTCACTATCATGAATATTTTATAGTTCACTTCTATATTTAGGATAACAATTATAAATGTAGATAATACTGTTCTCTTAATCTTTTAATTTTAAATGAATTACAAATTCCCAAACCAAAGCCTTTTCAAAAATAGACATGAAGTTTGAAAAGGAATAATTTTCTATGACATCTTGAGTTTATAAAAGAACTAGAATATGATTACATTAAATTCTTGTTTTCAGGCAAAAAGGGTTGTGACATACCTGGGTAGAGCTAAACCAGAAAAACTGGTTGATGAACTAATGAATGAACTTCAGGTATGCAGTTATGTCACATTTAATTATCTTGATGTGGGATTGCTGTTTTATTGTATAACATATTCTGATGTTTTATGGTCTCACTGAAGAAGTGAGGGGGCGTCGGGTAAAAAAAGCACTGAACAAATACTTTGACATGCTGATGATATAAAAATAGTTCTATTCATACATTTTTGCTAGACTGTGGAGACGCTAAATGTCAACATTGAACGTACTCAACCACCGCCATATTATCGCCTGTCCAGTATCAAAAAAGTATCTTCAGCAACCAATGCACCAGATGATGAGAAGCAAATGAGCCCCCCCATGGACTATCAGCTAGAGAAGGGAATACTTCACACAAAGAGACACAGTGCCAATGAAGATGTACAACATGAAAGGTCTTATAGTTCAAATTGACTTAATTCAAACAGACATGACAATTTAGATTGACCTAGTTTAAACAGATATGACAATTACGATTAACTTAGTTCAAACATATAACAATTAAGAATGACCTAGTTCAAACACACATGGCAATTAAGATTGACCTAGTTAAAACAGAGATGACAACTAAGATTGACCTAGTTTGGTTATACCATAAGTGTGCACTAATTATACTCTAATTTTTCTTTGCAGTACTCCAAGGACAAACTCAACAGCTTCATTGAGAAGTATAAACAGTAACAGTACAGGTTCTACCGCTGAACAGCCAGGTGAGGATAGTGTAGAAACAGCCAGGTGAGAATAGTGTAGAAACAGCCAGGTGAGGATAGTGTAGAAACAGCCAGGTGAGGATAGTGTAGAAACAGCCAGGTGAGAATAGTGTAGAAACAGCCAGGTGAGAATAGTGTAGAAACAGCCAGGTGAGGATAGTGTAGAAACAGCCAGGTGAGGATAGTGTAGAAACAGCCAGGTGAGAATAGTGTAGAAACAGCCAGGTGAGAATAGTGTAGAAACAGCCAGGTGAGGATAGTGTAGAAACAGCCAGGTGAGAATAGTGTAGAAACAGCCAGGTGAGGATAGTGTAGAAACAGCCAGGTGAGGATAGTGTAGAAACAGCCAGGTGAGGATAGTGTAGAAACAGCCAGGTGAGAATAGTGTAGAAACAGCCAGGTGAGAATAGTGTAGAAACAGCCAGGTGAGGATAGTGTAGAAACAGCCAGGTGAGGATAGTGTAGAAACAGCCAGGTGAGAATAGTGTAGAAACAGCCAGGTGAGAATAGTGTAGAAACAGCCAGGTGAGAATAGTGTAGAAACAGCCAGGTGAGGATAGTGTAGAAACAGCCAGGTGAGAATAGTGTAGAAACAGCCAGGTGAGGATAGTGTAGAAACAGCCAGGTGAGGATAGTGTAGAAACAGCCAGGTGAGAATAGTGTAGAAACAGCCAGGTGAGGATAGTGTAGAAACAGCCAGGTGAGGATAGTGTAGAAAAGGTAAGTTGTTCACCTAAAATATTTCACTTCAGATGGCTGTTATTTATACAATAAAAATTAAATTTTTTTAGCAAAAATTAAAAAGAAACTTTATACTATCAAGACACTCATGGCAGATTTTGGGCATTAAATTGAAAATGATGTTTGAAAGGGTGTTTTAAAAAATAATATTTTAAAAAATGATGCTTTAAAAAATTATGTTTGAAAGAGTGTTTTAAAAATGATATTTGAAAGAGTGTTTGAAAAAATGATGTTTGAAAAAAAATGATGTTTTAAAAAATGATGTTTGAAAGAGTGTTTTAAAAAATCTTAGAAAGAGTGTTTTAAAAAATGATGTTTGAAAGAGTGTTTTAAAAAATGATGTTTGAAGGAGTGTTTTAAAAAATGATGTTTTAAAGAGTGTTTTAAAAAATGTTAGAGTGTTTTAAAAAATGATGTTTAAAAAAAATTGTTTTCCAGACGATGATGTGATAGGAGCATCTCCTCGAAGTGGTGTTGAACTCAGACGCAGCGAGTCTCCAGCTCCACGACCGCTTACTATGCCAGCTTATGGTGGATACTATGCTCCGCTCAATGAGTGCCTTCCTGAAAACTTCAGCCCAACTCCAGGCTTTCACAGGTCAGCTTCAAGTTTTTATATAGATCTTAGTCTAACACACTCTAAACATTTCTCATATTCTTAGTCTAAAACATTGTCAACATTTCTCTAGATCTTAATCTAACACATTGTAAACCATTGTTACCATTTCTCAAGATCTTAGTCTAAAACATTGTCAACATTTCTCTAGATCTTAGTCTAACACATTGTAAACCATTGTTACCATTTCTCCAGATCTTAATCTAACACATTGTAAACATTTCTCTGGATCTTAATCTAACACATTGTAAACCATTGTTACCATTTCTCAAGATCTTAGTCTAAAACATTGTCAACATTTCTCTAGATCTTAGTCTAACACATTGTAAACCATTGTTACCATTTCTCCAGATCTTAATCTAACACATTGTAAACATTTCTCTAGATCTTAATCTAACACATTGTAAACCATTGTTACCATTTCTCAAGATCTTAGTCTAAAACATTGTCAACATTTCTCTAGATCTTAGTCTAACACATTGTAAACCATTGTTACCATTTCTCAAGATCTTAGTCTAAAACATTGTCAACATTTCTCTAGATCTTAGTCTAACACATTGTAAACCATTGTTACCATTTCTCTAGATCTTAATCTAACACATTGTAAACATTTCTCTAGATCTTAATCTAACATATTGTAAACATTTCTCTAGATCTTAATCTAACACATTGTAAACATTTCTCTAGATCTTAATCTAACACATTGTAAACATTTCTCTAGATCTTAATCTAACACATTGTAAACATTTCTCTAGATCTTAATCTAACACATTGTAAACATTTCTCTAGATCTTAATCTAACACATTGTAAACATTTCTCTAGATCTTAATCTAACACATTGTAAACATTTCTCTAGATCTTAATCTAACACATTGTAAACATTTCTTTTTGTAAATAAAGCTTGAGGTTTTTAATATGTAGATATAGCTCATTTAAAAAATAATTGTTTCTGCCTTTGTGTAAGATTGATTTTTTTTCTCTCTCTTAATAACTTAATATTATTTAGACACAGACAGGTAAACTTGGCCAATTATTGTTTTTAATTATCTTTTGTTACCCATTAAAAACAATTTCTCAGTTTGCCTAATATATTTTCCATACTTTTTATGTCTTTAGAAGTATATTTGTCTGTGTGACTTAAAACTGTCTGTCTTGTCCTAATGAAACACGTATTTTGAAATGTCAATTGCTGAGTATTTTTTTAAGAATCCATGTGTTCTGAGTTGTGCACAGTTCAAATATAGAGCAGAAAACTGATATTATTTATGTGCTTTTAAATTTTCTTGAATGTCAACAAGCTTATGTTCTTATTAGAAGCAACATTGCAGTAATGTTCTTATGTGATCTGGTATTGGATGGCATGGAAGTGGACTGGTCACCTCATCTACCATTAATGCTTCATATTATTTTTTTAGGTAATGTATTTATTCTTTTTGATGTGATTATGTCTACCTTTTCTTCTACAAGTACTCAGGCTTATGTAAAATTTTGATTTTCCCAATATTTTTTTTTGGGTTTGACTATTCCCAGTTTGAATTTTTCTATATACTTTGTAGGGCTTGACCATTCCCAGTTTGATTTTCTCTTTATACTTTGTAGGGCTTGACCATTCCAGAGCTTTGGTGTATGAGCACTGTAAAAAATTACTTCAAAATCTGTTGCTGTTGGCAGCATCACAAGAACAGATATCTGTTGGCACATCCAGACTCTTGCTTTCTTACAGAAGTTCTGTTGCAGATACATTAAAAGTTATATCTGAGGACAGGGATGCACAGCTAACTTTAGGTAATGTTGATAGTTGGATGTCAGTTTTTATAGAAATGAATTAATGTAAATGAAGTCTCCAGAAAAATGAAAAATTGGACTGGATGTGAGCTGGTGCAGCCTCAGACCACCAACTTATGCTGGCATATTAACAACAAAGCTAAAATCCTCTATGGATCAAGCTGATAAATCAAAGAAACTGTATACAAATAATGGCTAGGAATACAGCAACTCCTCAAGTCAAAATGTATATGAGATCATACATCCTGCCTAAGCTATATGAGGACTCTTATTCCTGCGTAAGTTATTTGAGGACCTCTATTCAGTTATTTGAGGACCTCTATTAAGTTATTTGAGGACCTCTATTCAGTTATTTGAGGACCTCTATTAAGTTATTTGAGGACCTCTATTAAGTTATTTGAGGACCTCTATTCAGTTATTTGAGGACCTCTATTAAGTTATTTGAGGACCTCTATTCAGTTATTTGAGGACCTCTATTAAGTTATTTGAGGACCTCTATTCAGTTATTTGAGGACCTCTATTCAGTTATTTGAGGACCTCTATTAAGTTATTTGAGGACCTCTATTCAGTTATTTGAGGACCTCTATTAAGTTATTTGAGGACCTCTATTCAGTTATTTGAGGACCTCTATTAAGTTATTTGAGGACCTCTATTAAGTTATTTGAGGACCTCTATTCAGTTATTTGAGGACCTCTATTAAGTTATTTGAGGACCTCTATTCAGTTATTTGAGGACCTCTATTAAGTTATTTGAGGACCTCTATTAAGTTATTTGAGGACCTCTATTAAGTTATTTGAGGACCTCTACCTCTGGATCAAGAAAAAAATCTTCAACACAATTGTCCAGGCAGTACTACAATAAGGCTCAGAGAACTGTGGGGGGGGGGGTGCTATAAAAAACAACAGGGAAAACTTTCACAATGCTTAAAGATGAAAAATCTGTAATGATCGTCTGTAACAAGAGACAAGTGGGCCAGCCCAAAAAATCATGGAGAAGTAATCTGGAAGGTGACGCAAGGACTGTAGGGCCATTGAAGAAACCACCCAAATCAGTGTTTATTAGAAAGGTGTAGTTTCAGCCCTTTGTTTACAGGATTAACTCATGTCTAACAAGAGATTTACAGGATTAACTCATGTCTAACAAGAGATTTACAGGATTAAGACTAGCCCAACAAGAGATTTACAGGATTAAGTCATGTCTAACAAGAGATTTACAGGATTAACTCATGTCTAACAAGAGATTTACAGGATTAACTCATGTCTAACAAGAGATTTACAGGATTAAGACTAGCCCAACAAGAGATTTACAGGATTAAGTCATGTCTAACAAGAGATTTACAGGATTAACTCATGTCTAACAAGAGATTTACAGGATTAACTCATGTCTAACAAGAGATTTACAGGATTAAGACTAGCCCAACAAGAGATTTACAGGATTAAGTCATGTCTAACAAGAGATTTACAGGATTAACTCATGTCTAACAAGAGATTTACAGGATTAACTCATGTCTAACAAGAGATTTACAGGATTAAGACTAGTCCAACAAGAGATTTACAGGATTCAGTCATGTCTAACAAGAGATTTACAGGATTCAGTCATGTCTAACAAGAGATTTACAGGATTCAGTCATGTCTAACAAGAGATTTATGGATTAAGACTAGTCCAACAAAGAAGTGTTTGACACATCAAGGCCTATTTTTCAATTATCAACATTTTTAAAAGATGTATCTTAAATGAAAGTGATTTTGATCTATTAAAATGCACTATTGTCCTTATTAGAAACACCTTCAAGGGACCCATACATCCAGTACATCACCAAATCCACATTCAGTATAGACAGCAGTGCCACTGTGACTCCTGATAGTAGCAGTGACTATACAGACCCTGACTCTCTGGGGACAGTGGATGATGTTATTCGTGCTTTGCTCAACTTTATGGAGTCTAGGTAAAACTTTTAATTGCTTCAGTTTAGAATTTTATTCTTGAGCTATTCTAAACCTTATGAAGTCATGTTCTTCAAAAGTTGATTGTTTTTTTAATGTCTGCGATGCTATGGCAGGTTAGTTTTTAACAAGTGTTGTTGTGACTCATTAGACTGTCTGCCAGAGTTCTCAGGCTTAGTGGTGGCTGTTGCTTTCATCAAGTTTTTTTTTTTTTTTTTGCTTCATTTTTCTTTAGGCTCAGAAATATTAAAACGATTAAAATAGTTTATTATGGCCGGGCATTTTCTATCAGTTACCAAAGTTTTGATAATATAAAATAAATTATTTTTATGCTACAAAACATTAGTTCTTACATTTTTTCATGAGATTTTTTACATATTTTAGTGACCAAAGCTTTTATGAAAGACAGCAGATAACTTTTATTTTCTTTTTTTCAATGCATTTAAAAGCTTATTGCTAGAAAGGTTTTTTTATATTTGTTTTATTAAATATAAGAGATGGTGTAGTAATTTGATAATTTTTTTCTACTTTAGAAAAGGAAGACCATTATGGAGTTCAGAAGACATAACACCAAAGGTGTTAAGCACACTAAGCGCCACACATTTAGGTTATTTTCTCAAGTACACAGTAAAGTGTTTCAAGGAGTTGTCCCCCTTGGCTCTTGTGGAACAAAGGTGGTCACAGGTTGCATTGCAGTTGGCTTTATCCTGCTCATCTCGCCATTATGCTGGCAGGTCATTTCAGATTCTCCGAGCTCTTCTCATCCGTCCATCAACACAAATGTTGTCCGACATTTTGTCCAGGCTTGTAGAGACTGTGGCTGAGCAGGGGGAAGACATGCAGGTTGCTCATTTTTTCATTCTCATTTTTCTCATCTATAAAGCTTTTTTCTGATTCTCATTACTATATGTTTTTGTCTGTTTCACAATACTGCATAATGTTTTTGTCTGTTTCACAATACTGCATAATATTTTTGTCTGTTTCACAATACTGCATAATGTTTTTGTCTGTTTCACAAGGCTGTATAATGTTTTTGACTGTTTCACAATACTGTATAATATTTTTGTCTAGCTTTTAACATTGCTGTATAATATGCAGCAAATACTTTGTCTGTTTAGTATAATTTCTGCTGTCTCTATCTTTTAGGGCTACGTAACAGAAATGATGTTGACATTGGAGGCTTCTATTGATAATTTGGACTTGGAGTTTAGACCTATTGATTTTATGAGAGAGCTGTTCATGTCTACACCAAACCTGGCTAAAGACTTTGGAGATACACGCCGTAGTGCCATAACAGCACCAAAGCACTCACAAGCACACCATGCTCGAAGCACCAGCTATACAGTATCAGCCTACACACAAAGAGCTTATGCTGGTGGAGGTTAGTTTGGCTTAACAAAAGCACACTACACATCCATCACACCACACATCCATCACACTACACATCCATCACACCACACATCCACAACATCACACATCCATCACACTACACATCCATAACACCACACATCCATCACACTACACATCCATCACACCACACATCCATCACACCACACATCCACAACACCACACATCCATCACACTACACATCCATCACACCACACATCCATCACACCACAGATCCATCACACTACACATCCATAACACCACTGATCCATCACACTACACATCCATCACACTACACATCCATCACACCACACATCCATCACATCACAGATCCATCACACCACACATCCATCACACTACACATCCATAACACCACAGATCCATCACACTACACATCCATCACACCACAGATCCATAACACCACACATCCATAACACCACACATCCATCACACCACACATCCATCACACCACACATCCATCACACCACACATCCATCACACCACACATCCACAACATCACACATCCATCACACCACACATCCATCACACCACACATCCATCACACCACACATCCATCACACCACACATCCATCACACCACACATCCATAACACCACACATCCATCACACCACACATCCATCACACCACTGATCCATCACACTACACACCCATCACACCACAGATCCATCACACCACACATCCATCACACCACACATCCATCACACCACACATCCATCACACTACACATCCATCACACCACACATCCATCACACCACACATCCATCACACCACACATCCATCACACTACACATCCATCACACCACACATCCATCACACTACACACCCATCACACCACAGATCCATCACACCACACATCCATCACACCACACATCCATCACACCACACATCCATCACACCACACATCCATCACACCACACATCCATCACACCACACATCCATCACACCACACATCCATAACACTACACACCCATCACACCACAGATCCATCACACCACACATCCATCACACCACACATCCATCACACCACACATCCATCACACCACAGATCCATCACACCACACATCCATCACACCACACATCCATCACACCACACATCCATAACACTACACACCCATCACACCACAGATCCATCACACCACACATCCATCACACCACACATCCATCACACCACACATCCATCACACCACAGATCCATCACACCACACATCCATCACACCACACATCCATCACACCACACATCCATCACACCACACATCCACCACACCACACATCCATAACACCACTGATCCATCACACCACACATCCATCACACCACACATCCATCACACCACACATCCATCACACTACACATCCATCATACCACACATCCATCACACCACTGATCCATCACACCACACATCCATCACACCACACATCCATCACACCACACATCCATCACACCACACATCCATCACACCACACATCCATCACACCACTGATCCATCACACTACACACCCATCACACCACAGATCCATCACACCACACATCCATCACACTACACATCCATCACACCACACATCCATCACACCACACATCCATCACACCACACATCCATCACACTACACATCCATCACACCACACATCCATCACACCACACATCCATCACACCACACATCCATCACACTACACATCCATCACACCACACATCCATCACACTACACACCCATCACACCACAGATCCATCACACCACACATCCATCACACCACACATCCATCACACCACACATCCATCACACCACACATCCATCACACCACACATCCATCACACCACACATCCATCACACCACACATCCATAACACTACACACCCATCACACCACAGATCCATCACACCACACATCCATCACACCACACATCCATCACACCACACATCCATCACACCACAGATCCATCACACCACACATCCATCACACCACACATCCATCACACCACACATCCATAACACTACACACCCATCACACCACAGATCCATCACACCACACATCCATCACACCACACATCCATCACACCACACATCCATCACACCACAGATCCATCACACCACACATCCATCACACCACACATCCATCACACCACACATCCATCACACTACACATCCATCACACCACACATCCATCACACCACACATCCATCACACCACACATCCATCACACTACACATCCATCACACCACACATCCATCACACTACACACCCATCACACCACAGATCCATCACACCACACATCCATCACACCACACATCCATCACACCACACATCCATCACACCACACATCCATCACACCACACATCCATCACACCACACATCCATCACACCACACATCCATAACACTACACACCCATCACACCACAGATCCATCACACCACACATCCATCACACCACACATCCATCACACCACACATCCATCACACCACAGATCCATCACACCACACATCCATCACACCACACATCCATCACACCACACATCCATAACACTACACACCCATCACACCACAGATCCATCACACCACACATCCATCACACCACACATCCATCACACCACACATCCATCACACCACAGATCCATCACACCACACATCCATCACACCACACATCCATCACACCACACATCCATCACACCACACATCCACCACACCACACATCCATAACACCACTGATCCATCACACCACACATCCATCACACCACACATCCATCACACCACACATCCATCACACTACACATCCATCATACCACACATCCATCACACCACTGATCCATCACACCACACATCCATCACACCACACATCCATCACACCACACATCCATCACACCACACATCCATCACACCACACATCCATCACACCACTGATCCATCACACTACACACCCATCACACCACAGATCCATCACACCACACATCCATCACACTACACATCCATCACACCACACATCCATCACACCACACATCCATCACACCACACATCCATCACACTACACATCCATCACACCACACATCCATCACACCACACATCCATCACACCACACATCCATCACACTACACATCCATCACACCACACATCCATCACACTACACACCCATCACACCACAGATCCATCACACCACACATCCATCACACCACACATCCATCACACCACACATCCATCACACCACACATCCATCACACCACACATCCATCACACCACACATCCATCACACCACACATCCATAACACTACACACCCATCACACCACAGATCCATCACACCACACATCCATCACACCACACATCCATCACACCACACATCCATCACACCACAGATCCATCACACCACACATCCATCACACCACACATCCATCACACCACACATCCATAACACTACACACCCATCACACCACAGATCCATCACACCACACATCCATCACACCACACATCCATCACACCACACATCCATCACACCACAGATCCATCACACCACACATCCATCACACCACACATCCATCACACCACACATCCATCACACCACACATCCACCACACCACACATCCATAACACCACTGATCCATCACACCACACATCCATCACACCACACATCCATCACACCACACATCCATCACACTACACATCCATCATACCACACATCCATCACACCACTGATCCATCACACCACACATCCATCACACCACACATCCATCACACCACACATCCATCACACCACACATCCATCACACCACACATCCATCACACCACACATCCATCACACTACACATCCATCACACCACTGATCCATCACACCACACATCCATCAAACCACACATAAAGCTGAAGCATATTACATGTCTAGCACACCACACATCCAAAACTAGCTTTACATATCTACACTCATCAGTACACCATTGCACCACACATTGTTCACACCACACATCCAAAACTAGCTTTACATATCTACAATCATCAGTACACCATCACACCACACATCCATCACACCACACATCGTTCACACCACACATCCAAAACTAGCTTTACATATCTACACTCATCAGTACACCATCACACCACACATTGTTCACACCACACATCATCACACCACACAACCAGCACAAATTTACATTGCTTTTAACTTTTATGTAAAACATCTGTGTCTTTCAAATGTTTGTTCTATAAATCTTCATTGGTTTATTGTCAGAATTTAAGAGCTTTTTTTTTAATTTTATAAATAAAAAATAAATAAAAAGTAGCAATAGAACATTAATTTACCCCAGCACATAGGGATAAAGCTGTTTCTTTGAACATAAACATCCCAAACCTCATCTCAAGTCTAAACACCACTTGGTGAAAGGAATCACCAAGTCCATTCACAGTGGATTAATACATGGGACAAGAATTGCTTGGGTTTAGGTCCCTTACTGCCAATAATTACACAGATTCTGTTTTCAGAATGTCCCAATTGTTCTTATCAAGCACGAAGGAAACGATTTGTGAACACTCTTAAGGGTACTATAACTAAAATTTTAATAAAATATCCTGTATCATAGATGAAAAGCTTTGAATTAAATTTGACTGTTCAACATATAGACACAGTATAAAAAGTCTGGTAATATCATGAGAACTTCTCATCCCTTGGAACAGGTGTGTTTACATTTCTTAAATGGATTGAAAACAATTTGTAAATATTGTATAGGCTGTTCATCACATGTTGGACAGTCATGAAGAGAACAAGTAATCTAGCTCACTTTAAGCTAACAAGACTTCTAGATTACTTTAAACTAACAGGACTTGTAGAGCACTTTTAGCTAATAAATCATGTAGCTATTCATTCATTTTAAGCTATAATAAATTAATGCTTACATAATTTTAAAAAAATGGCAAACCCTAACTAATTGGGCTCAGTTACATTATTCTATCTTTGTGCTTGATTTCAAATACTAATCTATATTTACATATTTTTAAAGCTCCATTTTAAATACTAATATATAAAATCAATATTTACATATTTTTAAAGCTCCATTTTAAATACTAATATATACAATCTGTATTTACAGATTTTTTAAAGCTTCATTTTAAATACTAATATATACAATCTATGTTTACCGATTTTTTAATTTTTTTTTAAAGCTTGATTTTTAAATATAAATATATACAATTTTTATTTACAGATTCTTAAGAATATAAAAAAAATATTTGATATAAATAGGTGCAATATTTGTGAAATGATGTTTTCATTTTGTTAAAGTCAACAAACTTAAATTGTAAATAATTCTTTCTACCAATGAATATTTATCATAGACCTAATGACAATGTAGTATTGATAAGTTATGGGCACCTTCCAGTTGGCAATCTCTGATGTAATCCACCCATTTTGAGCTTTTAATTTCTGCCTTGGGCATTTTTAAAAATCACAGTATACTATATTGGCAAAAGAAATAAACTGTAGCCTTAGTAACCTTCTCTAATTGCATGATCAGGTTTACTTCTTTTTTTCACATCACTTAGGTCAATCATGCACTAAAAACATACAAAGAAAGAATGAAAGGCTTATATTCATTAGGCATAAAATAAAAAACCTAGTCATAAGAAATTTTCTACTCAGTGACCGGCACAAAGATTTCATTTTTACTTTCTCGTATATACGAAGTATAGAGAAAGTATTGTAATCGTGCACAAAAATAACATGACATTTTGACAGTTTTCACCGTTTTACTCCTCAGTCCTTCATCACATCCGGAGTATAGAGGACTTATTTTAATCAGGCAAAAAATACAAATATATAAACGTTTTGGCGTTTTATGCGTTATTGAGTCGTAAAAACTGGACTTTGCAATTCTGTCCATATGTCTGTGTGTGTGTCTGTGTGTAAACACGATAACTTGAGTACCGTTACAACTAGGTTGATGAAATTTCATATATAAGTATTTTATCAAAATCGTAGATCCTGATCAACTTTTGAGCGATTTCCGATAACCAGAATGGGTACTTTTTCTACTTTGAATTTTTCAAAAGCCTAAAAGTTGCGTACTATTTTAGATAGATGCATGAAATTTCACCTGTAAGTAAAAGATCTAATTCTCTACCTTCTGTAAAATTTTGAGTAATTTCCGTTGACCGGGAGTACTAATTTACGCTATTTCCGATTTCTCAAAAAACGCATGTAAATTTATAAAGTACTAATAATATCCCGCACTTTAATACACATTTTATTAGGCGTTCACTTGGTGTGGGACGGAGTGGTCTAGCGGTAGAGAGCTGGACTGCTAACCCGTCAGTCTCGAGTTCGAATCCGAGTTTAAGTCAGTAGACCATCCCTGAGTCCACCCAACTCTGATGGGTACCTAACTCCTGTTAGGGAAAGTAAACGCGGCTGGGCATAGTGCTGACCACACTATCTCTTCATATGCCGAGGTCACAGAAACAAGGGAACTCTACTTGACTTGCCCCATAGACCGTCAGGTTTGAAAGGGAAACTTTTCACTTGGTGTGCAATTCTTTTTTTTACGAGATTCTATTCTATTATAAAAAGTCTAAGTAATTAAAAATGGATAACAAATATTGTCTATGTCCTGAGTTGCCAACCCTCGTAATTTTATATTGGAATATTCGAGAAAGTTTAGGGGAGACCACTCCCGGTTTATTTTAAGTCAGAAGTCAAAATAGACAGAACTGTGAAAAAAAAATATTACAACTGTAGATTTCTGAAAAGAATTTAGTTTTAATGATTTTAAAAATAGCCCTAGGCTGTAGCTAAATATAAAACAATACTTTTTCAAATTCAGATTGCTTTTTACTTTCTCGTATATACGTAGTATAGAGAAAGTATTGTAATCGTGCAAAAAAAAAAATCGAGATTTTTACAAATCTCGACGTTTTACACCTCACTGATACGGAAAAACATAATTTTGCAATCTTGTCCGTATGTCTGTGTGTGTGTGTGTGTGTGTCTGTCTGTGTGTCCGTGTGTAAACACGATAACTTGAGTACCGTTACTGCTAGGTTGATGAAATTTCATATATAAGTATTTTATCAAAATCGTAGATCCGTATCAACTTTTGAGCGATTTCCGATAACCGGAAGTGGTACTTTTCCTACTTTGAATTTTTCAAAAGCCTATAACTTGAGTACTATTTTAGATAGATAAATGAAATTTCACATGTAAGTAAAAGATCTAATTCTCTACCTTCTGTAAAATTTTGAGTAATTTCCGTTGACCGGAAGTAGTAATTTACACTACTTCCGATTTCTCAAAAAACTAATGTAAATTTTAAAAGTACTAATAATATTGCGCACTATCATGTGCTTTTTTATTTCGCGTTCACTTGGTGTGCAATTAATTTGTCTAAGAGATTTTATTCTATTTTTAAAACTTTAAGTATTTAAAATGGATTAAAAATCATGTCTATAGCCTGAGTTCCCATCCCCTGTTATTTTATATAAAAATATTCGAGTAAGTTTAGGGGAGATCACTCCCGGTTTATTAAACTGTGTTTTTATGAATTTAAAATAAACCGGGAACTCCCCGTCTGTCCGTGTATAAACACGATAACTTGAGTACCGTTACTGCTAGGTTGATGAAATTTCATATATAAGTATTTTATCAAAATCGTAGATCCGTATCAACTTTTGAGCGATTTCCGATAACCGGAAGTGGTACTTTTCCTACTTTAAATTTTTCAAAAGCCTATAACTTGAGTACTATTTCAGATAGATAAATGAAATTTCACATGTAAGTAAAAAATCTAATTCTCTACCTTCTGTTAAATTTTGAGTAATTTCTGTTGACCGGAAGTAGTAATTTACGCTACTTCCGATTTCTCAAAAAACTAATGTAAATTTTAAAAGTACTAATAATATTGCGCACTATTATGCGCTTTTTTATTTGGCGTTCACTTGGTGTGCAATTAATTTGTCTACGAGATTTTATTCTATTTTTAAAACTTTAAGTGTTTAAAATGGATTAAAAATCATGTCTATAGCCCGAGTTCACATCCCCTGTTATTTTATATAAGAATATTCGAGAAAGTTTAGGGGAGATCACTCCCGGTTTATTTACTTTCTTGTACATTTTACACAGCTCACTTTTTGAGAAGGCATTTTGCTTTGTAAATCATCTACCCTTCTACGTTCTGTTCAACATTTGCTTATGTTTCTACATTGAAAAATAAAGATAATATACACTGCAAATAGTCTTTTTTTTTAAAGAAGTTTTGATTTATACCATTGACTATTGAAAATGTCACAACATTTGAATGGTTGTTTAAGATTAGAAAAGATTTACCATTGTGTGGATTGAGATGGGAGTTTATGGTTTCAGGTGACGGCAGAATAAGCTGTACTGAGGTTGAGAGTCGCAAAACCAATTTGGCCCGCTCAAGGTCGGCCCAGTCTCTTAAAAATTTGGACCAAACAGGGACAGAAGACAAGCTAACATTGGTGACACAAATGTTCTGGATAACTGTTTCACTTCTTGAATCTGACTATGAATATGAGTTCACATTAGCAGTGCGACTACTTGATAAAGTACATCTACATTTCAATTGTATATTCAATTACATTTCAATTGTATAAACTATCCTAGTCTTGACACAGTTAATCATTTCATTAGCAAAACTATCAAATTCTTGACGAAGAACGTCATTTCAATTGTATAAACAGTATTACAGTCTTGACAGAGCCCTTTGTTTAAATTTTATAATTTATCATTATATTGAGAAAATATTTTTTCATATAGATTATAAGATTATACTTAGGTTTAAATTTTATAATTTATCATTATATTGAGAAAATAATTTTTCATATAGATTATACTTATAGAATAAACTTTAATACAGTCTGTACTTTTTTTTATATATACTTTGTAACTTACAACTTTTTTTACAGATACTTTGTCACTTGCAACCTGAGCGTCCAGAATGTAGAGACAAATTAGAAAAAATTTTAAATCAGATAAAGTGGCCAAATTTTCCAGGTGTCTATATTCTCCTTATAAAGGTAGGTGCTTTATTGGCCCATAAAAGTGTAATTGTAATAAATTGTGTACATACTTCTGTCAGGTTCTTCTAGGGTCTCGGGGTATATGTATATTTATAACACACAAATAACACTGCCACTCTATAATAAGAAATTTAACTTAAATATATAAAAAAACAATAATAAAATAATGGGAGCCGGACGTTTTCCCGAAAGACACTTGCCCGAATGCCGTTTGCCCGAAGGCCGATTTCCCGAATGGACACTTGCCCGAATGCGACAAATGCCCGAATGGACACTTGCCCGAATGCGACAAACGCCCGTATGGACACTTGCCCGAATGCGACAAATGCCCGAATGGACACTTGCCCGAATGCGACAAATGCCCGAATGGACACTTGCCCGAATGCGACGAATGCCACTTGCCCGAAGGCCGTTTGCCCGAAAAATGTTAATGTTAGATAATAAAAAAATATTACCAAAAAGAGATTCTTTATCAATTTAAGTTTGAAATTTTGAAAATAAACACAATCCTAAGCGTAAAAAAAATTGTTTATAATTTTAAAATTTAGCTTTTTTTTTCTTTTCAAAATTGAGAAATTACTGTAAAAAAACAACTCTATTCTTCAAATGTAAGGTGATGTTGGCGGCGGTGTTCTAACATTCTTTGATGAAAGTTTTGAACACCTTGTTTAGCCGACGTGTTGCGGTGGTTATAAAGCGCTTTTGATACGGTGTTGGCGGCGTGGCGTCTCGCAATGATGAACAGAGGCGCGTTTGTTTGATTTATTTTGTTTTGCTTAAATCGTGGGGTGATCATCTCACAACAGAACTAGGTGCGGACTAGGCAGCGAATTTAAAAACTAAAGGTAGTCAAATACGTTTGATCTCCATTTAATGCACCTTGTTTAGACAATGCGTTAAGGCGATTACTTAAAATTTATTAAAAAAGAAAGCAAAACTTATTTTAAAAACTTGTGAAAAATGAAACTGGTATTTTTTTGTCTTGTTTTAAAGATGGAAGAGAAAGTATGTTTGTACACTTTTTATATAGAAAATACAAATAAATTTATAATGTCTGCATGGTAACATATAATATTATTTTTCCTTTATTTCAAATTTAAATTGATAATGAATGATTATTTGGTAATATATGATGTTAACATTTTTCGGGCAAACGGTCTTCGGGTAAGTGGCATTCGGGCATTTGTCGCATTCGGGCAAGTGTCCATTCGGGCATTTGTCGCATTCGGGCAAGTGTCCATTCGGGCATTTGTCGCATTCGGGCAAGTGTCCATTCGGGAAATCGGCCTTCGGGCAAACGGCATTCGGGCAAGTGTCTTTCGGGAATTTGTCGTAGACCCAAAATAATATATGATATAATATTCTACAACACAAATAACAATAATTAACACTAAGTTAGTTCCATGTCCACAGCCACACTGACATCCGTCACACCTCACGTGAACACTTGTTGCTCCATGTAAACACACTCTACCAAAGGCTACAACTATACACAGGGGGGGGGGGGGTACCTGACATCCGTCACACCTCACGTGAACACTTGTTGCTCCATGTAAACACACTCTACCAAAGGCTACAACTATACACAGGGGGGGGGGTACCTGACATCCGTCACACCTCACGTGAACACTTGTTGCTCCATGTAAACACACTCTACCAAAGGCTACAACTATACACAGGGAGGGGGTACCTGACATCCGTCACACCTCACGTGAACACTTGTTGCTCCATGTAAACACACTCTACCAAAGGCTACAACTATACACAGGGGGGGGGGTACCTGACATCCGTCACACCTCACGTGAACACTTGTTGCTCCATGTAAACACACTCTACCAAAGGCTACAACTATACACAGGGGGGGGGGGTACCTGACATCCGTCACACCTCACGTGAACACTTGTTGCTCCATGTAAACACACTCTACCAAAGGCTACAACTATACACAGGGGGGGGGGTACCTGACATCCGTCACACCTCACGTGAACACTTGTTGCTCCATGTAAACACACTCTACCAAAGGCTACAACTATACACAGGGGGGGGGGGGGTACCTGACATCCGTCACACCTCACGTGAACACTTGTTGCTCCATGTAAACACACTCTACCAAAGGCTACAACTATACACAGGGGGGGTACCTGACATCCGTCACACAACACACACACACAATTAGGGGACATGTAAGGGACGTAACAACTTATCTTAGAAGTAGGTTACAACAATAGTCCTTGCTTAGTTTTTAGCTGTATGCCATGGACAATAGTAGATTATTTGATAGAAAATATAAATATAAGCTAATTATGTGTTGAATGAATAGAATTGTAATTTGGCAAAAAAGTGACTGAAATATATGCATATCTATATGTATAAAATTGAGAGTATGTGTGTCTGTTTTTTTATGCATTACTGCATCATGCCAGGGGGCTATCTTAGCACCTAAGATCCATTGATTGGGCATTCTTCTGAACAAGGGGTTAAGGGTATCACTTGATTCTACTTTGTTCATTGTATGATTTAGTCCTTGTGCCCTACTCTGTTCTGTGTTTGATTTAGTCCTTGTGCCCTACTTTGTTCTGTGTTTGATTGAGTCCTTGTGCCCTACTTTGTTTGATTGAGTCCTTGTGCCCTACTTTGTTTGATTGAGTCCTTGTGCCCTACTTTGTTCTGTGTTTGATTGAGTCCTTGTGCCCTACTCTGTTTGATTGAGTCCTTGTGCCCTACTTTGTTCTGTGTTTGATTGAGTCCTTGTGCCCTACTTTGTTCTGTGTTTGATTGAGTCCTTGTGCCCTACTTTGTTCTGTGTTTGATTTAGTCCTTGTGCCCTCATTTGTTCTGTGTTTGATTGAGTCCTTGTGCCCTACTCTGTTTGATTGAGTCCTTGTGCCCTACTTTGTTCTGTGTTTGATTGAGTCCTTGTGCCCTACTCTGTTCTGTGTATGATTGAGTCCTTGTGCCCTACTTTGTTCTGTGTTTGATTGAGTCCTTGTGCCCTACTCTGTTCTGTGTTTGATTTAGTCCTTGTGCCCTACTATGTTCTGTGTTTGATTTAGTCCTTGTGCCCTACTTTGTTCTGTGTTTGATTGAGTCCTTGTGCCCTACTTTGTTCTGTGTTTGATTTAGTCCTTGTGCCCTACTCTGTTTGATTTAGTCCTTGTAACCTACTTTGTTCTGTGTTTGATTTAGTCCTTGTGCCCTACTTTGTTCTGTGTTTGATTGAGTCCTTGTGCCCTACTCTGTTCTGTGTATGATTTAGTCCTTGTGCCCTACTCTGTTTGATTTAGTCTTTGTGCCCTACTCTGTTCTGTGTATGATTTAGTTCTTGTGCCCTACCTTGTTCTGTGTATGATTTAGTTCTTGTGCCCTACCTTGTTCTGTGTATGATTTAGTCCTTGTGCCCTACTACGTTCTGTGTTTGATTGAGTCCTTGTGCCCTACTTTGTTCTGTGTTTGATTTAGTCCTTGTGCCCTACCTTGTTCTGTGTATGATTTAGTCCTTGTGCCCTACTTTGTTCTGTGTATGATTTAGTCCTTGTGCCCTACTTTGTTCTGTGTATGATTTAGTCCTTGTGCCCTACTTTGTTCTGTGTTTGATTTAGTCCTTGTGCCCTACTTTGTTCTGTGTATGATTTAGTCCACTACTTTGTTCTGTGCTTGATTGAGTCCTTGTGCCCTACTTTGTTCTGTGTATGATTTAGTCCTTGTGCCCTACTTTGTTCTGTGTTTGATTTAGTCCTTGTGCCCTACTTTGTTCTGTGTTTGATTTAGTCCTTGTGCCCTACCTTGTTCTGTGTATGATTTAGTCCTTGTGCCCTACTACGTTCTGTGTTTGATTTAGTCCTTGTGCCCTACTTTGTTCTGTGTTTGATTGAGTCCTTGTGCCCTACTTTGTTCTGTGTTTGATTGAGCCCTAGTGCCCTACTACGTTCTGTTTTGATTGAGTCCTTGTGCCCTACTTTGTTCTGTGTATGATTTAGTCCTTGTGCCCTACTACGTTCTGTGTTTGATTTAGTCCTTGTGCCCTACTTTGTTCTGTGTTTGATTTAGTCCTTGTGCCCTACCTTGTTCTGTGTATGATTTAGTCCTTGTGCCCTACTATGTTCTGTGTTTGATTTAGTCCTTGTGCCCTACTTTGTTCTGTGTTTGATTGAGTCCTTGTGCCCTACTTTGTTCTGTGTTTGATTGAGCCCTAGTGCCCTACTACGTTCTGTGTTTGATTGAGTCCTTGTGCCCTACTTTGTTCTGTGTATGATTTAGTCCTTGTGCCCTACTACGTTCTGTGTTTGATTTAGTCCTTGTGCCCTACTTTGTTCTGTGTATGATTTAGTCCTTGTGCCCTACTTTGTTCTGTGTTTGATTGAGCCCTAGTGCCCTACTACGTTCTGTGTTTGATTTAATCCTTGTGCCCAATCAACTAGCTCTGTTTTTTTTTAATTGATTACTGACCTGACATGCTACCATTTAAAGTTAAAAATTGTCCAAATTGTAACTAGGTTTTTCTGTTGAATTTGGGTTTGACTTCTTTCCTCTAGGGCTGTACATCTCACATGGCTGCAGAATCAACATGGGCTCTTTTGTCTAAAATAATCTTGTGTGTCAACTCACCTGTCATTGACCCGTCTGGACATCTTGGTAAGATAGAAGTCATAATTAGATCATTTACTTGCTCAGATAGTAGCCATCTTTAGATCATTTACTGGGTCAGATAGTAGCCATCTTTAGATCATTTACTTGCTCAGATAGCCATCTTTAGATCATTTACTTGCTCAGATAGTAGCCATCTTTAGATCATTTACTTGCTCAGATAGTAGCCATCTTTAGATCATTTACTGGGTCAGATAGTAGCCATCTTTAGATCATTTACTTGCTCAGATAACCATCTTTAGATAATTTACTTGCTCAGATAGCCATCTTTAGATAATTTACTTGCTCAGATAGCCATCTTTAGATAATTTACATGGTCAGATAGTAGCCATCTTTAGATCATTTACTTGCTCAGATAGTAGCCATCTTTAGATCATTTACTTGCTCAGATAGTAGCTATCTTTAGATCATTTACTTGCTCAGATAGTAGCCATCTTTGGATCATTTGACCTTTGATTAAAATACTGGTCTGTATGTGATCATGCTACAAGTACAAAACAATGTATTGACCTTTGATAAAAATACTGGACTGTATGTGTTCGCCAACCCTACTTTATATTATAAACCTCAGCCGGTCCTGTTGAAAAGTTAATGAGGACGAAACTTGTATTTAAACTAATTTAATCGAAACATAAGTTTAACTAGATTAAGTTGTCAAATAATTAATTGGACATTAATAAACTAATAGGCTTGCTTCAAATGTAGGTATAAATATTTTAAACCCGAATTAGACTGGCTATGCAGTTTAGGCTACTCATACTCACTGAATACACAATTAACTACTCTAGATCAAGAGGTACATTGAGATATTTTAAGCAATATAAAAGTAATTTGAAGGTCATGATGTCTTGTATGCAGATATTGCCTGTGTTTAACCCAGGAATATTGAACAAGAGTTGTACAACTTCAGTGATGTAGTGCCTTAACAGTATTTTTAATTATAGCACCACAGCAACAAATCTCAGAGAAGAGCTGACGGGCTGTGCACAGCAATGGGAAAAATAAGAGAAATACCTTGTAGATGCCTTGAAGATTGACCACATGAACTTAGGGACAGCTTCAGTGAAGATTGACCACATGAACTTAGGGACAGGTTCAGTGAAGATTGACCACATGAACTTAGGGACAGCTTCAGTGAAGATTGACCACATGAATTTAGGGACAGGTTCAGTGAAGATTGACCACATGAACTTAGGGTTAGGGACAGGTTCAGTGAAGATTGACCACATGAACTTAGGGACAGCTTCAGTGAAGATTGACCACATGAACTTAGGGACAGCTTCAGTGAAGATTGACCACATGAACTTAGGAACAGCTTCAGTTAAGATTGACCACATGAACTTAGGGACAGCTTCAGTGAAGATTGACCACATGAACTTAGGGACAGCTTCAGTGAAGATTGACCACATGAACTTAGGAACAGCTTCAGTGAAGATTCACCACATGAACTTAGTGACAGCTTCAGTGAAGATTGACCACATGAACTTAGGGTTAGGGACAGGTTCAGTGAAGATTGACCACATGAACTTAGGGACAGCTTCAGTGAAGATTGACCACATGAACTTAGGGACAGCTTCAGTGAAGATTGACCACATGAACTTAGGTACATCTGTTCATACAGACACATCAAATTGTTGTTTGTTTAATAATAATGCATGGAAATGGCCTATTATCTCTGCAGGTTTCCCTATGGTGACAATAGCTCTGCTTCCTTATCTAGTCCACAATTATGAAAATCCCAGCCAAGTCTGTAGAGATGCTGCTGATAGAGTTGCTCAGGTGAGATTTACAACAGCACTTAGACTTTACATTTAAGTATTATATCCAATTAGTTTTACATTTAATTATTATATCCAATTAGTTTTATATATAAGTATTATATCCAATTAGTTTTATATATAAGTATTATATCCAATTAGTTTTATATATAAGTATTATATCCCATTAGTTTTATATATAAGTATTATATCCCATTAGTTTTATATATAAGTATTATATCCAATTAGTTTTATAAATAAATATTATATCCAATCAGTTAGTGCCAGGTCATTTCTACATATGCTGGTTTCTACAATATTTGAGTGACTGTTGGTAAATGAAAGGGTTTTTATTTTAATTATTGAAATTAATCAGTAGCCTAGAAAATAATTTTTGAAAAAAATTAACTGATATAGTGGGTCAGTTTTTAAGGAGTGTTGTTGTGGTGTGATAGACGGCTCAGCACAAATGTGTAGGATTATAATACAACAAGACGTCAGTTCTTACATTCTCTTCTGCTATCTTGTACTCAGCAAAATTAAGAATATACTGCAGATGGAAGGTGCATTAAAACACTAAACAAATGTATTCTTATAATCTTTGTGCCTGTACTTCTAGCTTCAAGGATGAAATGGTGCCCTTATCTCTAGCTTCAAGGATGAAATGGTGCCCTTATCTCTAGCTTCAAGGATGAAATGGTGCCCTTATCTCTAGCTTGAAGGATGAAATGGTGCCCTTATCTCTAGCTTGAAGGATGAAATGGTGCCCTTATCTCTAGCTTCAAGGATGAAATGGTGCCCTTATCTCTAGCTTCAAGGATGAGATGGTGCCCTTATCTCTAGCTTCAAGAATGAAATGGTGCCCTTATCTCTAGCTTCAAGGATGAAATGGTGCCCTTATCTCTAGCTTGAAGGATAAAATGGTGCCCTTATCTCTAGCTTCAAGGATGAGATGGTGCCCTTATCTCTAGCTTCAAGGATGAAATGGTGCCCTTATCTCTAGCTTCAAGGATGAAATGGTGCCCTTATCTCTAGCTTCAAGGATGAGATGGTGCCTGTACCTGTAGCTTCAAGGATAAAATGGTGCCCTTATCTCTAGCTTCAAGGATGAGATGGTGCCCTTATCTCTAGCTTCAAGGATGAAATGGTGCCCTTATCTCTAGCTTCAAGGATGAGATGGTGCCCTTATCTCTAGCTTCAAGGATGAAATGGTGCCCTTATCTCTAGCTTCAAAAATGAAATGGTGCCCTTATCTCTAGCTTCAAGGATGAGATGGTGCCCTTATCTCTAGCTTCAAGGATGAAATGGTGCCCTTATATCTAGCTTCAAGGATGAGATGGTGCCCTTATCTCTAGCTTTAAGGATGAAATGGTGCCCTTATCTCTAGCTTCAAGGATGAAATGGTGCCCTTATCTCTAGCTTCAAGGATGAAATGGTGCCCTTATCTCTAGCTTCAATGATGAAATGGTGCCCTTATCTCTAGCTTCAAGGATGAAATGTTGCCTGTACCTGTAGCTTCAAGGATGAAATGGTGCCCTTATCTCTAGCTTCAAGGATGAGATGGTGCCCTTATCTCTAGCTTCAAGGATGAAATGGTGCCCTTATATCTAGCTTCAAGGATGAAATGGTGCCCTTATCTCTAGCTTCAAGGATGAAATGTTGCCTGTACCTGTAGCTTCAAGGATGAAATGGTGCCCTTATCTCTAGCTTCAAGGATGAGATGGTGCCCTTATCTCTAGCTTCAAGGATGAAATGGTGCCCTTATCTCTAGCTTCAAGGATGAAATGGTGCCCTTATCGCTAGCTTGAAGGATGAAATGTTGCCCGTTGCCTTTAAAAACTTAAAATATTGACATATAATTTTTTTTAAAATTCTTAGTTACTAAGTAGAAAATAAAATAATTGTAAAATCCTTTATAATAATTAGAATTTAGATCTATTTTAAAAAATAAAAAATGTTAAAAATTTAGTAAAATCATTGTTGGTTAAAATGTCTAAGATAATTGATTAGCTACCAATGTTAATATTTCAGAGAGAATTTTTTTTCTTTTTTTTTTTGCAATACATTTATAACTTTTTCATTGTATAGGTTTTTATTGCTTCATTAAAAATGTAGATATTTCTGTAAAGTTTTTTTTCTCCATTGGTAAGTAAAAAAAAAACTGTTTTAAATCTGGTCAGATGTGTGGCCACCAGGGAGATCGACTGACCAACCTGGCAACTGTTATGTCTCTGTACAGTCGTGGAACTTTTGGAAAGGACAGTTTTCAATGGACCAAATGTGTTGTCAAATACCTACTAGATGTCTACGCCTCTAGCGCTGTCAGCATGGTTATTTTTCTAGTTGAGGTTAGTTCTTTTCTAAAGAAAAGTAAAGAATCCTCTATAGATTTAGCCATTAGTTCTTCTCTAAAGAAAAGTAAAGAATCCTCTATAGATCTAGCAATTAGTTCTTTTCTAAAGAAAAGTAAAGAATCCTCTATAGATCTAGCGATTAGTTCTTTTCTAAAGAAAAGTAAAGAATCCTCTATAGATCTAGCTATTAGTTCTTTTCTAAAGAAAAGTAAAGAATCCTCTATAGATCTAGCGATTAGTTCTTTTCTAAAGAAAAGTAAAGAATCCTCTATAGATCTAGTGATTAGTTCTTTTCTAAAGAAAAGTAAAGAATCCTCTATAGATCTAGCGATTAGTTCTTCTCTAAAGAAAAGTAAAGAATCCTCTATAGATCTAGCTATTAGTTCTTTTCTAAAGAAAAGTAAAGAATCCTCTATAGATCTAGCGATTAGTTCTTTTCTAAAGAAAAGTAAAGAATCCTCTATAGATCTAGCGATTAGTTCTTTTCTAAAGAAAAGTAAAGAATCCTCTATAGATCTAGCGATGATGAAGTAGAGTTCATATGTTTCTTGACCTCTGCATACAAAGGTAAAGTGTCCTCATTAAGCTTTTCCTTTATACGTCTTCTAATTTATTTTTATTATTTTTGGCAGACAGGTTAGTCTACGTTAGTTATTTTTCTATCAGTTTAGTCTAAGTTAATTATTTGTGTAGAATATGAGATTGCCACTATGCGCCAATGTCATATTTTAGGCTAGATAACGTATACTGTTTCTCATGTAGTTTGTGTATTACTATGTTTAACAAGCCCTCGAGTCAGTTGTTTTGTTACTAGTTGTGTTCTAGCTTCACCTGCGCTTTTAAAGTTAATTTACAACTCTCTGCTGTGTTGATAATTTGATGGCTTAACAAATGTTTGTGTATGTCTCAGGTTTGTTACTGTAGAGCTGTATACACTTATAATTTAAACAATAATTTCACCAATTTTTATCAATTTATAATAATTAAGTATACTAACAATCCCACACAAATATACCCACAATCTCACACAAATATACCAACAATCCCACACACAAATATACCAACAATCCCACACACAAATATACCAACAATCCCACACACAAATATACCAACAATCCCACACAAATATACCCACAATCCCACACACAAATATACCAACAATCCCACACACAAATATACCAACAATCCCACACACAAATATACCCACAATCCCACACACAAATATACCAACAATCCCACACAAATATACCAACAATCCCACACACAAATATACCAACAATCCCACACACACACAAATATACCAACAATCCCACACACACACAAATATACCAACAATCCCACACACAAATATACCAACAATCCCACACAAATATACCAACAATCCCACACACAAATATACCAACAATCCCACACACACACAAATATACCAACAATCCCACACACAAATATACCAACAATCCCACACAAATATACCAACAATCCCACACAAATATACCAACAATCCCACACACAAATATACCAACAATCCCACACACACAAATATACCAACAATCCCACACACAAATATACCAACAATCCCACACACAAATATACCAACAATCCCACACACAAATATACCAACAATCCCACACACACACAAATATACCAACAATCCCACACACAAATATACCAACAATCCCACACACAAATATACCAACAATCCCACACACAAATATACCAACAATCCCACACACAAATATACCAACAATCCCACACACACACAAATATACCAACAATCCCACACACACACAAATATACCAACAATCCCACACACAAATATACCAACAATCCCACACAAATATACCAACAATCCCACACAAATATACCAACAATCCCACACACAAATATACCAACAATCCCACACACAAATATACCAACAATCCCACACAAATATACCAACAATCCCACACACAAATATACCAACAATCCCACACACAAATATACCAACAATCCCACACACACACAAATATACCAACAATCCCACACACAAATATACCAACAATCCCACACACAAATATACCAGCTATACCTGATAAACAAAAGTGGCCTTTAGAGTTAGTTTGTAGATCAGAATCTACCCAAGCATGGGACTGTGTGTTGCAGAAGATTGCCATAAAGTTGATTACAAATTGACCCAAATACTAAACTAAGGTGAGGGATAGAGTTTGGAAAGTTTCTGGATTGAATAAACTTTCTGTACTAACTCCTATGTCCCCAGCTTGGCAAACAAAGTGTCAAATATTTCATACTCTCTGCCCATGACATGCATTCTATAGACCAGATAACGTCAGTGTTTTATTTCAGGTGCTGGAGAAAGGTCAGCTCATGTACCAGTCCTCTTGCTTACAAATTCTGTACTGTATGGTCCATTACCTGGACATTGCCACAACACCAAGTTCATTCTTGAATCAAGAGCTCTTCCAGTCCATCAATAAACATGTTCAGGTCAGCTAAATTCAACCTTTTGACTTCAAGATTCCAGTCCATTTTCTCACTCGAGTCTATTTATAGTATCACAAACTGCTAATGAAGTTTTTTTTTTTCTTAGACAAACAACTGGAGGGAAGCTCTTAAGATACTCAAACTGGCTGTTACTAGATCATCTACTCTAGCCACTCCACCACCTTCCTCCCAGACTTCAGTCAGTGACCTACCAATATTTATTAACTCTGTTCACACATCATTTGCTGATGCTGAGAGCTTGACCAAATTTAATAAAGAGCTACCTGGTAAATTTTCTTGTGCTTGATTAGAGATCTTTCAATTAATTCAACTCACAGTCAAAGCTTTTTCAAATTGTATAAGTTGCCTTCAATAAATTGTACAGGTCGCACCTTAGACTTCAGTATAGATCTTTCAAGGACCCCCATTATTGGCCGTAAATTTATATCCTCTGAGACATTGAAACAAGCATCACCAGAAGAGAAAAGCCCAGCTACCAGTGGATCAGCTGTTTCACTGTCACGTAAACCTTCAAACAACCAAGATATTGATTCAGTCTGGCGACGCCCACAAGCTTCTCAGGTTTCTAGATTTATCATTGTCATAGAAAAAAGTTCAGGACATTGACACTTGAATACATCTGTTTGACCTGACAAAACAATGATTATATGATACAATGGTCAGTTTATGTTTATCATACAACATTCAATTATCATGTGCTGAGTTCCATAAAAAAGCAATTGATCACATTATGATCAGCGTGGTCGAGTAGGTAAAGCCCATGGCTGCTAAACTGAAGAAAAGTCTCAAGTTCGAACCCTCGGGCAGATGAGGCTCGTTAGCTGGGGACAGCCACTCTTCTAGGAGAGACATCTCCAAAAAATGAAACAACTGCTGCCTTGTAGTTTGTTCTTGGTTGGACAAAAGCTATAGGAGGCATCTCCAAAAAGAAAAACAGGCTGAAATTGGAGTCAATTGCCTCAATGGCGCATAACCAGTTATTACTTATACTTAATTGTGTTGGAGGGAATCTCTTCAAACACTAAAATTAAGAAGACATTATGATGTCTACCTGACTACCATATCCCTACACCAAACCTATTATACTGATACTAATTATTCAAGTGTATGAATTGAAAAACAACTTGAGTGTCTAATTTGTGTACATTTTAAAATTAGGCTCGAGTCAGAGAAAGACTAGTCAATCTATTAACCTGTTTTGGCCAACGTGTTGGGCTGCCCAAGAGTCCCTCAGTAAGTAATTTTTTCTTCTCAGCATTTTTATTTTCTGCGTTATCATCCCTATCTTTATACCATATTTAATCTATTTTTTAATTTAGTTTGGTTTCCAATAGCAATATTCATCAGAAGTAAAATGTAAAAAAAAAAATTTCAAATATCTCTAACCCTTTGAGCCTTGGCCTCCCTGGCCTAATTTCTCCCATTTCCTGAGCTCCCAGGGCCAAACCAATTTTCACTTATCTGCTTCTAACTTTGTCTATAACTTTTTAACCGTTTGAGATAATCAATCCAAATTTGGTATCCAGACTCAGGATCAAACAACAATGCAGCAAGATTCTAAAATTCTCCATTTTTGTTACAATGTATGAACAGAACAATGTATATAAAATGAACACATAATTATTGTTTTGATATAACATAGCAGAAACCTATTTACATTTAGTAATTGTTTTGTTATTATTGATAACTGGCCATACTACTTCATCACCAGAAGTCCACTTTTGTATGATAACTTTCAAAACAGTTATCACTGCCGGACCCGATGCAAAGAAAAACTTCGCATGTTTTGCATCAGTAAACAGTTTTTTTTTTCGGTTCAGCAAGTCTTTGTCCTTGGCATCACGTGCATCAGAACGTACTTGAACAGTTTCATTGTCACTGTCAATTTCAATGTCACTGTGTTCAGTCTCAAATTCAACGTCACTATCATTACAATATAGACCAGGAATATTATCTTCTTCATCAGAATCAATAAGTAGTTGTATTGCCTGAGATGCAGTCATTCTACTTCTTTTGTTGATATTTTGGTCTTTTGCTTCATCTTTTGTACCAACTTTATATGATGAAGTCGATGGGTGTGGCTCAGCTTTTGCATTTCGGCGGCATTGCTACAAAATGTAAAAACTTTCACTTTTCCTAAAATCTATTTTTAGAATCATAATCCCGCACTAAAAAGACATATGCGCAGTTTTAGTCAGTCTTCTGCTAATTATATTTAATTAGACGGTAAACCGGTCGCTAGGAATATGACGCTAGGTCATCGGGCCGGAAAACCGGCTTTTTCTGACATATTTGCCGAATGCTGAAGCTGGTTTACCGGCCTGGCGGGCTCAAAGGGTTAATGTTGATTTAGCTTTTTATTTTATTGAATTATTAAAATGTAATGAATTTGAGAGGACAATACATAAATGAATTTCAGCTAGGCACAGATAATTTGAAATTATTTGCTTTCTATTAAGCTGAAATTTAAGTACTAAATATGAAGGTTACATTAGGTCTATTGATCTATCTAGTTATATGCACAGGAGGATTTGTTAAATTGTTTTTGTCAAGACATTTTTTTTTCTGTGTTTGTTGTATTTGTTGTATCTGTTGTAGTGTAGGGGACCCAAGCATTCTTCCATGTTGTCATCTCCAGTGTGACATTTGATCTTTCTTGTCATTTATTTAGTCATCAAATACCATCAAAATACTTCCTACTCTTTTATAGCATTCATTGAGATAGACTTAAAGCGATATCTATAGTAATTGAGTTTTATACTAATCAAACAATAGATTAATAGCCATATCTATAGCAATTAGTCTTATACTAAATTTAATTATAGACTTGATAACTTTATTTATAGTATTTAGTCATGCATTAATTTAATGATAGACTTAATAACCATACTGATAGCTTTTAGTCTTAACCTAAAGTACTAAAAGTAGTGATAGACCTGCTAACATAATCCAAATGATTGTAAGAATAGACTTATTGGTGTAAGAATAGACTTATTGGTGTAAGAATGTTAGGCTCCTGCACACGCTGCTCATTTAATAAATAACATTTCAACTTTGCCTGCCTGGTTAATCTGACTAGGACACAGTTATCAACAAGGTAAGATAAAAACAATGTATATTATTATCCTCCTAGTCAGTCCTTATTTCTACCTTATTGTTTGATTTACAATATCCTATAATATTTTTCACTGGAATAGTGATCGAGTATTGCAATATGTCAATATACTTTTGAAAATTTTCTGCATTTAAGTGTTTACCAACAATGCACTTAATTTAGTACAACTGCTATTTTTAACGTATCACTGTTTTTCAGTTTTTACTTAGCTATTGCTTAAATGTTCCATTAAAAACCTTTAACGTCTTCTTAAAGATTTATTCTTAAAGCATAGGCCTAAGTTTCATCAATTTTTAAAAAAATAGCTGTTAACTGAAGTTGGTAAAGCACATAGTTCATCTAGCTTTCATATGTGATCATATGTGATCATCCATTTATGACGTCCACAAAAATTTTGAATTTTTATGTGCAGTTTTTTATATTTTTACTTTCCCATATACATAGTATAGTATAGAGGAAGTATTGTAATCATGCACAAAAATCACATGAAATTTTGACAGTTTTCATCGCTTTACACCTCAGTCCTTCATCACATCCAGATTATAGAGGACTTATTTTAATCTGGCAAAAATTATAAATCCAGATATATCAAAATGTTGGCGTTTTATGGGTAATCGAGTTGGAAAAACTGGACTTTGTAATTCTGTCCGTATATCTCTGTGTGTGTGTATGTGTGTCTGTAAACATGATAACTTGAGTACCGTCACAGCTAGGTTGATGAAATTTCATATATAAGTATTATATCAAATTTGTAGTTCTGTATCGACCTAATCTACTTTCAACTTTTCAAAAGCCTTCTCTCAAATTTTCAGTAATTTCCGTTGACCGGAAATAGTAATTTACGCTATTTCAGATTTCTCAAAAAACAAACATGAATTTATAAAGTGTGCAATTATTTTTTGTACAAGATTTTATTATATTTTAAAAAGTTTAAGTAATTTAAAGTGGATTAAAAATCATGTCTATATCGTGATGTGCCATCTCCCATTGTGTTATATAAGAATATTCGAGAAAGTTTAGGGGAGATCGCTCCCAGTTTATTTAAAAGTTATTTTCAAATGTAAGTATTGTGTGGTTTAACCTTCCTGGCCAGGCCCTGCACTGGCTTCTGTGGAAAAACTATCTGTAAAGAACTGTGACTTTTGTGTTTATTTAGCTGTACATAGCCTGCATTGCCAGGGTTTAAAAAACATAACTTTTCCAATCAAATGTGTATATGCAAATATGGACACTTGTAAAAATCACACATTACCATGAACCTAACTCTAACTCTAAAGTTAGCCCTAACCACAACCAAAACCAAAAAACAAATACAAATACAAACAAAAATGCAAACAGAAATGAAAATAGTAATGGAAACATTAACCTAAATACCGAAGACATTTAGGTAAGGCTTCTTCTTATTGATCATGTTGATAATAATTAATAAACAGTACATTCAGTGTAGAAAATTAATAAAAGATAAAAAAATTAATTAACCTTTGTTAATTAGATGATTGTTTTTTTTTTCAACATCAAAACAAACTAATTTCTTGATTTTTTTTTGTAAATCATCTATCAAATAAAGTAGTCTGTACAAAGGGACATGATTTGTATTCCTTTTTTAAAAAAAATTCTAATTCTTGTGAAGGGTAATAAATTAAGTTTGATTTTTTACTTTGCACATTACGTCAATTTAAATGAAAAATTTGTCAAATGAAAAGACAGTTTGAAAATTATCAATATTGAGTTTTCTAGATATCAATTTAGATTTCAGTACAAAAATTAACATTTTAGAAAAATTATGCAATGGCCTTCCACAAACATACAGGGGCACAGAATCCACTTGAGCTTTATATTTTTTATATTTTATATATTTTATATATATATATATATATATATTTAACCAATGAAGAATGAAGTAACACTCTTTCTTCTACACGATGGTAGGTTTGATGATTTTATTTACAACAAAAAGCCAAAAACTAAAAAACCCAACAGACCTCCAAAGTCTGTAAAGAAATAAACAATGAATAAAGGTTAATCATCACATTCATCAGCTAGTCTTTCACTCCAATAACATATTAACCTAACAACGTACTTTCATACTCAATATCCCAATGTATCAACTAACAACGCACAACATTCACAATTCATACACCACATTCACAACGTATCCGCTAACAATGACAGCTAAGCACAATCTTACTCACCCCTAAGTCCGGTCACAGAAAACATGTCCGTTCTGGTTCCTTGTAACCTGGTCTGGATTTATAATTCGCACCAGAACCAGAGTCCAGTCTCTCGTGTAGCTTCTGGTTATAATGTCCAGTTGTGTGTCGATGGGTCCGTATTTATTTGCTACCCATGGAATCTGCCAATATTTCTGAATGTCAATAAGTCATGTCCTATCTGTCAAAATACCAGTCCGTCTTCCCCGTACATCACTCTCAATCTCATCCCATGCGACGTAAATTACCTGTTGATACTACTCAAGGCCCCGCACCCTGTGGTCAGTTCCAGGTATTTTATGGGCGCTGGCCGGTGGTTCGCTACTAAACGCCGCAGGTGTCCAGATCTAATCAGTGCCTGACCAGCGTTTCCGGTGTAGTTATGGTGCTAGCCATCTTGGCACAGCAAGTACGGTCACTCTGGCCACGCCCCAGTTGATAAATGGGTACAGGTAATGTCTGTCAAGTCCGCGGGTGGTTGCGATGTCCCCACCACTATTGGTCGTAACTTCCCCTGGTTACATATATATATATATATATATATATATATATATATATATATATATATATATATATATATATATGTATATATATATATATATATATATATATATATATATATATATATATAGGTTGACTTGCAGCCAGTTGTAATTTAACTCCATGGTATGCAATCTCCCTAGACATTAACCTTATTTTAAAACAAGAAATTAAAACTTAACTCCCTGCTGACTATTTACATTTCATTTTTTTCTTCCAATGTCTATTATAATATTGCTTTTTTTTTTTCTTTTGCAGGATTGGTTTTTTTTTTTACTTGTAGTATTTATTATTCCTGTTATGTAAATGTCTTCTTTGTGTTTAATGGATATATTGCAAGACTTCTTATTCATCGTTAAGACAACAGTAAATAGTGATAGTTAGTTAGTTGATACCCTACTAATGCCACCTGTAGTCAAACATCTCTTGATACCCTACTAATGCCACCTTTAGTCAAACATCTTGATACCCTACTAATGTCACCTTTAGTCAAACACCTTGATACCCTACTAATGCCACCTTTAGTCAAACATCTTGATACCCTACTAATTCCACCTTTAGTCAAACATCTCTTGAGACTCTACTAATGCCACCTTTAGTCAAACATCTTGATACCCTACTAATGCCACCTTTAGTCAAACATCTCTTGAGACTCTACTAATGCCACCTTTAGTCAAACATCTCTTGAGACTCTACTAATGCCACCTTTAGTCAAACATCTCTTGATACCCTACTAATGCCACCTTTAGTCAAACATCTCTTGAGACTCTACTAATGCCACCTTTAGTAAACTTGATTAAGGCAGGCTATTGTCTTGGCTTGTATTACTAGTACAAAGACAAACTAGTATCTTGATATGTATTGGATGGGTCTTCAGATAAGTCAGGGTACCATTACAATTGAAATGTACCTTGTTATGTATCTGATAGGTCTTGAGGCGGGTACAATTACAGTTGAATTGTACCTTGATATGTATAGGATAGGTCTCCTGGAGGGTATCATTACAATGGAATTAAAATGGTACCAGCCTGAGTTCATTTATTTACCTTCATGACAGACTGCCATGGATAGACTAGTATACTGACCAGTCATAATGTTGAGAAGTCATGCTGATATATTCATGTCAGAATTACACCTTGATAAATCTGAGTGGCCCTTTATTGGTTGATAACTTATTAGATCAGGCTAGAATATCATGAAGTATTCGGTGTCATTTGTCGCAAATATTTACAATTTTAAAAAATAATGTATTTGAAAATGGCTGGATTTTACAATTGATATACTTTTATTGGTTCAAAAACTTGGCAGCTTTTAAAAAAATTAATGCTTCTTTTGCATGCTTATTTGAAAACATTAGCAAATTTTTACATTTTTTGTTGGTGGTACTTTTATTCAAGTTTAGCTATATAATAGGTTTTCTAAGCAATAAACATATCCATATAACATAACAAGCAAAAGTAATAGAGAGATTTAATTTACGATTTTAAAGTTTTCAATTTATTTTGTGTGTAAATATATTGATTTCCACATCAAAATAGGTCAATTTGACCTTTTTTGCACATGTGTTTGCGCTGTCATGGGCTTAGAACTTTTATTAATGATGGAAGTCAGCACATACTTTTCCAATTTATTAGATGGTAATAAAACTTGTTCATGAAAAATTGTAAGTTTCATATTTAGGGCAACACAAAATAAAAATTATTGATAAGCTTTTATTTAGCTTCCATTACACTAGTTTGGAAATGCTCTAATGTATAACAATGTATCTAATTAAATATGATATTAAAAATTATTTTGAAGATTACTATACTCAAAATCAAAAGGGGGATAACAAGATCAATTAGTCATGAAGCACTCTTTAATCAATCAACTAAATATCAATCTTTTTGTTGCTTTATTGATCTATAATTAAATGTCCATCTTTTTGTTACTTTATTGATCTATAATTAAATGTCCATCTTTTTGTTACTTTATTTTAATAGTAATTTTCTGTTGTCATTTGCAGGTGATCTTCAGCCAATCAAGTGATACGTTAGATCATCAACCAAGTGTTGGTGGTTCTAGTGGGGAGGAGACTTCCTTGCCTGAAACATCATCCAGTAAGTTGTCAAGAAGTAGATCTCGTAGAACTTTAAGTTGTCAAATAGTGGATCTTGTAGCAGTAAAAGTTGTCAAATAGTGGATCTTGTAGCAGTAAAAGTTGTCAAATAGTGGATCTTGTTGCAGTAAAAGTTGTCAAATATTGGATCTTAGGCCACCTTATAAATTGGGTATGGAATCAAGTACTTTTTAAATTGGGATTAAATTAACATATTAAGACATGAATGTAATTAGTCCTTATTGTCTGCACAGATGATACATTGATGTGTAATGAGAGCAGTGGTAATGAACTGATGGTTACCTTTAAAGGCTTTGACTTCTTGGATAATGAACTGGAGGAATCTGAGGTATGTATCTCCAGTAGAATTTAAACTGAAAAATATTTACTGCTCATTACATTCTAAAGTACAAAATATTTAAACACTGATTGCAGTTGAAGGTAAGACTCATTAGTTCTGACAAAGTTTCCAATCAAACTCTAATGATTGTATGTTTAGCTTTAACCCAAGATGGCCAAACACAATAACCTTCTTACAATTACGTACAATCTGATGCAATACTTAATTTCTTTATCAAGATTGTGATAGTTTCTCTTCAAGCCTGCCAGATGCTAGACTTAGTTGTCAACTGCCATTTAAGGAGCATGCCATTTAGTAGTATTTAATTGACAGTGGACATGAAAATATATGTGTGTGTATATATAAATGTATGTTATTTTTACACATAATTCAGATGATGGTTTTAAAAAGTTCTATGTATTTAAAAATGTGTTGTTATATATTAGTTGATGCAATAAAAATTGTAATGAATATTTTGTAGTCTGAGGACTTTTTCTCCCAACTTGTTGATCGGCGCCATTCTCTCCATTTGGAGACATCACCAACAACATCAGCCCGTCCTAACTTTGGTAGTGAGCCTAACCTGGCCATAAGTAGCAATATTTCAAGGAGATCACCCAGAGACAGTGTTACTGAAGAGCCATCCACAGATGAAGAGGTAGTTCAAATAATCTTTAAAAACTGAGATTTTGCTCTCAAATTAAACAGTTTAAACGATCTTAATCTCATTGATAACTTATTATAGTCCTTCTAACACTGACTGTGTTTTTTAAAATTGCCTAATTTGAAATGAAATGAATCAATGCTTGTATTGAGCTTTAAGAACTGTTTCTAGTCTGAAAGCTCAGAGCATGAAGCCAGTGGTGCCACAGCCACAACAGATTCCATCACAGGATCCACATCCATTCAAGTCAAACTGGGAGATTTACGATCCAGTCCACTAACTGCCTCCACGTAAGTAGATTCAGTCCACTTCCTTCCACTCAATGCTTACACATCCACTCCACTCAATGCTTACACATCCACTCCACTCAATGCTTACACATCCATTCCACTAAATACTTACACATCATCCATTCCATTCAATACTTACACATCCATTCCACTCTATACTTACACATCCATTCCACTCTATACTTACACATCCATTACACTCAATACTTACACATCCATTCCACTAAATACACATCATCCATTCCACTCTATACTTACACATCCATTCCACTCTATACTTACACATCCATTCCACTCTATACTTACACATCCATTCCACTCTATACTTACACATCCATTCCACTCTATACTTACACATCCATTACACTCAATACTTACACATCCATTCCACTCTATACTTACGCATCCATTCCACTCTATACTTACACATCCATTCCACTCTATACTTACACATCCATTACACTCAATACTTACACATCCATTCCACTATACTTACACATCCATTTCACTCAATACTTACACATCCATTACACTCAATGCTTACACATCCATTCCACTCAATACTTACACATCCATTCCACTCAATGCTTACACATCCATTCCACTCAATTCTTACACATCCATTCCATTCAATACTTACACATCCATTCCACTCTATACTTACACATCCATTCCACTCTATACTTACACATCCATTACACTCTATACTTACACATCCATTACACTCAATACTTACACATCCATTCCACTCTATACTTACACATCCATTCCACTCTATACTTACACATCCATTCCACTCTATACTTACACATCCATTACACTCAATACTTACACATCCATTCCACTCTATACTTACACATCCATTTCACTCAATACTTACACATCCATTACACTCAATACTTACACATCCATTACACTCAATACTTACACATCCATTCCACTCTATACTTACACTTCATCCAATCCACCTTGATGTGTAACCTGCTAGTATTATACGACTATGAAGATGAATGTGACTAAAAATGTCAAAACCATTTTGCAGTCAAAGTTTGTCTAGTAATTCAGCAAGTGAAACAGATACAGTTGATCTGAACTCTAGTCAGGCATCTCCGGCCTTCTCCCAGCTCTCCGGTGTTCTGCTCAATTTGGAGGCTGATGAAGTGGAAGAGGTTTGGAAGAGTCATGTGACCAAGGTTTTGGCTGAGAGTTCCCTTAGTCATGTGGGGAAAACTTGCCAGATTTTCCCAAAGCTGTTTAGGGTAACCATTCCAACTTTATTTCTCATTCATTCTATGGTGCATTTTGTGAAGAATGTTTTTACAATTGGATTTAATTTGACAGGAGCTGAGAAAGCGGTTAACAACAATGACCAAAGAAGCATGTTACTACATTTGTAAAGCTGAAAATCTCAAGTCTATTACATCTCAAATTTGTATCCTTTATTATTTTGTTTGAAATTTCATTAGAGTACTTGTAGGTTTTTTGTTAAAAAAAGATGGTATATTATTGCATGTAGGGATATGGTCTATTGTTGTATGTAGTTATCTATTGGTGTTTTATTAAACTTTGATTGTACTTAACTTCTTACAAGTACAAGTGTTAGAGTTGGTGCATCAGCAGCTTGATTGTCCATTTCTTTTCTCTGAATCTGACTCTGTAAGTAACAAAACAATTTCAGGGTTTCTATCTGGCATTTTGATCTGGGGGTTGGGTGCACATGAAAATAAAAGTTACGTTTTACAATATTTGAAATCCCATTTCTGTATCTACTCAATTAGCTGTTAGTAACCAAATGTCTGACCAGCAGTCATTTCAAAAACAAATTTGAACCCTGATCTTCACCTATGTCATGTCAACTCTCTTTTCTCTACACTGATTCCTCACCAGAGCATGCATTCTCAGTTGACTTTTGCCTCAGTTAAATTGTCTTACTATACAGTAAAAAGCCCTTCCTGTGCCCTTAACTTTAATATAGGTGGAGTGTCAATCAAAATCTTGCAGTTTAAAAATCTATCTGTGTTTTATTAAATCCTTCTCTTTAATTAGGTTTCTTTGCCTTTGAAGCAACGATTTTATATCTTTATCTGTCACAGTGTAGGAGAAATGATGAAATTGCTTTTAAAATTTTAACCAATGTTTAGGTGGTTGGGGCTGGTTATCTTACAAAAAACTGAAGAATGTTTTGAGTTTGTATGTACCTTGTATGGGACAGCATGGCCTAAGCTGTAGAGCGCTAGGCTGCTAACCCAAAAGTTTCAAGTTCATATCTGGGTCCAAGTCAGTGGAATGTCTCTGAGTCCACCCAGCTCTAATGGGTACCTAACTCATATTAGGGAAAGTAAAGGCGGCTGGTCAAAGTGCTGACCACACCTTCCCTTTATATGCCAAGGTCAAGATCCACATGAACTTCTTCATCTGCCCAATGGATGGCCATGTCTAAAGAAGATTCTTTACTATGTACCTTGTAAGAGCGCCATTCTTCATCTGCCCAATGGATGGCCATGTCTAAAGAAGATTCTTTACTATGTACCTTGTAAGAGCGCCATGTAATGGTTGGTATTGATTGTCAGATAAGTTTATGGCCCTGCTAGAGAACAAGAGCAGAACTCCAGTGTTTTTAAAAGAAGACTATGTTAAAAATATTAGAATGACACCTTCCTGTAGAGAAGTAGGGGTTAAGGTAGTTAATTTTCTTTAGTTAAAATTATGTTTGAGGAAACATTTTCTACTTTTTATGGGGAAGGGCTAAATACGCACCCAGAGAGATGCCTGAAAGAAACACTGTCAGCTAGTTAATAGAAAAGTTTATTAAATCAGTTAATGGAAAATACTTTACAACAGTAACATTGGTGTCAAGTTTTATATATCTAAATAGGTAGAGCAGATGCATGCTGGAAAGAAAATATGAGATAATTTTGTCACTGTGTAGTTGTTTGTTTGTTCATATTGCAGCTGCTGGGCACTAGGCTTGTTGACCGCCATAGGTTCTGTGTCCTGGAAATACAGGAATGTTTTGAAACATACTCAAGCAGAAAGGACCAGGCAGAACAGGTGCTTTTCAATATCTGATTTAAAAGTTTTTTTTATATGTACAATTTTTTTCTGTATGTGACTCTTGCACTCTCCCAAACAGGTGGGCTGGAAATTATTAGCACTTTTTTCAAATAAGCACACTTTGTGTTTTTTACTTCCCTTGGTGTCAAACCTTGAGTACTTAAAATATTCAGTTTGAATGCACTAATTAGAGGACAGTATAAAGTGGCTCTCTGTACTTAACCCTAACCCACTAGACCACAGACTTGTTTTAGAAAAATTTGAGAAGCTTAAATGTTTTTTAGATGTTTTAAATGTCTATTTTTAGAGTCTGGAGGGCCTTAAGTGTTCAATCAAACAACAGTCACTTGGAGATGGAGGGTCTTATCTTATGGCAGGTGAAGAACAGGTGGGTACCTCTACCACTGGCTGGCCATACCTCTACCGCTGGCTGGCCATACCTCTACTGCTGGCTGGCCATACCTCTACCGCTGGCTGGCCATACCTCTACTGCTGGCTGGCCATACCTCTACCGCTGGCTGGCCATACCTCTACCGCTGGCTGGCCATACCTCTACCGCTGGCTGGCCATACCTCTACTGCTGGCTGGCCATACCTCTACCGCTGGCTGGCCATACCTCTACCGCTGGCTGGCCATACCTCTACCGCTGGCTGGCCATACCTCTACCGCTGGCTGGCCATACCTCTACCGCTGGCTGGCCATACCTCTACCGCTGGCTGGCCATACCTCTACCGCTGGCCAGCTATACCTCTACCGCTGGCTGGCCATACCTCTACCGCTGGCCAGCTATACCTCTACCGCTGGCTGGCCATACCTCTACCGCTGGCTGGCCATACCTCTACCGCTGGCTGGCCATACCTCTACCGCTGGCTGGCCATACCTCTACCGCTGGCTGGCCATACCTCTACCGCTGGCTGGCCATACCTCTACCGCTGGCTCGCCATACCTCTACCGCTGGCTGGCCATACCTCTACTGCTGCAATTGTTCCGCTTTTTACAAAAAGTCGTCTTCTGTTGCGCCTTCCTGTTTTCATTGAAGTTTGTCCCGTTTTTTTTTTAAAGAAAAGTAATAAATCGAATTTTTAAAAAAGGCAGGGAAAAACAATCATCTCCCTTTGGGACACGGCTCCGTTTCCTAGTTTACTTACAATATTTTCCAGTATCATCTTAATAGACCTACTAGTAGATAATGTAGACAATCTAGCTTTTGAATGTTCTTTTTAGAATTTACAATTGAATTGTAGATTTAAATTAAGCCTTAAATAACACATAGGGAGAAAAATACAATAAAGTCATGACTAACATGCTAATTTCTGGATCTAGATAGTAGATCTAATAGATACTGAATGAATCTAAATACTGCCCTATCTTGTAAGTTGTAACTAGACTAGTAACTACTATTATGAAGAACTTAGTAAGAAGTAACTTGGACTTTTACTAGGTAGATCTAGGTCTTAACCTATATTTTATATTACATATGATGAAGCCTTAAACATTTGTTATTCATATAGCCTAGAACAAAGCATGGCATAAATAAAATCAACATGTTATGTCAAAGATGTTTTTTATTGGTGGGGGGGGCGGTCTCAGGTTAACTATTTTTTTAAATGTTAGTTGACATCAAGCAGTATTTAAATGTAGCCTAGAGACTAGTTAAATATAACTAGAAGCCTACAAATGTCATTTTTAATTAATTTTTTTTATTTTTGACTTAGTAAAGTAGCGTAGTAGCATCCACGCACATGTTCCTCTTTTTAGACATGCCATATCCTACTTTTGGCTGACAGGGGTAGGCATGTCTGGCAGCCATATCTCTACTGCTTTTAAGAGATTAGAATAGGAAAGTACTACAGAAATAATATTACAAAGGAACTATTTTGTATTATTTTTTTTTACTCTTTTAAAACAAATGAGCAGTTGGAATTGTGTCAGAAACTGTACAAGTTAATCTTTCAACTGGTGCTCCTGTTTGAATCCTACCTCAAGTTGCTTGACATGTTTCAACTGGTTACAGCATCACCACAGGTATACATTTACACCACCTTAAATAGCATCACCACAGGTATACATTTACACTACCTAAAATAGCATCACCACATATATATTTACACAGCCCAAAATATCATTAGCACAGGTGTTCATTTACACAGCCTATGTGATAAGTGCACATAAATGTGTTTGTGAGATAAAATGATGTTCTCTGCCCAGGTCTCAGATATGTCCGGCCAGGTTATCCAGGTACGAAATGAACTTCTCTTAGCTCTTCAAGAGTTAGAAAATGGCCAGGCCTCACCATTACATGTGGACACCAAGGTTGTTAGTAAACAAGAAGGTGTGCTACAACTCTCAGAATACCTACATGGTGGAAAATATTTGAAAGCAATACAAATTTTACGGTGTTTTAGGTATGTCATGTTTTAGATCTTATCCATTTACAACATCCACCATTTTAAAACATCCTTCCCATCCTTTTTTTATGAATGCGTAAGGATTGGTTTTAAGAGGGAGACATAGCATTTATATTTTGAGCACTTTTCTAAATCAATACTGATACAGAAAATCTCATGCATATTGTTTTTGTATGAAAGCAGAAGTTGAAACTAATATATAATTTATTCTTATGCAGCATTATAATTAGTTGTATATGTCTATGATTCCTACTTATACTCACAGCATTGACTTCCCACAGAAATAGTGCTGCTTTCTTTATAAATATACATTTGTTGACTAAATTAGCTGTTGAACTGGCATTTTAAACATTCCTAGCCCTTTTATTGAATACAATTTGTGTGTAGGATAAGTGATCTTATGTGGTTGTTTTAACATATAAGTATTATAAGTATATCAATCTTAAATTAGCGGACCCCTGATTGCAAATCATAAATTAAAATAAACATGATCAGTATTGTCTTATGGGATATTTTATTCTGACTTGTAGTGGAGAATTTATGAAGCCAAGTGGTGAAAGCCAATATATATTAGAAACTATGAGGTCAATAACCATTATTTCCATCAGGATCACCATCAATATTGTAACATCTAACGTTCATACAAGATATGAAGCTGGAAAAACAACCCAAGTAGCCGCAGAAATGAGATGTTATAACATAGCTATCAGTGAGTCACATGCCTGGGCCTGAACATCCACAGAGGGAAAATTAAAGTTCTCATAGTCAGTGCATCAAACAGCAACCCTATAACACTGGCAGAAGAAGCCCTAGAAGAAGTGGATAGATTCACCTACCTTGGAAGTATTGTTGATAAGCAGGGTGGGACAGAAGCAGACATAAAAATAAGGACGTGCAAGGCAAGAGCAGTCTTCAACCAACTAAAAAATGTTTGGGTTTCTGGAGATTTAACCCTTGGAATAAAAATCCGGATCTTCAAACCTGTTTTACTCTATGGAGCCGAGACATGGAGAATAACTGCTATAAATAAGAAGAAAATACAACCATTTATAAACACATGCCTCAGAAAGATCCTGCGAACTCGCTGGTCTAAAACCATCAGAAATGATGTTCTATGGCAACGGACAAATCAACTGCCAGCTGAAGTAGAGATCCTACAGTGGAAATGGATTGGCCACACACTCAGGAAGCCTGTATCCAGCATAACAAGACAGGCCCTCACCTGGAATCCACAAGGCAGGAGGAGGAGAGGCAGACCAAGAAAGACCTGGAGACGTGACCTGGAAGAAGACACCAAGTAGATTGGATACACCTGGGGACAGTTGGAGAGACTAGCCCTGGACAGAGATGTCTGGAAAGCTCTTGTCAGCGGCCTATGACCCAGTAGGGACGACAGGCAAACATAACGTATCAGCGAGTCAAGATGGACTGGACAAAAAGTTCCTTCCTTCATCCTGTTTAATAATATTCTGTTGAAGACTTTGCCTGGGATGGACAAAAAGTTTTATCCTTTATAAAGATCGCCTTTCTTTAGGAGCTTTATGAGTAGTCCCTCCTTCCACTCTTCTGGTATTTGTTGATCTTCCCAGATTTTCTTGAAAAGTGTGTGAAGTAGTGTCGTGCTAGTTTTAATATTTGCTGTCAGTGCTGATGTCCTGGCTCGTCTTTCTCACACAGAACAGCAATATAAAACCAACAGTGGTGCTCATTTTTCTACAGGCCTGGGCCTGAACATCCACAGATGGAAAAGTAAAGTTTTAGGGTTAGGGTTCGAAACATAAATGTGACGAAGGTAGTCTGGAGAGTTTTAGTTCAATGTCTGCAAGACTAGATTTTTAATTCTTCTTTGTTTAAAAAAAACAAATTTTTTAGAATAAATTAATATGTTAAGAAAAACATTAGCTTGTCATTTGCAAAAAAACACCAGCAAAGTTTGAAGCTGGTAAATAATCAAATTACACTATTTAAATAATAAAAAAAAAAAAAACAATACTTAACATAATTTTTTTGCCATTGCTTTTTCCTTTCATTTTTGAGGGGGGAGAGGTCACTAGTCACTTAAAAAATACAAAAAGAGGTTGCCACCTTAAAAAAAGTTTGAGAACCTATGAATTAGATGATTTACAATTCCCCTTAAGCCAAATATTCTTCACTAACTAGATGATATACCATAGTTCTCCTAACCCAAATGGCTGGCTGCCATTAATTAATTTGCTATGAGTAATGTGATTGTGTTATCTAACAGATCTCTGTGGCCCAATGATTTATTTGGTTTGACCATTGAGGATGATGTCCTTACACTTTTAAGCATTTACTGTAGCAGTTTGGCTGAGAAAAAAACAGGTTAGCTGCCATCTTGAATCATTAAAGTTTTAACTCTTAATTGTCTCGCTATTTTTAAATCTTGACAGTTTTTTTAAAGTTGAAAAAAATTCTATCTTCAGGTGTATTTGCTTTGACAAAAACCAGCCTTGAACTGACACCATTGTATGGCCAGCTCATGGATATCAACAACCGACTGTCATCCTTAACTTCTTCATCTGCTGGTAGATATTTACAGCAATGTTTGATGTGTTGTTAAGTGGATATTTTGTTGAGTGATCCAGCCTACTTTTGTTTTCTTGTACCAACCTCAAGTCTATATTCTTTTACATTAACAGTCTTATTAATGAGTGTAATAGCAATTAAACTAAGTATTTTTTAATATTTCTTTTTGGATTTCTGAAGATCATTATTTTCCTTTATATTATTTCTAGGTGCTTCAGCCCTTTTACTTACCTCACCGTTTTCTTCAAGAGAGGGGGACATGAGTGGAGGAAGTGGTGATGGAGGCATTAGGAATATTCTAGATGAACAGAGGAGATTGGAAATACTTTTAAAATCACCTGACTCCAGCATTTTATGACTATAGGCTTTCACATCAAGCTCTTAACTATTGAAAGAAAGAAAAAAAAACAGTTTCCATTGAGAACTGTTTCATTCAACACCTCCATTGGTCACTTTGGACTAAATGGCAATAATTATTTTGAAGCGCCACACTCTGAATAAAATAAATTTAATTGACAGGATGTTTTTTTTATAACAAAATGTACATACATACATATAAATACAAACACATGAATATATATATACATACATACAAACATATATATACACTCATTAATTGGTTAACTTTTGCCTTATTTTTATCAGTAACAAAATATTTTATTATGAACAATGTGTCATATGATTCTAAGTTTCATATACATAGATTGCAACAAACCATACAATCACAAACACAGTCTCAGCAAGTCTGATGAAAAATTAGGGTTAGCCATACAAATTGACTGGTGCATGGGTTAGCCATACAAATTGACTGGTTTCTTTCCTGAATCTGCTTTTGTTAGTTTAAAATTTGAAAAGGTAATAACTTGAGTGTATTTAATTTAATATACCATAATTGTTGAATGTTCTTACACAGTGAAATAGTCAAGAATAGAATAGTAGTACTACTCATTACTGATTTTCCTAATCAATATTTAATGTATGTAGTTTGAATTACCATAAAATCTGAGCTGTGTGAAATGAATAAATAGTACTACTAGTACCAAATAATTACAGTTAGAAATATTTTCCTCAAGCACTTATGGTGAAAAATGCACAAAATCAATCAGTCCTCTTTTTCATGTTTCTACTATGGTGCTTTTTTAACCATTTTATTTTATGTAGAATTTATACTGTTAAAGCCAGGACAAAATTATTTGTTCAGAAAAATCAATTTTGTAGAAAATATTACTTTGGCCATTATTGATTTAAAAATGGGGTCACCCATTACTTAATGAAATCACTGCAGATTTTTCTTCCCCCCCCCCCCCCCCCCAATACAAATTAACATTCAACTTAAAAATAGTGTTTTCAAATTTCCTCTCACATTCAATCCAGAAAGAGCTCCAAATTATTAAATATAAATTCATGGCAATCATTTCAGGATCACAGTAAAAGTATTTGCAATGGAAATGAATGTTCAGCTTTTTTTTTGTGCATCATGTACAATGTAGAGTACATTTATAATTCATGTGTTTTGTACAATCATTGTATAGTTTTTCCATAAAATTTCATTGGTATATTGTTTTTAATATTTTTTTTTTAAATTTATGTGGTGTTGGTTGCAATTAGCGGGACATAACTAATTTTAAAAGGCCATTGAAATGCCATAGGCTTTTCACACTTTGAAAAAATTTAAAGGGTAAGTAAAAAAAACCCACTTAATTTGTACATTTAAAAAATCAATTTTCTTTTTGATGCAACAGTATAACTTGATCAAAATGTAGGGGACTACACGCCTCTTTGTTTAAGAAACCTGTATGGCTATAACATGTACATTTGAAACATGTTTAATCAGAAGAGTGCACTGGTTCACCTTGTGTCAAAAATACTTCTTATACAAATTATGACACCCACAGTAAATCTGGCTATATTGAAATACAGAACAACCATAGCTCTTAACAGGTAAGCAGACTTTGTGTATATTCTAAAAAGATTATAAAAATATGTTGTAATTAGTTTTCAAAGTACTCTCTGTAAGAAAAGACAAAAATATTTGAACTAAGCAATCTGAAAAAATTAGACTCCGCTACAAAGTGAAGTGGGAATTTAGTTGATCGGACAAAGCTGAAAAAATGCATGGAACATTTGAAGTCTAATCATTGAACGGAGTTTTAACTTTAATTATTTATACTGAAAAAATGAACTATAAAAACTAGACTGACAAACTTGTTTATTAAGTAGCTACATGTTTTAATTTTTTTACTGAACTATCAAGCCTCTATAACTTGCTAACATCAATTTTGAGAAGCTTGTAGGTGAGTTGGTTATGAAGAAAACTGCCATTTTCTTGCGATTTTAGTGATTATTATAGATCTAGTGTGTTTTGTCGAGCTCGGCCTTTTTTGACCTTGCTCATAAAAGATAAACAATTAAAGTGTTTTAACAGGAAAAAGGACCACCTTTCTAAAAATGCTAATAAAAAATGTATACGATGGATGTCAGAATCACTAATTTTCAAATTGCTTTGTTTTTTCAACATTTAAAATATTTAGTCTATTAAAAAATTATGCTTTTTTTTTTTGTTTAGTATCCCACTAAAGGCTATTCAATTATGCACATTGTACAGGTAGATCTATTTGTTAAGAAATATGTTAGATGGTCAAAAAAAGGCTTACGAGTTGAATGAGAGGGGTCAAAATCCGTTGAAAATCCTACTAGTGATAATTTTCTATCGGTAAATGATATGTAATGTCAACAACTACAGAAATTACGGAGGACTTTAAATTTACTTTTTAATGGTACCAAACTTATTACTATTCGAGCCCTTTTTATTATGGAAACTATGAAGTGAAAGCTACTATATTTGGGCAACACTGACGAAAAAGGGTTTTTTACAGCAGTTTGACATACCTACAATTAGTGTTGTTACAATGTTACTAGGTGACAGTAGTAATCTATGTACAAACATTTTGCAAGTCTAAAATACAGTTTTTAAAAAAGGTCTATACTGGTTGTTTTTTTATTATGAAGTAGGAATTAAGCTATAATTTTTTAAAAATTTAAAAACAAGATTGAAAAAATGAAAGACTGCAAAATTTTGTTGAGTCACAGTCAATAAACCATGATGACACTATTTGTGTAGGTGGAAATCCCAACAAGAATGACATAAGTTTTCAATTTCTAACCTAATACTAATGGCATTGATGAAAATAATAGCTGTTCCACTAAATTAGCTTTGAATGATTTTTATTATTACTTGAGGTCTACCCTTTTATTAATGCACTTTATAGTACCAGGTTTTGGTGATAAAATCTGAGCCTATACAAGGTTCTTTTCTATAACATTCAATTTTTCAATATTTGAATAATTGAAGTCCATATTTTGCTTGGACAGTTCTACCATGCCCTTGTTAAGACAATTAATTAAAGCCAGCAACAACAGATAGATTGTGGCCAGGTGATACAGCAGAAATACAGAACTGTTTTTAAGTTTAAGTCAAGAGGTGAAGTTTTGAAGATAATATCTTAACCATTCTAATAAATAAAATTTAAAAATAATGCAGCTGTTAAATATTCAGGTCCTTTAAATGCAATCAATTTGATCAATATTTTTAAAGCTAATTGTCTTCAAAGAAATCCCAGGTCACTTGATAGAGATCAGGGAGAGCAGAAGATGGAACTAAAAAACTTATTATATTGAACATTAAGATTTAAGTTTGCCTAATTACTTATCAATTTACCAAATTACAATATTGCAGGTTTTTGACCTGCTTTGAAAACAAATATAATTATGAAAAAAATGACATCTGGATGTAAACACTAGGCTAGCCCAGCAGATTTTAAGGGCTTAAAATAAAGGCAGAAATCAGACGTATTTTACTTCCAACCAAAATTACTGATTTAAATGCTACCACCCACCTTCAAGCTGAGATTGTTTCAGAAAATGTTCTAGTAGTAGTAGTAGCAATTTTAGGAAGGTGTATGAATCCTGATTTCGGCCTATTTGAGGTAAATTGCTAAAAAAAACTTTCTGAAACATTAAAGAGTTAGATGTGTTTTATTTCTTCTGCATTCAAATTTTCATCTTCTTCAGCAAATGTTTTTTCTATATTCTCAAGTCGCTGATGAATATTTAAGATCACTACTTGAATCTGTGGAAAGAATAATATCTTTTTATATCTCTGCATTAACAAGCAAAGAAAACTGCCTAGTATCATAGCACTAATAACTGTCAATCTAGGTAGCAGAAGTTTTTCAAGTGACCTTTCAACAATTTGATCCAAAAATTCTTTCATCATTAGCAAGTCAAAACTTCTACACAAAGCGACCTGCCTGAGTAAAAAGCAATGGTGGCCAATTCATACTATTCTATTTACACAGGTTTTTAAACATTTTAATTTATTCAAGTTTTTAAAAATTGGCCGCTAATAAATTGTGGTAATCGATAATTATTCTAAGCCTATATTATCATTTTATTAATCTTAAACTACATTAATAACCCCTTTTACATTTGTGAAAAATGGCTGAGAAAATGTTTTTTTTTTCTTTAAATTTTCTTTTTATGAATCCAAAAATTAACATTAAAATTTGCCATTTTAAAAAAAGATTGAAATTAAGTCAGCCTGAACATGAATAAGCCTCAACATCAGCATTCATGTGGGAAGCAGGTAAAGGGTGGTTAGGGTTCTGAAGACATGAGTAGCAAGTGTCCATAAAGTTCAGTTCAAGTAATAAAATGAGAACTGCACATTTCTCTGCGTCATTCAGTTTCCTTTTTATTTTTGGCTAACAAAAAAGAAACATTAATATCAGCAGTTTTCTGACTTAGTTCAGAAGGTCAGCTTGTGGAAAAGTATCAACTTTTTTTGGCAATTATAAACTTTTTAGCAAGTATCAACTTTTTTTGGCAATTATAAACTTTTTAGCAAGTATCAACTTTTTCAGCTGACAGTTTTTCTCAAATAGAAATAAACGGATTTCCATAAAAAAAAATAAATAGCTGAACTACTTCATCTGCACCATGGTCCATCTGTTCTAAACTTTTTTTATAATTTTAAGAAACAAACATGAGAGTGTAAATTCAATACACAGATAATTTGTGTTGATTTCATGGCTACCTACCCCAGTAACAAAAGTATAGATCTACTTTTTCCATAAAATGTGTGTTCCAAACTTTTCACAACTCGTTTATATAGCATAATATAGTCCTACTTTATATAATCACAAAATGTATTGGCCTAATTATGACAATCGGCTTTGCTACTCATTCTAAGATTTTTGTGAAGAATAGAATTTTATAACATCATATTTTTATTTGACCTCATGTTAATTCTATAAATAACTACTCTCCCCCCCTGAATGTTTTCCATGGCTGGAATGTCTTTGTCAAAAAGAGCAGAAGAAACGTAGACCTAGTGTTTCCTTTTTTACTTCTAGTTCTAGGAGAATTGAGAGGGTGCTGGTGTGGCTACAGCAAACCACTCATCTTTTTACCCGGTTACTTTTAACCCACACATTCCTCATATAAAATTCAATGTAACTGAATGTCTAAAACACTAAATTTAATGTAAGTAATAATCTATTATTAAAGAAAAATAATTACTGTAGTTTTTCACAAGGAAAAGTAAATATATTTTTACAGGGGATAAAGTATATTTAGGATAAGAAAATGTAATTAATAATATAATTTTTTAGTTCTTATTCAGAGAAAATGTAAGTATTTCAATTTTTGTACAAAAACATGATTGGATTAGTATTAGAATAAATACTTACATTTTGGTTAATAATTTAACAGCGTCCTAACAACTGTTTAAAGGGGGTTCAGCAGTGTTCAGAAAATTTAGCAAGTGGTTTTACAACAAAAATACTATAAGATACTATAAGATACAAAATCAACTATACAGAAAAACTACAAAAAGTAAACAATTTTTAAAAATGGCTGCTCTAGAGATAGTGTAACAAATGCAGAAAATGTCAGTACAGTCTTAAAGCGCAGTTATGTTGATAACAATACCTTAGATATTTCTTCTTGCATTTTCATGACTGCAGAAAATAGTGTTTGATTAGGCATTTGACTTTTCCCAGGAATGGCACAGCTATAGATAAAACAAAGTAATTTCTTTAAAATCATATCAATAAAAATAAATTGGAAAGAAAAGTCTGAAAAAAATTATTTTCTGTGTGTCACAGCAACCAGTTCATGATGTCTAGTTCTGTTTTTAATCATCACTTACTAACTGCAAAAGTAGCCCACAAGATAAAGGTACGACTTGATTATCAGCTAAGCTTTCTTTAAAATACAGGCACTGCAATTTATATTTTGTGCATGCGTTTAAAGTTTTGTGTGTAGTAACATTGATGTTAAATATAAGGTGGATATCCATATGGACCAAAACCAACCAAATGTACACAAGCTGACACAAGTTGAACATTATGGAACTCCCCATTCTCCCTCTGCATTAAAAATTGATTTTTTTTTGCTGCTTCTGGCTACTATAACTATAACATCAAATTATAGACTTACCTAGTAACTTTGTCAATATAAAAGCTGAGATTGCCTTCTAGAAGTGACAGGTGAACTGGAAGATTTTTCAAAATCATTCCCACAGGTTCACAACACTTAGCACAGTCCACTCTGAAATATATGCTGAGAAAAAAAACATTTTTGACACAATTAAATTTTAAACTTTTAAAATTAATGGTTAACTTTTTAAATATTGATGTTGAGTTCTTCTCACAACCAAATCGACACATAGGCCTACCTCCCTCTCAAATTTTCTATTTCGCAATTTTCTTGTCGCTGTTGCACTTGGACTGTTGAGGGGTGCGCATCTGAGAAAAGAAAAATAAATGTATTGTGTAGATTTAATTTATGTAGCAATAAAAAGCTGGCTGCAGTTTGCTATTTAAAGTAATTATGAAACACAATCAGTGTCCCAGATTACATATACTCAAACATAAAAACCCTTCTTTCAACCAGATAAGGATGCACAGGTAGCTGCAGACTAGAGATGAACAGAAATAAATTAAGCTTACTAGGCATTAGTGAAACAACAGTGGGTAACATATTTTTATGATTGTAATAAATGGATGGTCCTTTATTATAATTGATTGAAAGAAAATCACTTTTTCTTACTTTTTATGCATTCATATAAGTTTATTAAAAATGTATTTATAATAATTTATATACATTTTCATTTGGAATAATTGGAAGTCAGGGATGTCTTACGGAATTGAGCTCAATTTATTGGCTGTAGAGAGACTGTGCAATCGATCTGAAAACCCTACCTTGTATTAATCTGATTTTTTTTAAATTTAAAATTAAAATGTATACTATTTTAGGCCACATGGCCTAGTTATGCCATGTTTGTTTACACTTTCAGTGACAAAATTAAAACTACCTAATTTTTTGGAGCTTTTTTTTTTAATTTTCTTTAGTTACCAAAAATACTAAAACATCTAATACATCCAATCTTTAGGAAAATCCAAAGAAAACCTCACAACAAAGTTTTTTATAACTACATTTATTTTAATGACATCACACCCAATTTTTAAATATTCAAATAAACTATTGAAGAATATAAAGGACTGCGTTCATTGGTTTCCAGGCCAGTAGAGCATCAAAAATGTGTTTATTCAACATCACAGCTACACCAGCTTGGTGATATCTTGCCTCACTACCAAATGATTCCTACTACCCTGTCATTTAACTCAGTAAATGTAGCTGGCTATTTTTAGTCTGGTCAACTGTATTTCCTGTAATACTTGTATATGTAGCTTGTATCTTCTCATTAGCTGCTTTTTCTTGTCTTTTGGAGTTGATTGGTTTTTTTTAATGTTTTTTGTTTTGTTTTGGGTGTTAAAGCCTCTATTTGGTGTCAGGAGTTAGGTTTTCTGGGACTTCTGTGTCATAGCTTCAGTTTTTGGAGAATAGCTTCCTTTTCACTGGTTTTAATACCTCCTGATTTGGATCTGCAGAGATTGTTTTTAATGTAACTATTATATTAAATGGTAGAGCATTCAACTGCTAACCCAAAAGTCTTGAGTTCCAATCCCAGGCTCAAATCCGTATGACATCTGTGAGTCCACCCAATTCTGATGGGCAACTGATAAACAATAGGAAAAGCAAAAGAGAGTGATATAGTGCTGACCACACTATCCCCTTAAAATGCCAAGGTCACAAAAACAGGCAAACTCTACTTCCCCTGCTCCATGGACTACATGGTTCAAAGGGTAACTTATCTTTTTTTTACTAACTCCCACCATGCCAATAATTTACAATAAACTTTAACTGAGACTTCAAACCTTTTTAAGTTTGTATTGTTAATAATAGCCACATCACTGTATATGCATGTCAAAGTCAATGATTCTAATGTTCTGATTTTTACTACCCCTGAAATATTTTTTTTTTACTTTATGTAATAATGTACACTCTAGTCCTTAATATAAAAAATTATTTTTTGTCTTTTATTATTAACTAGCATGCCCATCCCATGCACGTTGCCGTGGAGATCAGGGGCGGAACTACAGTGTCGCCAGACCCCACAATGCAGAGGGGGGGGGGGGGGCCATTTAGGGGGCCCACAGCCAACCATAATAAAAAAAAATTTAGTTAAAATTTTTTATTTCATTTTTGACTTTGACTTGATGGTTGTTTTGTCAAAAGAATACTGTAGCTACGGTTGGATTATCTTTATTCTATAGATACCATCCCACGCTCTTGTATATTCTTTTTCCCTTTGTTTTCAAACCATTGTGAAAGATAGGCAAACGTTTAAACAACTTCCATGACTTATTTCTCTTATTTAAATAAAATGGTGCTCATAAGCTCCTTTTAATAGATTTGTAATTGTACTAAACAAATTAAAACGCAATAACTTCTCTTAATTATTATTCTTTTTTTAAAATACATTCTAAAGAATGACATAGTATAAAAAGGAAATGTATTTAAAATTATATAAATACAAAAAGACTTTCACTTTCACTTCCAGTCTGTAAACAGTCAAAGTCCCAAACAGTACACCCAACTGTGAAGCGTTTTGCAGCTAAGAGACACATCCAATCATTAAGATTTTTTAAAGTAAAAATTAGAAATTTATGGGCAGAGTTAAACAAAAACAGAAGAAGTAGAACAGGGTACCACCACCCTATTTTTTCAGATACAGTGCATTCATAAAATCTCAGTCTCAGTTAAAATTTTAACTCTTCGAAAAATAAAGCTCAAACTTCCTGAGAATGAGCTATGGCTGTGTCAAAATAATATTCATAACTGAAAAGATTTTTGTTTTAACGGCTTCAAAGCTGATACATTATGCTATTTCGCAAAACCGAACTCTTGTTGATGTTAAATAAATGCAACATGGCAAATTTGAGTTATTAAGCACTTAGGCCTAAGTCTCAAAATTTGTCTGGCTCTAGATAACTCTATTCTTAAACAGGAACAATCAAAATAAAATATGTTTGAATCTATCTGTTTGACAAAAAATAAGGGGTGGAACAAGAGACACCCCCTATTGTTCATACACTATTAGCTTAGGCTCAATCTATTTGAATCTAAAGCTAACAACTAACAAGAGTAAAGCTCTAAAATAAGTGTGTTTGATGGTTCTATCTAAATAGTTGACAAATAGGTAAAGGATGGTAAAATGCTAAGTCATCGACACACCTGACATCCTTGAAAAACCAAGCGCATATATTTAAATTTTAAAAATGAAGGCAAATTATATCTATTAGAAATGTAAGGTCTTTTATTTGTATAAATGTAATGAACTTGTTGGTATACTTATATATATAGTTTAATTTAAAAAGATGTGTTTCTGCCAAAACAATGATCGCCACTATCGTAATTACAGTAATACAAGCTGTAACAGTCAAATGTAGGGTGAATGTATGTTTCAAGTGGAGGTGTAAAAAGGCGATATAAATCTAAAATATATTGTGGGTGGGCGCATGCGCAAAAGAAAGGGGAAATAAAAAATGGCGTTGTTTGGTAATGAAGCTGTTGTATCTTTGTATCAAGAGTTGTTTGGTGTTATCCATCAGGCCTTAATATGCAATAACACAACAGTGATGCAGTTGGTATTTGTCTTGAGTTTGTGCCATGAAGTTGATAGTATAAAAAGGCCGTGACACAAGCATACCAGCTAGACTAAGTGACACAAGTGTTAGTAGCGAGACCCAACAACTTCCGGTTCACTTTCACTTCCAGTCTGTAAACAGTCAAAGTCCCAAACAGTACACCCAACTGTGAAGCGTTTTGCAGCTAAGAGACACATCCAATCATTAAGATTTTTTAAAGTAATAAAGAAAAATGGATAAGAATGGAGATAATGCAATAAAATTTCAAGTAGAGTCCATAGAGAAGTTTAGGGAATAAGTCACTTACCTGTACCTTATTTTCAATGAAACACTCCATAAACAATAGTCCATGAAAATATTTTAAAAAAATATATAACAAGTCCATTTTTCTTCAAAAAATACTCCTTGCAATACAATTGACCAGGCAAAAACTGAGAATAATAAAAAATACGAAACACTCGCACTCGAGCGTCCGCCAACTCTCTGTATTTGGGTAACAGGGGAAAAATCTCGCAGTGCATCGTAAAACAGGAGGCAAATCCTAATACCTATAATAATTTATAATGTATAATATTGAACATGCATTTGGTCCTACTCACTAGTACTCTATACAATATTTAGGCCTATCACTATCAATATTATTATTGGGCCTAATTAATAGCCTAACTAATAGGCCCTTACTAATGTTATTTGTAGTTAGGCCTAATTAATGGGTTAGCCTAACTAATTCAATAGGCCCTAATGATATTTTAAAAAAATCACCTGTTAGGGTTATTGTTCGTAAAGTTTCACTCAAATAAACAAAAGAAGATGAATCGCCTAAAACTGATCCGCATGCTTCACACTGATACACTGTTAGTGTAGTTGATGCCAATGGCACAATTGAAATTGGTTGAGTACTGTTGTTAGACATGTTGCAGAATCTTGATTGATCTAGCTAGATCTAGATTATTCTAGCTAGATAGTAGATAGCTACTTTAGCTAGATCTAGTAGGTAGTAGAGTGAGTCTAGATCTAGATCTGATCATCTAGATCTTTCAGTAATCTATCGTTTTAGGTACGTAAAATCGCCCGCGACTAGTAATGTGAAAAACAGGTGACTCTTTAAATTTTAATAATTATTTCACATTTTGAGGAGGATTTTCGTTTTGAAAAATACAAAAATGTTTTCTTGTTTCATTTGGGTGTTGGGAAATTGTGAGACGCGAAAAGCGAAATGACGAGGCGGGAAAATGAGAGAAGATAATGCGAGACATACCTGCGGAATCAAGGGTAAATAGCGAGACACCTTTTGCGAAAAGTTTTTTTTCATCTTTATTTATTTAAATTATTTTTTTTTTGTTATAAAATAAACAAGCATGTAGCCATACCCTTTAACACGAGTGTTGTATGTTGTTATTTTTTATCTAAATTTTATTAAAGAGATAGATACTAAGAAGATAGATAGATCTATATCTAGATCTATCTATTAAAAAATCCAAACATCGTTGCTGTGCTACTGTCATCGCCCGCTCTTGTTAGCGAGAGGAAAATCCTGTCTCAGTCGACATTAATTTTAAAAATCTAGCCCGCTCATGTTTATACAAACGTGAGCTGTGTCATTGTGAATTTGGTATAATCTTGTCAGCAGGAGAGATAATTTGAAACATGTATTCATGGATTGTTGTACTTGCAAACAAGTGTAAAAGTATAAACAATTCTAAAGTGTAATTTATTTTTTATTAAGTAATTTTAATTACAAACAAAATTTGCAAACAAAATCTTCTAAAACAGTCTTAGCAATACTCAAACACACCTCGTCACACCATCTTTCACACATAGTACATCCAACCAAGTTCATTAGACTCCCATTTATACTGTGCTAACACAGAACACGAATATGAACAGAATGAAAAAAAAAAGTGCGTCTGTAGATAATCTGAATAAAGTTCGCTATCGACAAAGCTACCATTTAATAGCTAAAAGGAGTCATCTATAAATGACGTCACACTTTTTTGACGATTTTTACCCCCCCCCCCCTCCCTCACACATTTTCACAAAGATCCAGACCCCCCCCCCCCCCCACTAAAATGACGTCACACCTCAGTTTTTTTTAAAACATCGATATTTTCCCAAAATCTTGTCTAATTTCTGTCAAAATAGAGTATTTAATCAATTCCTACTACAATTTTTAAAAACAGTTTTTAATACGCGAAATAACTTCTAAAATTCTTTTTCTAACATGCTTTTTTATAGTGTGACGTCACAACATCTAACCCCCCCCCCCCCCCACACACACACACCCATCACACATTTCTATGCAACAATACAAAATATGTTTGCGGCGGCAGCGGATTCGGGCACAGTGATCTTCAAAGACATTAATGCAGGCAGCCTCGGCGTTCCACACAAAAGAAATAAATTGATCTATCGGCTGCGGTTTCGAACAAGGTGGTATTCTAAGTCGACACAAAAGATGGGAAGAGTTCACAAATCATCAGTATGTCTAGCGACGGAAAAATCGGAAGTTTTAACAATCAGGGATGTGACCAGACCAGGAAAAAAAATTAGGAAATTTTCTTCGGATAATAACTCAATATGTTTTATCTACTTTTTATCGCGTTTAAGCAGCTTCATACTGTTACTGTACTAATTAATTGTTTAATGAGGTTAATATTTTAAATACAAGAAGTTTATGTTACTCTAAAATAACATTGAAAGTCTTGTCTAATTGCAATTTAATGTTTACCTTATAAACAACTTTTTTAAAATTACAATGTAACAAAAGTAGCAATTAAGTTTTATTTTACCATTAAGCTAATTTAAACTGTACTAATCTAATGTAGATTCTAGATGCACTACTGTTTTCAATTTTTAAATAGGGGGCCTAATGCGTAATATATATTCTTTTAAAGATTGGATTGGTAAAAATATTTGTCTTCAACTGTAAAGAGCCTAGATTAAGATTAGTTACAATTTGAAAGTATTAGGTTCATGTGATGGAAAAATGAAATGGATCAGGTTAGCTAAAATTAGAAAGGGTCTGACGTGTGAACCAAAGTTAATCATAATGATAACCAAGCCACATCGATATTTATGTTTTTTTGGAATAGCTGTAAATTGTTAGGGGTCATCCACGTTTTTTTTTGACGATATTTACCTCCCCTCTCTCCTACAAAATCCAGACTCCCCCACCCCCATAATGACGTCACACCTCAGCCAACAAATGCTCCTCCACCCCCCTCCTCGAATTGAATTTTTTTTTAAACCGATTTTTTTCTAAAATATTGACTGAGGGTCGACCAACATAGGGTATTTTATTCAATTTCTATTACAATGTTTTACAACAGTTTTCCAAAACGCGTAATAGCGGCTAAAATGCAGTTGTTTCTAAACATTACTTTTTTAAAATACAAAAATATTAAAATATGACGTTACACTATCTTACGAGTGTGACGTTATTTATGGAAGACCTCTTACTAAAAATTTAAAAACAGTCTGTACGTATTTTTTCTTCCACAAACAAGACACGGTCGTAGTCACGATGAGTTTAGTTTTTTTATTTTTAATCTGTAGGCCTACGAAGCATACGTATTGCAAGAACAGCTATTTGAAATTGACTGTGACGTCATTTTTTTTCCCACAAGCAGTACCGAACACGTACTTGGGGTCAAGGTGAGGTCACAAGAGCCACCGTTGCTACGAGGTGGGGCGGGTTGGTCTAGTCCTCATAGTCACCTTTTGCAAGGATTTCTGATTCATAATATTATATTATTATTTAGATTTAGGCCTATAACATTTAGATCTAGTTTAGCCATTGATTTAGGTTTATTATTCATTTATCTAAAATATTTGACACAAATATTTAATATAATATACCTATCGACATAATACTTCTATTAAAGTATTAAAGCATTGACAATTGACAATTAGGTAACGTTTTCGTACAATACTAGCCGCGGGCAATTTTACGTACTAGACCCAAAACGGTAATCTATCGTTTTGGGTACGTAAAATCGCCCGCGGCTATTAATGTACGAAAACGTTACCTCATTGTCAAGGCTGTAATAGAAGTATATTGTGATATGTTTGTGTCAAATATTATAGATAAATGAATAATAAACCTAAATCAATCGCTAAATATATCAATATAGGCCAGAAATTAACTTTAAACAGCAGTGTCTGCAAGCAAGATTTGCTATATAAACTTAAAACAGCAGCCATTTGTAAAATAGAGTGGCTTCCGCCTGAATCTCGCGGTATAAGTCTATAAAAATAAAACTTTAACAAGATGGCTGCGGGTGTGGGGAAATTGCGAGACGCGAAAAGCGAAATGGCGAGGCGGGAAAATGCGAGAAGGTAATGCGAGACATACCTGCGGAATTAAGGGTAAATAGCGAGACACTTTTTGCGAAAAAAGTTTTTTCCTTTTTTTTTTTCCATCTTTATTTATTTCAATTATTTTTAAAAATATTTTTAAAATAAACAAGCATTTAACCATACCCTTTAACACGAGTGTTGTATGTTGTTATTTTTTATCTAGAAACTAAGAAGATAGATCGATCTATATCTAGATCTATCTATTTAAAAATCCTAACATCGTTGCTGTGCTACTGTCATCGCCCGCTCTTGTTAGCGAGAGGAAAATCCCGTCTCAGTCGGCATTAATTTAAAAATCTAGCCCGCTCATGTTTATACAAACGTGAGCTGTGTCATTGTGAATTGGTATAATCTTGTCAGCAGGAGAGATATTTTGCAACATTTATTTATGGATTTTTGTACTTGCAAAAAGTGTAAAAGTATAAACAATTCTAAGAAGTGCAATTTATTTTTTATTAAGTAATTTTAATTACAAACAAAATCTTCTGAAACAGTCCTCAAACACACCTCGTGACACCATCTTTCACACATAGTACACCCAACCCAGTTCATTAGACTCCCATTTATACATTTTTCTTTTGCTACTTCTTCCAATCCACATTCACAACATTTCACATTCTCATCACAGTTGACCTCGTTCATCCCACAAACAACACTGGCACCCATGTTCTCATCATCATCATCCGCACGCTCAACATGTTTTCCATTTTTTATAATTTGTATTTTTTATCATTTCTGTAATTTTGGCAATGTCTTGCTCATTGTTGTCACCAGCAGTTGAGTTTTTTTAAAACATTGATATTTTCCCAAAATCTTGTCTAATTTCGGTCAAAATTGAGTATTTTAATCAATTCCTATTATAATGTATTAAAACAGTTTTCTAAATCGCGAAAAAACGTCTAAAATTCTTTTTCTAACATTGCTTTTTTATAGTGTGACTTCACATCTAACCCCCCCCCTCCTCCCCCTCATCACACATCGTCATAAAATTACAGACCCCCCTCCCCCTACGAGTGTGACGTCATTTATGGAAGACCCCAAATAACACCACCACCAAAACCAAAAAATTCAAATAAGTTCAACTTGGTTTTAAAAATATTTGAAGTAGGCCCATAGCTTACGATATAGCACGAGCAACTGATAATATCGGTGACGTCACTTTATTTTGTTGTATCCAAATGATGTAGGCATTTCCTTGTGCTTAGATTTATATGGTAAAAAAAGCTAGAAAAAAATCGTAGGCGGCGGCTATAATACAAAATTTCTATGCAACAATAGAAAATATGTTTGCGGCGGCAGCGGATCCGGGCACTGCGATCTTCAAAGACGGTAAATCAGGCGGCCTCGGCGTTCCACACAAAAGACAGAAGTTGATCTATCGTCGGCGGTATTTCCGTCGGTTTCGAACAAGGTGGTATTCTAAGTCGACACAAAAGATGGGGGGAGTTGACAAAACGTCAGTATGTCTAGCGACGGAAAAAATCGGAAGCTTTAACAATGTAAACGAAACGTCTTTGAAGTCTGGATCAAATACCACTGAAAATCGGGTGCGGTAAATTTTTCGCAGAAATCTTCGCATTTCAACACCACCCAGCGTAAGTATCAGCTTGTGGTAAAATGCGAGACAAAAAAGTCACGTGACCGACCGTTTTCGCGCCCTTCTCGCATTTTTTCCGCCTCGCCATTTCGCTTTTCGCGTCTCGCAATTTCCCCACACCCGATGGCTGCTATAGTAAATGTCAGTAAATGAGCATGGTTGCATCTGTTGGAAACATCGCTGGTGTTCACTTATTACTAAAAAGTTTTAATTCAATTGTTTAAAAACAGGTACATAAATGAAACAAGGAAACATTTTTGTATTTTTCAAAACATAAATCCTCCTCAAAATGGGAAATAATTATTAAAATGTAAGGAGTCACCCGTTTTTCACATTACTAGTCGCGGGCGATTTTACGTACCTAAAACGATAGATTACCCCCAAAACGATAGATTACCAAATCTAATCTAGACTTACTCGAGATCTAATTTTAGATCTAGATCTAGAAATAGATTCTAGCCATCTACACCTAGATCTAGATTTTCTAGATCAGATCTAGAGACTAGAGATATGTTATGTTCAAATGTTGTGATTGTGATTGTAGGCCAGCCCCAGCCACTACTCGTTTGCAGAACAACAAAGTTTACACAACCCGCCTGTTCTCGAAGAACGTTTCGCCTTTTAATTACTTTCTCGTATTCGTATCATATAATATAGATCTAGATTAAGATCTATTCTAGATCTAGATCTAGATACTAGATGAAGTGTTATAGTAAAAAAAAGAAATCGAAATCGACGACTTACACCTCCCTGAGAAAAAAAAAGTTTGCAATTTTGTCTGTGTGAACTTGGGGGCCATCCATGAATGACGTCACGATTTTCGGACGATTTTTACCTCTCACAAAAAATCAGACCCCCCCCCCTAAAATGACGTCACACCTCAACATACACCCCCCCCCCCCCCCCACCTCAATATTGCAGTTGAATTTTTCTTAAAACATCGATATTTTTCCAAAATCGTGTCTGAACTATCTAAACATAGAGTATTTTAATCAGAGTCGGCGTTAGGGGGTGGTAAACGGGGCGGTCGCCATAGGCCCCGCGCCTGAAGGGCCCAGCGCTTCAGCACTGTCATTGTTATCTGAATTAGTTTGTAAACTTAAACAAATTGTTGCTGAATTCAATTTGGAATAACTAAATGGTCGAATGCCGACGTTATAACTGAGGCCACGGTTAATGTTAGTGAGTTATCACCCACTTGAACTGGGAAAGGCAGTAATTCGATACAAAAACAGTGTCACACCTTCCCTTTGTGTAGGGTACGGTCGCCTGGCATTTGACTGGAGATGGCGGTCGAGAATCAGCCCACAACTTGACATAGGATGTCGTATATGTAGGCCTACTTGTCTTGGTATAACCAAATTAACATTCAGTTGCGCGCAGAGGGGTTGGAGGAGGGCGACGAGGGGGGGGGGCTTAGCATCTATATCAGCGGGCATTAAACAGATTGATTTATTATTATTTTTCTGAAGAAATTTAAAACTGTTGTTATGTTGTGTCATCTTAAGGATTCATCCGTTCCAAGACAGAATGATTAATTTACCGAATTCATCCAAATTGTTTTATTCAATCGTCTTCCAGTGGTGCTCACGCGATATAGTCAGCGAATTATTATCGTCGCACAACTTTGATTGACCAAGCGGCATCGTTGAGGCAATGGAGGGTTGTGATTTAGTAGTCATTGATATTCCGCCAAAAAACGCGGTCTTTCTATTTATATCTGATACTTTAATGAACTTAAGGGCATTTGTAGAGTGAGTAAGCACATTTTTAGCGCAATTTCCATTCTGGAGAATTGCGTTTATTAACCCGTCATTTCTGGATGTATGAATGGATGTGTGTCCGCAGCTTTAAGTCGTATCTCCTCCTCAACGAAGCAATATTGAGGACTAGTTCCAAAGCAATTATGTTAAGCAAGTTACGAGGACGAACATAGGCCAAAAAAATTCCGGGTTTCTTTCATGGATTTCCCGGAAAAGCCAAAAAACCTCGAAAAAAAGCAGTTTTTGGCCCATATCTCGGCAACCAGACCACTTAGCGACTTGAAACATGTACCAGTCGATTTCTGCCACAATTTAGAACAATATTGCCGAAGAAAGTTTTCAAAAATATCCTTTCGTTCGGTCACAAATTTTTTTTTTAATTAATTAAAATTTGGACCGAATTAGTAGGCATTTTTATCCAATCACACCACACGCGTCATCACGTTCAATAGCTGCGCCATCACGTTCAATGGCTGCGCCATCACGTTCGGTAGCTAGGCGCGCAATGGTTTTTAGTCATGTAACTCTATTTTAAATAAAACATGTAAAATACTGAAAAAAAATTTAATAAAAAACGTTTTAATAACTAACCAATGGTTTTCCTAACCCTGCTCTTGATTTACGCTACGACAGAGCTATTTTTAGATAGCATAAGGAAATTGCGCTTAAATTGTCACAAGACTTTTTAATTAACTTGTTTTATTACAGGGAAATCCTTTACAATAGTTAAGACAATAATGATTTTGGTTTTAAATATTGTATGGAGTCTAAACAAATTTTGAAGTCTATACTGTTTTGATACATCAGGCCGAGTTCGCTGTATTGTAAACTTGTCCTGATTTCTCATACGTCAAAAGTTATTCCGTTCACGGCAGCACAAGCATGCCGTCACAAAACTCATAAATAAGGTGTAGCTATAAGTCACTTTCTAATTATAGACACGAACCTTCTCTTGTGTGACCGTGATCATGATCGGTAATGTAATACCCAGTAATACGTGGACGCCCTATAAACACAACCTTGTTTTGAATGACTCCAGTCAGAGATCCATAGATTTCAATGCACAGTTATCCTTTACCCAATTACCCCCCCCCCCACACACACACACTAACTGCCACCCACCCCAAAGCCCTACCCCACTGAGCGTCCGACATTAAATTTGAGAATTATTTCTTTTGGATATCCATAAACCTAGAGTTTATTTTCACGATTTGTAACCAGTGTTTAATCACGATTCGAGCTAAGTCCAAAAGCTATCAGTGTTTTTCTATTTCTTTTCATTTTTAATTACTTTAGCTTTGTTGATCTTGTAATGTGGCTAAAATTCGGTGCTTACTAACACACTCTCTTTTTTTAGATACACATAAAACGCATGACTTTTATATTAACTATTAGTCTTAACAAACAATTTAAACAACTTTATTTTCCTAATTATTTGGCACGTGATTGAATTTTCTTAAGTGATTTGGTATGAATTACATAACTGTCAAAAGTGATTTAATATCTTAGCAAGGAAAAAAAACTAAGACCATTGGGTTAAAACATGGGAGAGATAAACATCTGTTATTAAAGAGGAAAGTTTGGCATTAGCTTATTAACTCCAAAACATTTATTTGTTATTGTGTGTGCTTGCACATTATATAGGCCCAGTGGCGTAGCGAGGTCGGGTATCACCCGGTGCGGTACTTAATGGTGTCACCCCCCCCCCCCATGAGCGACTCTTCCCGGGGACAAACTTTCAAACTTTCGATTTGCACCCCCCCCCCCCTCGAACTTTCGATTTGCACCCCCCCCCCTCAAACTTTCGATTTGCACCCCCTCAAGTTTTTCTCTATATATTTTACTATTTTTTGCCTTGGTGTCACCCCCCTAAATGGTGTCACCCGGTGCGGTCCACACCCCCGCCCCCCCCCCCTCGCTACGCCTCTGTATAGGCCTATATATATATATATATATATATATATATATATATATATATATATGTGAGCGGCTGGAGTGTATTTTTATTATTTGTAACTTAGAAGGCGAATGTATCGTTTCGTTTCATGTCGTAAATTGTTCGTCGTTTTAGTTGTGTAGTCCCGTATTATGGCGCCGCTGTCTCACTGTTTATGTCCCTGGTTATAGCTAGTTTATATATATTTCGTTTATATTGTTGTCATTGTTTATATTAAGTGTCTTTTTATAATATTCTGTTGCATGTTTCGTCGTGTTTGGTTTGTTATCCGTGAATAAGGGACTATTTGTTTACGTGTAGTGTGTGAGGTGTGTGGAAGTCGGTTTCCGGCTTGTTCAACTCGGTCTTTTGTGTGGAAAGCAGCGGTGAAGAGAGCAGGCAGTCTCTCTGGTCATCCAGTGAAAAGAATAGCAAATTCGCACCATCCAGCCGTATTAATTTTGTGTTTGTGTTCGTCGTAGTCCTGGACGAAGTCCGAAATTGGGTGTTTTGTTTGATGTAAAAAGTTTGTTTCGTGTGGTTCTGTTTTGTGTCAGTTTTATCTATTCTTTTTTTATAACTTTTGGTTCCATGCAATAAATTTTATTAAATTGTTAAAAGTTTTGTTTTATTTTAGAAGCTTATTATTTAGACTAAGGTTAGGGTTTAACCACTGTGGGTTCTACCACGGTTGCACTGACCGGACAGATTAGTTAAGCCTAGAAGGGTAGATTGTAGGTATCCCCCCCTAGCAGGGCTTACAAATTGGTAGCACGAGTGGGGTCAGTGCTTTATTCTGGTTAAATTTTTGTTTTTTTGTACTAGGGCTAGTGTAGCTTAGTTAAATTTTTTGTTTTTGATAGGCCCTTTTTGGAACCATATGTGTTTAGTTTTTGTTTAGTGTAGGAACCGTTTGTTGTTTAAAACACCCAATTCGGACGAGATGGCGGAGGTGGCACCAGCCATCATCATCGTTCCACCCAGGGAGATCCTCATCCGGAAGTTTCATGGGGACAGCCACGGCTATGATGTGGAACGATTCATTGACGAGGTCCAGTCTCTCTGGAGGGCCAGAAGAGACGTCTCAGTAGAAGAGAGGAAGGACCTTCTCTGGCAGTACCTGGGGGAAGCTGTGAGAGAAGAACTGAGCTGCAGGGGAGATGACCTGCAACGTGACCCAGAGGCCTCCATCAGGCTCCTCCGAGAAGTCTATGGGGAGAAGAGGAGCGTCTCCCAGCTGATCCTCCGCCCCCACGAAAGGACTCTGGTGCCTGCCAAGAGTGTACCAACCATTCAGGCGACGAAAGGAGACCCCAGAATGAAGGACGACAAGGTGGTACAGCCATTAGACCAACCTTTTCACCCAGATCCGTCAGTGGTATCAGGCCCAACATCCTGCCTACGCGCCAGCATAACCAGTATAAAGGTGGACCAATCTGAGGAACTAGAGGCAATGGGTCCACCTAACCCATCCTTAATTAAGGCACCGGGTGGTGGTGCTGGGGAATGCCCCCAGACAGAGTCAAGCAAGAAGGACAAGCAGGTCAAAAAGGCACATGTAGCTGAACTGGCCATAGGCGATCTGGTCCTTCTGAGACAACCCCCACTAGGCAGACGCAAAATGGCAGACCTGGACGACCCGACAGTTTATGTCGTGGTCGAATTACCTCCAATCACCGGCGGGTGTTACGCCATTAAAAAGAAAGATGGCCCTTCTGGCACCCGCCGGGTGGCCAGCACCCAGATCAGGAGATATGTGCCTCCCCGGGCTCAACCACCCTCCCCAAGGCCGGTCAAAGTGATACCGCCGGCTACTCCAGGCTACAGCCACATAATTTATAAGGTCCAATTGCCGGGGACCAGAGCAGCCGGTAACCCCACA